TGATCTGGACCCCATACCTGATGACGAAGACGACTCCTTTGACACCAAGGACGACGTATGGATGACCAGCTATGCACCACCCGTGCGAGAAGTCTCCACCTACCATCTAGAAGATGATGAGTTCTTAGTCGAGTACCCTGCCGACGCCACTGAGCTTCAGGTAATCACCAACGTCTCGCTAGACACCCCGTTGACAAAAGATGGGACTAGTACTTCGGAACAACAGCAACCCAAGATCACACCTCTACCCCGACATGCCGAATGTATCAAGACTAGCAACAAAGCCCAGCAATTCGCACTGGCTGCTGGACTCGAACAGAAGAAGAAGTCATTCGAAGAACTTGTCCCCTCTTACCTTCACGACTTCGCCGATATCTTTGCAAAAGATGGCTTGAATCAACTACCACCGGAACGACCTGGAATAGATCACCGAATAGACACCAAGCCTGGGTTTATTCCAAAGACGTCGAAAGTATATCCGTTATCCGAGAAGGAACGGGTAGCAGTCAAGACATTCATTGACGAAAACGTTCAGAAGGGATTTATCTCCGAATCAAAGTCGCCACAAGCTAGCGGATTCTTTTTCGTAGGAAAGAAAAGTGGAGATCTTCGTCCTTGCCAGGACTACCGGTATATCAACGAATGGACCGTCAAGAACGCTTACCTGCTCCCATTACCACTTTCCCTGGTCGCCCGGTTACATGGTGCCAAATACTTTACAAAGATGGACGTTCGGTCCGGATACAACAATATCCGTATTCACCCAGATGACCGATGGAAAGCTGCTTTTACTACGGAATACGGGCTCTTTGAGCCAAATGTTATGTTCTTCGGACTTTGTAATTCCCCGGCCACCTTCCAGGCGTACATGAATAAGACGTTCCAGCAGGAGGTTAACAAAGGATGGCTCGTTATATATATGGACGACATCCTGATATTTTCCAACGACCTCACTTCCCATTACGAACGAACCCGGCGCGTCCTTGAAAGAATTCGACAAGAAAGACTTTTCCTTAAACCGGAAAAATGTACCTTCGATGCTCAAGAAGTGGAGTACCTTGGAATGATTATCCGCCCTGGATGCGTAGCAATGGATGACGCTAAAACCACTGGTATTCGGGAATGGCCTGCACCTACCACCGTAAAAGAAGTTAGGTCGTTCTTAGGCTTCTGCAATTTCTACCGGAACTTCATTTCCCACTACTCCGACATCGCCAGACCGTTGATTGATCTTACCAAGAAAGACGTCAAGTTCCTTTGGACGGAACAATGTATATCCGCCTTTGCCGAACTAAAGGAATGCTTTATGAAGCAGCCAGTCCTCCGGAACCCAGATCCCTCTAGACAGTTTGCTGTTGCCACGGATGCATCACTTGTCGCTACTGGGGCGGTTCTGCTCCAAACCGATGATAATGGCGTCTATCACCCATGTGCATACTTATCTCAGACATTGAACCCCACAGAACGAAACTATCAAATCTTTGATCGCGAACTCCTTGCGGTTATTCGTGCGCTGACCGAATGGCGTCATTATCTGGAAGGGAACCCTCATCCTATCATTGTATTCACCGACCACAAGAACCTTCTATATTTCAGAACCGCACAAAAATTGACCCGTCGACAAGCCCGATGGCAGTTAATCTTGTCATGTTATGATATTGAACTCCATCACGTCGCCGGAACAAAGCTTGTCCCTCCCGATGCCCTTTCACGTCGCCCTGATCATGGGACAGATTCTACCGACGATAATGCCAATGAAACACTCTTACCAGACTCCATGTTCGTTCGCCTCCTCGATACCGAACTCATGACCACACTCGCCAATCCTGACCCCTCCGACCCTGACCCCATTTTCTCTGCCGCTTCCAATGCGTTGGATGGTCTATTGCTTCCCCCCATGAAATCCGCCCTCTCGGACTGGAAAATCAAGGACAATATCCTTTATTACAAAGACCGCGCCTACGTCCGCCCTGCTGGGCGGCGCCTTATATTGGAACGGTGTCATGACCATCCCACTGCCGGCCACCCTGGCCGTTTCAAAACAGAGGAATTGATTAAGCGAGATTTCTGGTGGCCCACTATGGGCACCTATATTCGCAAATATGTTGAGGGGTGTGCCCTCTGCCAGCAAATGAAATCCGACACCCATCCGACGACCCCCCCCCTTGTCCCCATCCCCTCCGTTGCCGCAGCCCCGTTCACTCAGGTCTCGGTTGATCTTATCACCGACCTTCCCCCCTGTGCGGGTTTTGATTCAGTCATGGTCGTGGTCGACCATGGGCTTACAAAGGGGGTAATTCTTATCCCATGCACCAAAACCATAACTTCCGAAGGAGTCGCCAACAAATTCTTCAAATATGTCTATCGGCGATTCGGCCTGCACGAAAAGATCATCTCAGATCGTGGTCCACAATTCGTATCCAAGTTTTCTCGAGCTCTTGCTAAGCTTCTGAAGTACGACATAGCAGCGTCAACAGCCTATCACCCCCAGACCGACGGACAGACTGAACGACTCAACCAGGAATTGGAAACATATCTTCGAATATATTGTCGGAATCATCCCGAAAACTGGGTAGAACATCTCCCTATGGCAGAATTCATTCACAATCATCGAAAACACGACTCTCGCAATGCATCCCCTTTTTTCCTTATGATGGGATACGAACCAAGGGCCCTTCCACATACCTTATCCGATTCCACGGTCCCCGCAGCAGCAGACAGGCTCCGTTCACTCCAGAAGTCTAGGGAAGAAGCACTCTCTTGCCACGCCCTTGCAATGCAGCGTATGGCAGAAAGAACTCACAGACAGAAGTACCACCCATGGAAGATTGGAGATAAAGTATGGTTATCTGGAAAAAACCTGATCACGCAGTTACCCTCATGAAAGCTTGCTCCTAAACGATATGGTCCATTCCCAATCACCGCCGTCCTGTCTCCCATCACATTCACACTCCAACTACCGCCTCAGTGGAAAGTTCACCCCACGTTCCATGCTTCCGAACTATCGTCCTATCACGAGACAGAAGTACACGGACCGAACTACCACGACCCACCCCCTGATGTCATCGATAACGAAGAGGAATATGAAATTGATGCGATCTTATCGCATAAAGGAACAGGTAAACGAAGACGCTATCTCTTATCGTGGAAAGGGTATTCATCCGCCAGTAACGAGTGGGTTCCTGAAGAGAATCTCAGGAACGCTTCCGACATCCTTGTAGCCTATAAGAAGGCCCATGGACTGTAAACTCCCAACAATGTCCCACATCGAACAACTACGCCTTTGCATCCTTCGTATCAAAGAACTTACCGCTGCCATGAACACTGTCGCCGAAGGAAACGCCCATCCCCTAACGCTCCTAGATTACCAGACCGCCACCGCCGCCAACCTCGCACAGCACGCTTCCCCCTCTGAAACATCACCGCCTGCTTCGGACTCCACCCTCACCCTTACCGACGATTCCACCCTCACCGACTACTTCTCTGTCATTGATCAAGTCGAAACCAGTGCCCTGTTCGAATCCGCCATCACCTCACAGCAATACGCTATTGAGATAGACCGTCTCCTTGGAGAGAGAGGAGCGATTTCCAGCGGTCTGATAATTAGGATTATCAGAGATGCCAGCCTCATTGATCGCACCGCCGCACTCCTTGATGACGAGCGTCATCAGACTATCTTCCGTCATCTTCATATCCGCATTCGCAACACCGCAATCCGACTCTTACCGGAAGAAACAAGAGACGCTATCAGAGAGGCCATTCACATCGTCACTGAGCGAATCGCTCTCGACCCTATCGCACGACCACCTTCTCCCCACGTCGCTATCCCCGTACCTCCACCAACTCACGACACAGTTACCGTGGAGCATCAGGATAATCTTATCCCTCCTATTGCCGTACTTGACGTACCAACTTCTCCTTCTCCTGACCCAATCATACGCACCACACGACGACTCCCACTCAAACGAAGATCCTCCCGCCTCGCCGCCAAACGAGCCGCCTCCGTCTCCCCCACTAAAGCACCACTCAAACGGTCAAGGTCGCCTTCCCCCCCAAACCAGTCTTCATCCGTCACAGTTGTGAAAACTTCGCCAGTCGATAACGTCATATGTCGTAACTGCCACATCGCTGGCCACCATCACAAGAACTGCCCAGCGTACTATTGCAGAGTCTGCAAAGAATATGCACCGGGTCATCTGTCGGTCTTTTGTAAAGAGTTGAAGGGAGAAGCGGTTATTCCCTTGGTATGGACTGACGTCGGTTTCTACGACGCACTTGCTCGCTGGGAAATCGAGCAAGACGCCATCGCTCACGCTGAGCACCTGGCGCAACCTACCATCACAGAGGAACAAGACGACCTTCTTGATTCCAACTACGACGCGGATCCCATCTACTGGGCTAACCAGGATATGTGAAGTCGGCGACTTCATCGCTAAACGAGGGGTAATGTTACAATAATGGTTACCCCCTATCTCTTTTTCCATACTCACGTGTATTACGTCGTGACCGCACCAGGATGTGCCATCATTAGACTATCGTCTATATCTGCATCACAGCACGACCGCCACGTGCCGTCGCTAGCTGACTCATCTCTTATCTCTGACTCGTCTCGATGACGTGTACATGACTCACCTCTTATCTCTGACTCGTCTCGATGACGTGTACATGACTCACCTCTTATCTCTGACTCATCTCGATGACGTGTACATGACTCACCTCTTATCTCTGACTCGTCTCGATGACGTGTACGTACCAGCCCTAAAGCAGGCCTTACTTATATAAACAGGTCTTGTACTTAGATAGTCTTCACTTTAATCTACTAGGTTTTACCCAGAACATCCTTCGCTTAAGACCCCCAATCTTAAGTGTCTGATATCGATATTCAAGTCGGAGACACTCTCTCTGATTTGTCTTAAAGAAGCCTTACATTTGTGAGGTTACGATCCGACTCTAGACGTTACTCTTATCGAGTATCTATTGTCGCGCCTATCCTAGTCGACCTACGGTTCACCGTAACAGATGCATCTTTTGAGGGCATCATCCCAATGAAGCATTGATGGTGGGAAGTAGGGGCTCTCAGGATCTTTCCATTTGTCCCTAATGGATTCACCTGACTGGTTGTGGTGTGTGGGCCAAGCATCTTTGACGTCTAATATTTAGTAGTTAGTTGTGATACATAAGAAAGAGGGGTGAGTAGTACTTACAGGGCTGGTGCCTGTGCTTCTTGTTATGATGTTTTGGAAGGGCCTTGCCTGCAATGGATGGTTGAGAGGATGGCCCAGCAGTAGAAGAACTGGGTGCAGATAAGCTGCTCGACAAAGGACCCAATGAAGGACCTGGCTTGGGGTCTCTGAATGTTGTGCCCCCATAGAGGCAGCGAACATGAAGCTGACAATTGTGGCTGCCTGGGCTGTGATAGATGATTTTGTACAGTTGAATTTTGTTGCCCTCTGCGTACATTGCAAGGATGATTTGATCAGGACAGGTGAGTAAAATGGGCTGTTTTACTGTCATATTCGAAGGTATGTATGCCATGGTGTGGACATACCAAACAGGGATACCAGCAATGCACAGCTTGTTGCACATGTCGCTGTTGTGCGTGAAGGCACCCATCCACTCCGAGTTGATGACAGCAGTCCTGTCACCAGCAGTGATATGAGGCTGAGCAAGGAGGATCCAGTCCATGAATGAATAAATCTCGAGAAACAGCCATTGGGCATCAGTCACAAACATGAGAAGGTTGCGGAATGTAAGGGGATGCATCTTCAACTGTGAGATGCCATGTCGAAGGGACAAGACACGACTGACAACAGCATCATTCTTGCCTTGCTGATTAGCTCTCCAATCCTGCACCCACCTCTCTGCCAATTTGCAAAGAGAATCCAAGCCTTCAACCTTATCCATTGTGAGTGTGCCTACAGGGAACAAGTTGCCTGGGATTGGCTTGAAGTCTTCTTGGGTGGGAGTGAACCAAGCCCAATGTAGCGGATGTGGGGAAGGGAATGCCTCCTTTCGAGGAATGCAAGTCGAATTGCAAAAAATGTGATTGTAAGCTTGAGGCCACTGAAAGCAATCTATCGGACCAAAACGACCATCTGCACAAGCCTGTATGTTTTCCTCTTCAAAATGGTGGAACACGGGAATGAAGTCCATGTTCAGTGTTGTGATAACCAAATTTCCTTGGACAGCAATGGCGTGGGTGTTGTAAGCTTGCAGCCATCCTGTAGTATGTATGGACATTAGTAGGATACAGACGTCAGAAATAACCCCTCCTACCATCCCAAAGAGTTGTGTTGCTCTTGAACATTGATAGAGTGGTGGGCATGATGAAAGCTGCCAAGTTGATATAGCGTGCACTTGATGAAAAGTCACAATGCACCTGAATATGATATTGTGAGAGTGTAAGTGCTGGTTATCATGCAATATGTGATAAAGAGTACCTACCACAAAGGAAGACAAATGTAAGGAATGTAATCTGCGAAACATGAGATCAGTAGACAGTGGAGCAGGTGAATGTATGAAAGTCTCACCAATTAGATAGAGGGGTGAAAACAGTGAGATTGTGCACCAATGAACTTGAGGTGGGAGTGATGGCAGTGACACACCAAAAGAGGGTCTTTAACCCTACTGGTGCAGTAATGAATGAGCAACCAGGGTGACCCTCAAGATGCAAAGTCTAGGAGTGGATGATCAGTGACGTGAAGTCAACTGAACAAAAATCAAACAGCATGAAGCCAGTTCAAGCCAAGAGAGGACCGGGCACAGAAAAGGACAAGGATGAGGACAAGGGAAGGAGATGTCAAGGGAAATAGTGGTAGTGGAGATGTCAAGGGAAATGATGAGTAGGAAGGAATAAAGAATTACAAGGAATATCAAGTCAAAATCAATCATTCTGGGACTTTCCCAGAGGGTTGCCAAACTTGCCAAACTGTGGGAAAGTCCCAGAATGATTGATTTTGACTTGATATTCCTTGGAATTCTTGATTCCTTCTTACTCATCATTTCCCTTGACATCTCCTTCCCTTGTCTTCATCCTCATCCTTTTCTGTGCCCAGTCCTCTCTTGGCTTGAACTGGCTTCATGCTGTTCGATTTTTGTTCAGTTGACTTCATGTCACTGATCATCCACTCCTAGACTTCGCATCTTGAGGGTCACCCTGGTCACTCATTCATTACTGCACCAGTAGGGTTAAAGACCCTCTTTTGGTGTGTTGCTACCATCACTCCCACCTCAAGTTCATTGGTGCACAATCTCACTGTTTTCACTCCTCTATCTAATCGGTGAGACTTCCATACATTCACACCAGACTGATATCTCCACTGTTTTCAGGAGATTCTCATTCTTCTGTCCTCATTTATAATCTAATCAGTGAGGCTTGCATATATTCTTCTGCTCTACTGTCTACTGATTCCGTGTTTTGCAGATTAGACTCCATATACATGTTTCATTCTCGGTAGGTGAGAACCCCCTTGCACCATTGCTTCAGATTATAACTCAGATGGGTACTACTTTTTCCTCTATAGGATGTATGGAATGATCGTCTGCTCATCGATACTGACCAAATGAACTTGGTCCTCCTTGTTGATGCCAATGGTACCATTCGTCGCTTCATGCTTACAGTTCATGTACACATATGTGCCACTGTCCAGGTCATATAGGTGAATGAAACCGTATTTTGTGACCAGCAAGCAATCTCACTGTTCCCACTCATTCATCTTGGGTTCTGGCTCAGCAGGTACCACTGTCATGTTGCATGCTAGCTTGTTCGGCTGTTTGGTATGAGTGTCACTGCCAGGGAGGAGATACCCTTTCTGTTTGGGTGAGTCTGGAACTTTACTGTCCTGCGATTGATCACTGATTGCGATGTTGGCTCTTTTTTTGATGTTGTAATGCAGGTGTTACGTAGTCATCACCTCTGATCTTCTTCAATAGAGTATAATATTTTCAAAGCTAGCTTTTTATGCATATGGCACTGTACATGGTTAACACCTCTGAATTATAAGAAACCGAATTAATTCTTTCATTTTTGGTGCTAGTGGAGTTTGGCTTTCAGGGTGATTGCAGTAGTGCCCATTCATGTTATAAAGGCAATCCTCCAAATTCTGAGCATCTCATCCCCATAATATCATTGCAAGCATTCTTAGCATTTCCCTACCAATTATTGCCTTGCCCGACTTTGTGTCACAAAACATTGTTGAGAAAACTTCAAGCTCTCAACTTAAATTCTACATATCTTTGTGATCATTGGAATATTATTTCAAATGCCTACAACCCATTCAAGCCATCAAGCCAGACCCTCACATCTGCCTGATGGAACCCTGGCACGCAATGTGACAAAGACCAGAATGGTAATAGCTCTCAATATTTGTCTTCACTAACTAACTGTGCCCTATATCAAGACCCATGGGGCAAAACATCCTATGGAGTCCAATGCTGATGATGTGGAGGCAAGTTGATCTTTTTCAAATTTTTCAAATGATTTTTGATGTTATTGATGTTCTAGCCCCCCGAACATCCCAAACCCCACTGCCATGCAGGCCCCAAGTCTGTTGTCAGCAACAAAAACCGAGAAGAGGTAAGCCATGTGGTCATATTGTTATTGGTATCGCCATTAACTTCTTAGCTGTCTGTGCATCAACCCTGACCAAAGCCCTGTCCCCTTCCATGGTCCTCCACATGGTCAGGTCCCATGACCTCATCAGCTGAGGAGGGGATTTTTCTCTTGAATTTTCCAAGGCACCAATCTATCCAAAAGATGTCCACCTACAACAATTCTGAAGCTGATACTGACGGGGTAGCTACGGATGGTGATGAGGAATCAGGCAAGCCCCTTTCATTTGGTGAACATCTACCTTAACTCAATGTTTGCTAGCTCCTGCCCCTGTCCACAATTCAGTAGTTGTCACAGTAGGTGACAAGAACACTCCAGGTCTGTCACTCCAAACGTTGCATTTTGAGGTTGACTAACTGTAGTTTTAGTCTCCACTGCTCAAAGCCAATCAGACAAGCCAAAGAATGCCACCAATGTTTGCAAGGATACATCAGGTATGTAATTTTGAGCCATTCTTATTTTCTATCCCACTTACAGTTTTTAGTGTCTACTGCCCAAAGTGAATCAAATGTTGCAGTTGCTCTCCCCTCGTGTAGGTCAGATGCCACCAAGACAACACCTACCACAGTCGATAAAGCTCTGAATCAACACCACTCAGGAGATGTCACAGCAGGCGACAAGGACACTTCAGGTCTGTCACTCCCAGCATTAGATTACTAGGTCACCTAACTATCCTTTTAGTCTCCACTGCTCATCGATCGGACGAGCCAAAGGAAGCCACTTACGTTTGTAATGATACCTCAGGTACAGTGGCTCAAAAAACTGTCCACATGTTTTTGCATTTTTTACTATTTACAATATTGTGTGAGAATACATAAAGACCTCAGTGACATGCTGATACCATATTGTAGTGCTGCTTCAGGGCTTTGGATTGAGCACCACATTGTGAGAATCAGAGGAGATATGGTGGAGATACAAGGCTTACAAAATCATGACTCATGCTGACAGTTTTTTGAGCACATATTAAAACTATATAAATCATCATTTATGACACCATAACAATCATGCCACCATTAAATAAATTATAAAGTGGTGTCATTATGTCATTTTAAAAGCAGTCTCCAAGGCACAGGAACTTGGGCGAACCACCATTGAAGCAGTGAAAGCATTAGGGATAGAATATGGCAAAAGTGCAAGGGTGATCCTCATTGAGGCAGGGCTGGCCACAAAGGCAATGTGCAAGGAGTCTCCTTGGAATCAGCACCAAACATGGTTCAAGACTTTTAGCCCCCCTCTCAAGAATGTATGTATATTCCTTTGCGTGTGTGCGTGGTATGCTTACATTCTTTGCAGAGGATATCAAAGCTTGGAAGGAGGAGCAAGCAGCACACTACAAGGCCCATCTGTACAAAGACCCCAAACACACAGCATTGTGGCAGAAGATTCAGGAGTATTGGGATGGTTCACTTGCTGGTGCAACTGAGGACTTGATGTCATGATCTGCTAGTTCTCTGATGCTGTGCATTCATGATGATTTTTCAAAAGCGGTGAGTCTCACATTAATAGGACATTGATGGAGAGACTAAGTATTACACAGGCTGGTTACTGGTACCACACCCATGGTATTCATATTTCTGGTGTTGCAATATTTCCTGGTCATGAGGATGCTGGCTGCCAAGCATCAGGGTTTTTCTCTGGTCTGATATCATGAAGGACATCATCAATGCACGACAACTTGACATCAGTCGTATCTTGGACAAGCTCACAACCATACTCAAGTGCATTTTCTGACAATACTGCCAGATATTGCTCACTTCATTATAGGTACAAAGACTTAGAGGCTGCACAAGCAGAAGGGATATCTTTTAGTTTTCTCCCTCACTCTACCGCTGTCCCAAATGGCATGCTTTTGTGCAATGGCAAGTCTGCTAGGGACAGGAACAGAAAAGTTGCACCAATGATCATCAGTGAGAAGTTTGGTATGTTTTATTTTATTTTATTGTGTCACTAATTTACTGATGGTGTGTCTCATTGGTAGCTGAAGCTGGCCATCTGCTCAAAACCTCAAACAACAGGTGGTTGGACATGCTCAATACTCTTTATGTTGAGCAGCTGTTCATCCTTAACTGGCCTGCCAGTGTACTGCCCCCCAGCCCGATTTTGATCTCAAAGCGTTGTCAGCGAGCCAGTTGCATGCACTGGTAGTTCCTTACCTGAGGATGCATCTTGGGGCAATGTACGAGGTTGACTTAGGTCAAGATGATGAGGATGATGATAGTGAGGCAGAAACTGCGAAGACAAAGAAGTGTAAGGGTAAATCCAAGAAGTCGAATGACAACAGAAGGACGAAGGGTACAATAGTAGAGGAGCCAGATGTTGTGTTGTCCATTAGAGAGTGGTCTGAGTGTATGTTTTTAGTTGTCTCTTTCATGCATGCACTAATGATACTACAGTTGATGTTGAACATTTAGAGTCTCAGTCTCCCTCAATGTATTCAATCCCTTGGTCATTGACACAAATGGTGAGGTCCTCTGTGAGCTTCAGGACTTGGTCAAGTTTTTCAAGGACTTCCCCCTCCCAGATCAAGCTAGTACCAAGCAGGTAACTGAAGAGCTCCCTTCATCTGACCAAGAAGCTGTGCACTTGACTCCAGTAGCTTCGTGCCCAACCCAAGGGAGGGCTTTGCACCCAACCCAGGTGGCTTTGCGCCCAACCAAAGTAGCTCTGCACCCAACCCAGGTAGCTCCATGCTCCAACCACAGAGCTCTGCACTCCAACCATAATGCTAGGCAATCTCACCAGGAAGCTTCATGCTTGCCTCAGCCCACTCACTGGAAACTTTGTCAGGGTCTTCCACCCTTGTCTCCTCTGCTAACACCATCAACAATTGTCTTGTCTTCAAGTCCTGGGTCTACCATTCTAGTTTCCTCATATGCCCATGATTCTGTGCACCCCCCTACTTCTTGGTATGAGCATTCTCAGTATGAGCAGTCCTTGTTATGAAGGTCAACGTCAACATGGTGGCCTACTGTGACAACAGTCATACTTTGCCCTATGATTCAGATACTCGCAAGCAGACGCAGGACAACTATGAAACTGCATGTGAGGCTGGTGACTTGGAGAATGAGATGATAGTGGAAAGGTACCATGCCAGGTTGCAAGGTAATAAGTATGTTGTTCTTCTAATGTTAATGTATCTCAACTAACTGTCATATATTTTCCTTAGTCACCATATCCCATCTGGTTGTCCTCAGTCACACCCACCTCCACCAATTGCCAGCACCTCCTGTTCTCAGTTGCCAGCATGTTCCTCACATGCACCTGTCTCTCGCCATTCTGGTTCCTCTCTGCACCATCATCATCCATGTGCCCAATCTCCTTATTTCCACCCTGCATCTCCTGATCGCTGTCCAATCATCGACGTCGATGAGGTGGACGAAGATGAGTATAACTAACTTTTACAGCCTCAGCTTTCTCCATAGTGTCTACAACTTGAGTCCTTGGCTTATAATTCAGGTGATCTTCATTTTGTTTATTCTACTTCCTCATCATCCTATGCATCCCATGTCTCTCAATCCTATGTATCCTCCTCTTGTGTATATCCACCCTCATATGACACATGTCTCCACCTATGATATCACTTATGTGCATGATATATGCCCACCCCATTATGCTCTATCCTCCATTTAATTCTAGTGATTGACTGCCTTGTTTCAGATGTTGGCACCTTAGTGAACATTGAGCTGCAATGTTGTCTTTTTGTATTGATTGAGCTGTTGTGCTGTTTCCTCCTTCACCTTTCCAGTAAATAAGACTTTAACTGGCAAAATGAAGGAGGGGTCCAGCATTGCAACAATATTGCGGTGAGGTGTGGGAGGAAAAGGGTGGGGGCTTTCTGTCAAGTCTGTGACTTGGTCTGCCCTTATTTACATCTTTCAATTGAATTGTAGTGGGATTCTTACCCTCAGAACTGGAAACCATTTGAGATAGTGAGTCTAATTCTGAGCACCTATGACAACTAGAGGGAAGGGCCAGACTTCGTGTCCTATGAGATAGTATTGCATATAGATATTACATAATAAATTCAATATGTGCACAACACCTTGGTCTTTCTTGATAAGTGCAAATTAAAAAGTAACTATGGTCCTTCCCCCCCCTGATCTGGTCATTCCCAATTATTTTAAAAAGCACATATGGTCCTTCCCTCCAATCTGGTCTTTCCCATTTAGTTTCAAACATACTAATGGTCTTTCCTGGTTAGATTAAAACATACTAATGATCTTTCCCCCGCCCCCCCTCCCCCTGATCTGGTCTTTCCCTCTGACAGTAAAAAATACTGGTGGTCTTTTCCCTCCTGATATGGTCTTTCCCCTCATAATCTGGTCTTTCCCATTGCTATGTGGTCCTTCCCGATGATGGTGAAAAGTACCAATGGTCTTTTCCCTTGCGAGCTGGTCTTTCCCAGGGACTGAGGTCTACCTGCATCTGTACCCACAGTATACCCATACTCATATTACTCAAGGGATACAGTAATTCCAGTGTCTTGTGAGGCAGCTGACCCCCCCCCCCAGGGTGCACATATTCTCAAGGGATACAGTGATTCCAGCATCTTGCGAGGCAGCTGACCCACCTCAGGGTACGCATATTCTCAAGGGATACAGTAATTCTAGTGTCTTGTGAGGCAGCTGACCCCCCTCAGGGTATGCATATTCTCAAGGGATACAGTGATTCCAGCATCTTATGAGACCGGAGATCCTGCCTATTCACCAGGGATAGTGATTCCATCATCTTCTCATCTCAGCTTACACATTAGCACAGTAAAATCATGGGTACCATGAGCTCTACCTGCACCTAATCCTGCTATCAATTTCGAAAATTTATTGTGAAAATTTGGCCACAGTAGGACCCCTGATACCCCTTCACTACAGGGAATCCCAATGTATCTGTGGTATTTCCTGCCTGATTTTTATAATGATCCTTGGACCATTCCCGATACATCATATTTTGGTCCCTATATATTCAGGGAAATACCCTTGAATGTTATGCTCAGCGTTCAGTAAGAATGACTAGACAGAAACAAAGATCCAAAGCATGAACCTATTCACAAGTCGTGCAAGTTAAGCAGTATATTGCAGGCCCTGGTCTGCATAGGTCAAGTTAAAGAATACAAGTGTAAGAGATAGAGTCTATATAAAGGGATTAAAGTGGAGCTTTAATAAATGAGTTGGAGATCAAAAGTAAATAGCGAATCAGGAAAAGAGAAAAGAGAAAAGAGAATCGTACAATGGAATGTGATAGAATGTCTGAGAATTATTAGTAATGTGAATAAGTGAAGAGGTGAAAAGAAAAAGATAGAACTGTAACATTGAACATGGGCCGGACCTCCCCAAAAGCACCTCTTAGGCCTTTACTGCTATAGACATAATACAACCTAAGAGGTACCTAAAATGGGGTGACCAAAGTGCTACAAGTGGTTTGCTTGCCACCTTTTTGGTGAAGAAGGGAGCCATGTCTGAAGATGATATTCTGATGGACAGGGTATCAGAGTACTTCACAGAATTCAAGCCCATTATCAATGAATGGCACACTCAAATTCATTGCATGGAGTCCAATCTCAAAGGAGCCATCATTCACAAGCACATTTTTCAAATGCTTGCCAAATTAATCACAAAACTCAACAATGAAGAACCAAGCCCATTGTCCTCTCCACCCCTTCCAGTGGCTCCTCCAAGTGCCCCAAGTACTCATTGTACTGGGGCTCCCCTATTGTTCAGCCCACAGCAGGGTCTTCCCTACATTGTTCATTATGCCTCAGCACAGGTTGGACCTAATGATACTGGCATGAGCTCATGCAATTCTGATGCCTCTTCTTAGAATATCCTTCATCTGACCTCACTTCTACATCTTCCTATGTGTTTATCTTTCTTTCATGCTACCTTTAGTATGTACTCAGACACAATTATGATTATGTAACATGGATTATGTCATGTTCATTGGTATAACTTAAAGCTACCTTCATACATATTCAGGTCATCTGGTACCATGCCTCCAAGGAAGAAGCCCAGATGTTCTTCTCCAGATCTAGAGGTGCCTGCTCGCCAAAGCTCAAGACCTAACTGTGGTGTTGGTGGTCATGCAGCACAGCTGCAAAGAGTTGGAGAAACAGTTGCTGCCCCAACAAGGAAGGGACTGAAGGGCAATGACCTTCAAATCAGCAGCTCAGAAGAGAATCCTATGGCTCCTTCACAGCTTCAGAAAGGAAAGAAAAAAAATATAATGTGAATCTTTTAAAATTATGTTCAAGCTAATTTTTTCAGCCTCCTGCAAAACCTCACAGCACTGCTAAGAAAACCCCAAATGAACACAGAATGACAGAAAATAGCCAGCATTCTCAGGCTCCCACTTCCCATCCAAATCAATATGTGGCTCACTCTTCTGAAAGGTTTGGATTCAAGGAACCTCAGTCTAATGGTCACAAAATGGCTGGAAGGAATGTGGGTCAGTGAGATGCAGGTCATGAGAGGGAGTCTACAGAACATGATAGTGGTTGCAAGAAGGAGAGGCGGAATATGGAGGATTACAGGAAGTTTGCGCCAAGCTCTCATGAAGGTGATACTTCTGACGACAATGCTGACTGTGATGATGATCCTGACAGTAACATGCTGATGTAAGTGTTCTTTGGTCTATCAACTTGTGTTATTCCTGATATTATGTTCTCATTGCAGGGACAGATATGCTGGTCAGCACACGCACCAGTGAACATGATGATGCAGATGATGGAATATATTTTGACAAAAATATGGATCAACCTCATCCTGACAATGAAGCTCAAGGAGGTGTTGAACCAGTAGCCTCAAATGACAAGCTCACAGACCTGGAGCAGGATGAGGTATCTATATTTTTTCTTCTCTATTCTTGCATTAATTATTTGTACTCAAGGCTTATGATGTTCTCAAGCACCACTATGCAAAGAATGGGCAGCAAAAAGCTCCTTCACCAACCTATCTGTTGAAGGAGAAGGGAAAGGAATGGGCATGCACTTTTAAGCTGCCTAGAGGAGCTTCTACTGTTCAAGCAGTTTGTAGATGCTCACCTACACTTCACTCACATCCCTCTCTGTTAAGGTCATACTCAAGGGATAACTGGATCCGAAGGGCTTCAGCCTCAGCTCATGCACTGTGCCCCTTACCCAAGTATTGCCCCTTATTTCAGGAAGGCAAGACTAATGCATCTGGAAGGTCGGACGAGTAGTGTAGTGGATCCAGATGACTTCTGGATGAGGGATAAGTATCATAGGGCTAATCTGGACAAGTCCAGACTAGAAACTAATGGTAATGGACTGTCAGAGACAGAGGTGGATATGGATAGACTATAGGAATCAATCCTAAGTCTCGGAGGGTGATGAGAGCAGAGATACTCAAGTCCGGAGGACAGGAATGAGTAGAACTAAGATGATATTCGAACTGAGATACTACAGAGAGTTACAGGAGGTTATATACTATAGGTATCTAACAGAATAATCAATCAGCAGAGTCTGAGGCTATGTATGAAGCATATGGATGATCTATTGGTAAGTAGAAACGGATCACAAATAATGAAACGGAGATGAAGCATAGGTAACAGATCAGGGAGCAGGACGGATATACAGATAACTGAAATACCAGAGTTAGGGGATTACCGAAAGGAGACAAGTGCTGGTTGTGGATTCAGATGAATTGTGGACCAGACCAGACAAGTGGGCAGATTGGATGACGAGATGTTAGAGGGAGATAAGAGGTGGATAGGATCGGAGATAAGATGTGGATCGAATCTGAGATGAGATAAGGTTCAGATCTGAGATCTGGATATGTGGATATGACACTCTCATTCAAAGTCTCCATGTCGACAATCATCTCAGCAAGACAGATACATACACACTTCATCCTCACGTACACAGTCTCCTCTTCAGTGCCTATCTTGACCAATCACTTCCTCAAGTTGCAGTCATACACAGCCCACATCTCATAGGAGCTCTCCACCACATTCTCCATCTGACCCTATTCTACCTTCAAGCCATGAACGTTCTTGTACTTCTACACCTGAAGATGCTCATCAATCCAGCAACAGCAAACGAAAGGTCAAGGCAAACCAAGAGGATCCCTCAAAGCTAGGATTCTATCCGCCCACTTGGCAAACATTCCTGCAGATGGCCAAGTTAGAGATGTGATTGCAGGCTGTTCTAGCTACTCCAGTTCTGGAATCCCAGGAAGTCCTTAACCTTGCAAGAGAAGTCTTGGACACTGTGCTATGGACATACCACAAGAAGAAGATTAAACTCAAGAGAGGTATGTTCTCCCTACTCCACCATCTACCCTTCTCACTGTTTGCAAGGCTACTTTCCAGAGTACAGCACACAGATGTGCCAGCTGGTACATTCTTTGTTTATTGATGGCTCATGTGCTCACTGATACCATGTCCATGAGCTTTGCAATGATCTCCTTGCATTTCACACAGAACTCAAGAAAATTGTCATCTCTATTGCCAAAAGGGCATACAATATCTTCCTGCAGGGCTCCACAATGTGAAAGGAGGAATGTCAAAGGCAGGCCACTGCAGCTGCCACTAGGCTCCTCAAGAGTGGTGACTACCTCTGGCTCCCTGACTCATCTGGTGTAGGTTGCAATTCCTAGTCATGGCATCATTTCAAATTAATTTTTGCAGGGAAATTTCAAGAACTTCATGGTGCAGGCTCTCAAGGACGCTTGTCTCAAATTCTACTACAGCAACAGTAAGAAAGCATTAAAGAACACAGACAAATTCCACCAAACAATCCCCATTAATGCAATGCTTCTTGTAGCAGCAGTGGTATGCTTACAATTCATTATTTTTTCATTGCTGATAGTTCAACAGTTGAAGGGCATTACCTCTAGATTTTATGAGACTGGCACCAACAAGGTTCCTGAATTAACCACTGAGAAATGTAGGGCCCACTTCGTCAACTTACAGAAATTGATTGACACCCTGCTCAACATTTCAGAGCATTGCAAAGAGCTTGAAGACATGTTGGAGCAATGGGCTAGGATTGGCATGGGGGATTTCAATAAGTATGCAGATGGGAGTGTGAGTGACACAAAGGATGTTAATATCATACTTTAGTAGTGCTCTGATCAATATCCCATGTTTTTTTGTTAGACAATCATTACCACAGTTTGGATCATGTTTACTGTGTGAAACTGGAATTAAATGTATCCTTTGTATGGTCTGTATCATGTGTGCAGTTTGTCTGCATTGTAACAAGATGTACAGTTTGTAGGGGTATGTGACAGTATTGTAAAGGGGGGACTTCCTTATGTAATTGTAATGCTTGTACAATACTGTACAATCTTGTACACTATTGTACAGGCGCCCCCTAGTTTGCTGATGTTGCTTCATCAGATCATTTGTTCATGCAAAATCAAAAGCATACAAGTTTAATTAAGTTCAAAGTATTTGCAGTCATGACAATATTTGTAAATGATTCGAAACTTGGTGTAGCACTATAAGCATACGTAATGATGATGCTAAATCATAGTCTCACACAATCATTGTCATCTTTACAATTTGAACCCTGCTGGCCTTTCTAGCCTGAAACATCTGAAGATCACGTGGACTGCTCAATCACCTCGTGGGTGCCTCAAAGCAGACAACTGCTGATGTATATCTTGCTTCAAATTCTTGCCCGATCTTCTGTACATTACAATTTCACAGAATCTTTGGAAAAACTATCAAATAAGTCTTTAGCAGATTTAATGAGGAGTAGCACACATTTATTTTGATAAAACCAGTCATCTGCGACATAAACATAGTTTTGAAAATCATCACTTTTGAATCCTGTTGTACTTTGTCATCATGGGTACATTGAGGCATCCTGAGTATGGTTTGTATGCATTATGTGGTCTTATTCCAAAACTCACTTACAATAGAACTTGATGCAATGATATCGCAGATTACTGAGCCACATCACGAGCATCTCAAGGCAACTTGTGCATGGTTTACATGTGTTATTCAATCTTATTCAGAAACTAACTTATAGTAGAATTTGACGCACTGCTGCTTCATTGTTGCAATAAAGACCTGGCTGTTTTCACAAAGAAGATTGTCCTCCTGGATCTCTGAGAATAAGGTAAGTTGATGTTCCCTAACCTTCCATCTGAGCTCAGGAATATTTGCATTTAATGATTGATGCAGTGCTGCTTCATCATCGCAATGAAGACCTGGCTGTTTTCATGAAGAAGATCTTCCTCCTAGATCTCTGAGAATAAGGTAAGTTGGTGTTCCCTAACCTCCCATCTGAGCTTGAGAATATTTGTATTTGACAATTGATGCACTGCTGCTTCATTGTCACAATAAAGACCTAGTTGTTCTCACTAAGAAGATTGTCCTCCTTGTATGCATTATGTGGTCTTATTCTGAAACTCACTTACAGTAGAACTTGATGCAATGATATCGCAGATTACTGAGCCACACCATGAGTACCTCAAGGCAACTTGTGCATGGTTTATATGTGTTATTCAGTCTTATTTGGAAACTAACTTACAGCAGAATTTGACACAGTGTTGCTTCATCATTACAATAAAGGCCTTGTTGTTCTCATGAAGAAGAGCATCCTCCCTAGTAGTGTTGCAGCTCAGCTATGGCTGGCCAGGCCTGGCTCTTACTGATTTCCCAGGGGTTCAGCAATCCCCATGAACCAAGTTACCTATGTGCAGCTCAGTTCAGTCTGCGAACCACCTGGACCAGCACAAATCAGCACAAGCCCAGAATGTGGGAACAACAGCTTGAGCCAGCTTCAAGCCACTTCAAGCCAGCTGGTGGGGGCTATGTGGTAAATTTCATTTCCAACCTTTCTTCCCTCCATCTCTCCCACTATCTGGTTATATCCGCAGTGTTCACTGTCTACTTATCAAGTCGATGACCATGAATAAGGTCCCAGTTCGAGTGGATGGTAGATTTAGGCTGGGAGATGTTATAGGATCTGGCTCATATGGTGTGTCATTTATTGTTCACATGCTGATTCAGATCCACTTCTAATATACCACCTAGCCATTGTATATTCTGCATGGAACATCATCAATGATGATCATGTTGCCCTCAAACTTGAAACTATTGTCAACCACCCATCCTCTGTAGAACATGAATACTGCATTTTGAAGAAACTTGAAGGCAGAATTGGCATTCCCCACACCCTCTGGTTTGGTAGAGAATCAGTGTATCATGCTCTGGTTCTTGAACTTCTTGGGCCATCACTCCACCAACTCTTCCTCGCAAATGGTCGAAAATTCAGCCTTCTCCATGTCATGAACATAGGAGATCAGTTGGTCAGTCATTTGGTCTGAGGTCTTTGCAAATAGGTTGACTCACTCTCCTAGCTCTCATGTCTTGAGTACATCCACTTGCATAACTATGTTCATGGCAACATCAAACTGCAGAACATCTTGATGGGCCTTTGGAATTTGAGGCACACTGCCTTTATCATAGATTTTGGTATCACAAAGTCATACTGGAATGCTAAAACCAGTGACCATGTACCATTTCACCATGGTCAAAGTCTCTCTGGCACTCCTGCATTTGCCTCAATAAATAATCACTTAGGAGTTGAGCCAGGTCATCGTGATGATCTTGAGTCACTTACCTACATGTTAATCTATTTTTTGCATGGCTCCCTTCCATGGTTGACCAGTGACAATGAGAAGTTGTCTGGTTCTACCATACTTGAATGCAAAGCATGTGCTACCATTGCCGATATATGTCAAGACATCCCTGTTGAGTTTGTGACTATCCTAATATACACACACTCTCTTGCATTTGCAGAAGATCCCAACTATGATCACCTTCATTCGTTACTTCATGGTCTTCATGCCTCATTACCCACACCAGCCACATCTATGTTGGACTTCAGCCAGATCAGTAATCCTGCCATGCATCTCCCTGACCAGTGCTGTGTGGCCAAAGCAATCCTACCATGCCTACCAAAGGTAATGCACAGATCAACTCACATGTGAGTAGTCTGTTTCTTAGATCTAAGTCTTTGAACTGAAGCTTACCTTATTTGCAAGGCTACACCTGCATAATGGCTCCCCATGGCATGCTGCATCAGCTCCACAGCAGAAACAGTAACCAGTTACTGAATGACACTGTTGCATAACTTGTGGATCAGCATACTTGTCTGTACATATTTTGTTGACATACATAAGCACAGAGCGGGTTGATCCCACTGTAATTTACCTACTATATGGGACTCAGAGTGTAAGACTGTCAGCAAAGATAGATATAGACTTTATGTTGTTGTTGGACCATTCTGGAGTCCAGGTGGAGCTCAGGGAGCACCAGGCAAATTGCTTCCGTGGGTCCTGTTAGATATGTGTCATGTCACACACTGTAATGCACATGCAACTGGAACTGTCTGGTAACCTCATTGATGATTGATTATCCCAGTGTTTTTTTGTCTCCTAGACTGGTGGATGTCATTCACAAGGCTCATGGACATAGTCTCTTCTTCAGCACTGATGTTAATAAGGGCATCCAGGATGTAGACCTCATTTTCACATCTGTCAATACCCTGACAATACACTGACCAAGAAGAGTGGTGTTGGTGCTGGCTTTGCCACAGACTTGAGGTGAGTTTTCAATTGCATTGTATTGGCCCTTCCACAATATGATTGAGTGCTGATGAAACTGGAGCTCAGCTCCATTGGGCTCACCACTCACCATATCGCAACTATAGCCACGTCATCAAAGATTGTTATCAAGAAATCTAGATTGTCATATGCCATTCTGGACCCTCAACTCTAAATCTGCTTTTCTGGACATCTGGATCTCCAATGATCTGATCTATCTTTATCTCCCTTCCAGAATCCAAGCTCTATATCAGTGCCCAACCCCATTTAGACTTCCCCTGTCTCCGGACTCCAGTTAACCATGTTTCCCTTCTGATTATTGATCCATTACATATATTTCATTTCCAGTGTTCATTATTTGTGATCTGTCCTACTTACTAATAGACTTTGCATATGCTTTGTACATAGCCTTTGTGTTTGCTGACTGATTCTCATATGATACCTACAGTATATAGACCTCCTGTAACTCTTGGAATTACTTCAGTTTGAATATCATCTTAGTTCCTGCTCATTCCTGTGTCCTCCAGACTTGAGCCAAGTCTCTTGTCACATTCTGAGTCTTAGGATTGCATCCTAGACTACATCTCTGGCTCTACCTTAGGGTAGTCTATCCCCTGTTAGTTTCTAGTCTGGAATCTGTCCAGATTAGTCTTACCTGCTTGTCCAAGTAACATCTGGACATCTGCTGGATTTATCTCACATTTCAGATCTGGACATCTGTTGTCTGCCCTAGTCAAAACCTGGAAACTCCAGACGACTATTCTAGCTCCCAGAAATTAAGGGCACATACTTGAGAAAGGGGCACAGCATACAAGCTAAGGCCAAGCCCTTGTGATCCAACCCCCTTGAGCACATGACCTTAACATAGATAAGAGTCACTGACTTCATTGACTTAAGAAGAGCTTGGTGCTGTCGACGCCCCCTTTGTGAAGGGTATTATCTGGATGAACAAAAGCATTGTGGGCTAACATCACCTTCAATCAAGGGACTTTTCATCAACATATCTATTTGACTATGATCTAGAAGGCTACATTGTGTCAATTCACTTTGGCTGCATCCTTGATTTTTCCCCTCATATTGTGCTCATCAATGTGCCCCATTTTCACCCTGTGCTATGGGCTTATGACTCATTTCATGCACTGCCTTTGGGACTTTCCACTGGGTGTGTGCATTGGCATTTTCTAGGGTTTCCCCTTAAGAATGTTTATATAGACAGATGATTCTGTCACTGGATTGTCACCATCACTACTACTACAAATGCAAGGCTGTCAATGTGGGGGAAACAAAGCCCAGGCAGCTGCTGTTGCGACTTCCACTGCTGCTGCAATCCCTGCTGCTGCTGCAGCAAATGCTACCACTTTCCTAAACCCCTGTCAGCACCAACTTTCTGTCAGGTACAGAACCAGTGATGCAGCTCATGCTGGTCCAGATGAGGGCAAAAGCTTTGACCTTAAGAATGTCTCCAGGGATGAAAAGGAACCAGGCAATCTTCCTGTGCCCACTGCTATCGCACCAGTGGGCTCTAATCCAAGCCCACTCCAGACTATCATGAGCACCACCTTGACTGACCCTCTAGCCACTGGTAATCTCAAGCAGACTAAAGGGCCAACCAACATAGCTCATTTCTACCTGATTGATTCTGATACTAAGGTCAAAACTTGTGCCCCTTGCATGTAAGTATCATACCTGTAATCTTTTCTTGTTTCTTACACCCTCCACCAGAGCACTACATGAGATTGATGCAATGCACAAGGTACAGGTATATGCAAGTTCAACAGCCAGTTCAGCTCCCTGTAACCACACTTTCATTCACCACATGGAACTTTATCTGGAAGCAGCAGAGCATTTTGGTTGGTGTATAATGATAAAGGATCTAAGTGAACACCTTGCTGAAGGGTGGACACTCACAACAATTCACAAATGGCTCAGAAAATCACCTTGCACAATGCAATCACTTGGCCCTCCACCTAACCAGGGATCTGATGCCTTGTGGCCAGTGGGAACAAGCTCTCTAGAAGATGTAATTCCAGACTTCTTGCTTGATGAGATGCATCACCAAATTGTGAAGTTTATTGTCACCAATGATCAGGTGAGTCACAGTTCACCCTTAAAGCCACCATTAACAATTGCCACTAGGCAATAAACATGATCAAGTGTCCTGAATTTAGATGCCACATCTGTCTCCTGTGCTCCGAAATTGGTGAGACTAGCCTATTTTACCACATGAAAGCCCGCAAAATGGTTATCAAGCAATGACAGGAATACTTCCTGGCCTTGAAGAAAGACCTTTCTGTAAGTGCATCATTAACAACAGTCCTACAAAGTATCTTATTCCTTCTAGAATGCACAGGGCAAAATCTGCTTCACATCTGACCTGTGGTCCAATTTTAAGCTCCAGCCATTCATGGCCATTATGGCTCATTGGATTGCCAAGGCCAATGCAGATTCAATGCTCATGTTAAAGGCGGCCCTCATCACATTCCATCACATTCCCAGCAGTCACAATGGAGAATCTCTAGGTTCCATGATATTGTACCTGCTTGATCATGCAGAAACTGCAACCAAGGTCAGTATTTATTTGTATCATGTTGCTTGCTCTGATGTCATTTAGACTGGGCATTTTACTCTCAACAATGCATCCAACAATCATATGTCAATGCTGGAGCTTTCAGCCCTGCTTGGGCAATGTGGGATTGATTTTGATCCTATTGAACAGAGGATACTGTGTTTCCCACATGTGATAAATATATGCGTAAAGCATATCATCGACAAATATACTGTTACTGACTTCTCCATCATGGATGATACATGGACAGTTGAAAATCAGATCATCAAGAAAGTAGATTATGTCTGGGCAGTGCAAGCTAAGCCTCTCAAGCAAGCCAGGAATATTGTGCGATTGATTCATGCATCAAACCAGCAGCACAACAGGTTTTGGGACATAATCCTCAGGGGTAATGAAGAGGGGTGGTTTTGAGATGACAAGGGCGAACTTACACAGCTCCCAGTCGTAGAACTCCTCCTCGATGAACCTACTAGATGGGATTCAGTGTACATTATGTTAAACCATTTGTGGACACTCTGCCAGGTGAGACGCCACACCATTAAACATATATCATAGACTAATACTGGCTCAGGTGATAACTGCATTTTTTGATGCTTGGCCTCAGTGCAACATATCTGAGAAAAGATTGAACGAGATGGATTGGCAGTTCCTCCAGGACCTGGAAGTGATCTTGGAGGTAAGTACTAATACATTCAAAACACATGATCCATTTTACCATTTCACACTAGGCACCCCATGCCGCCCAGCAAAAGCTCTCCAGTGAAAGCACTCCCTCACTGAGCCAAGCTGTTCCAGCATTTGAAGAGATGATCAAGAGCTGGGAGTCTACTGGCCTGCATGCACCTCACTGTAAGCCTATCATTGACATAGGCTTACTTTTGGCAAGCAAATACACCAATTGGATGAGTGCGACACATGCTTATGCTGTCACTATGTGTCAGTCCCATGTTTTGTTTTAAAAATGTTGATCTCATGATTACTTTTGTAGTTATTGACCCTGTGACACGGATGTCATGGATGAACAGTCAATGGCAGGAAGACCGCATTATTGATGCCAAGGAATTTATCATAAAGCTGGTATGTTTATTTAGTATATAAGCACAACTTTTGACTGATTTGTTCTGCAGATGCATAGCAAGAGAGCAGAACAATCTTATTCTGTGTATCCTGAACCTGTAGTGGCTCCACAACTGTTGCCATGCACACTAGGCTCGCATCAATATGGACTTCCTGAGGCGCATGCACATGTGCTGCATCACAATGATGGTGGCCAAATGGTAGAGCAGGAGTTCACAGTATATGCCACAGCTACTCTTAGTCCCCAGGGAACAGGTATACTTGCATTTTGGAATGTGAGTCCATTGGCTCTTCAAGTCACACCCTTTGTCATTAACTATGAATTGCTGGCCAGGCTTTGTAGACCATGTTCCCAACCATATTGTTATGGTTATACTTGCCCCCTACTCATTTTCCCACCATTTACTCATTTGTATTACATCATGATCGCTATCGCCGTCATTAGATGACTTATCTCTGACTTGTTCTTATCTCTGACTCACTCTTATCTCTGACTCATCGTGCTTGCCCCAAAGCACTTACTTACTATATATACCTGGTCAAGTACTCAGTAGATCTTCACTTTAATCTTACTAGGTTTTCACTGAAACATCCTTTGCTTAGGACCTCTAATCCTAAGTCGTCTGATCAGATATTTGAGTCAGAGACACTCTCTTTGACTTGTCTTACAACCCTTGCATTTGCAAGGTCTTGACTATAACATCAGCCGTCACTCTTATCGAGCTGCTGTTGTTACAACTATCCTAGTCTGTAACACATATACTCAATTGCCATGGACTATGCCCCGGTACAAGCCTCTGCTGTGCCATGTGAGTGGGTATTTTCATCAAGTAGCAAAACCCATACAAAAAAAAGGAATTGCCTCAGCCCCATTTTGATGGAAGTGTTACAGATGGTCAAGTTTTTCCTGAAGAAAGAACATCTTGACTTCACCACAGGCTGGGTGGCCTCTCAACAGGACATGGAACATGGCATGGTATATGACAGAGGTTCTAATGAGCATTTGACACCTGCTGCCAGCACAAATGACGCTCTTCTCAGAGCCATTGCAGAGGAGGAGTGTGACAACACCAAGGACACTGCTACCATCTACAACAAGTGAGACTTCTCATTTTTTTGTCTGACTTTTATTTCTTGCTGTTTGCCATTTACTGTTTACTGTCTGCCATTTACATTCCGTCTTTTGCCTCTTGTTCACCCTATCTTTGCTCATTGTACTGATCTCAATGCTTAACTTGTTTCACATGCTTCTGTGTGATCAGTTTCAACCCCTCTTTGCAATGCTTGCCTACCTGAGTGCATTGATCTTCCTTTGAACTTGGGTCATGCTGATCCTCCTTTGAGTGCACATCATGCTGATGCACACTAGTACCTGCCACAACCACTGACAACTCCGCTTCTACCCTAATCTTAGCCTCATGCACATCTGCCCTATCTCCCTTGTCCTTCTCCACTCTCCTCCAACAACACACCTTTGAAGGACACACTCACATCTACTGGGCCATTCTCAATCGCCATGCCCATGTTGTCCCTGATATGCTCCAATACACAGGTCTGCTTGACAGTGCCTGTATTTCAGACATCCATCTTGCCTGTCTCGTGAGTGGCGATCAGGTTTTGTTTGGAAAGTGAGTACACTGTTTTACCTTCTGTGTCATTGGCCTGATGCACAAGATCCAGATGCCCTCATTCTAGGCTCCACATCTGCAGATGACAATGATGTCCATGAGGTCGATGGTGAAGCAGCCTTCAGCACATCTATCAAAATTTGTCTTCAGCAAAAGTGAATGCACATTGCTGGTTTGGTCAATGTGGAGTTTATTGCATGAGGTGAGCATTGTCTCATTTCAGCTTCATTTTCACTCATTCTTGCAGGACACATATGGTCACTCACTTTCTTTTCTCCTCCCTCATTCTCCTCTCAACTTGTGGTGCTGGGATTGGACCCTGGCAAGTCACACTCAGTCTCATGGAGCAAAGGCCATCTACATTCATAGATGGAAGACTCATCATCAATGCTACCATCCTTGATCATTTGTCACTACCCTGCAGGCAACTCAGAATATGCTTGGCTCAGCTGGTCTTGATTATAATATCACTGACCCCATCTTCAAGACTCACCTTTTGTTTTCTTGCCAATCACATTCTTCAACTGCATGTTCGCACCATGTTGAACTCCAGATATGACAGCTCGAAGGTTGAAGTCATGAGTCTTACAATACATTTGTGTGAAGGAGATCATTGTGTTAATCTTCCCACCTCCTACCCAACATCCTCAACACCCTATGCAACCATCTCTTCATCTGGGATTCAACATGTTCCTCCACAACACCTACTCCCACCTGCATCAACCAGTTCCCTTGCAAAGCACTTGCATTTGCTGCCCTTATCTGCATCATCAACACCTCATCTGCCCGCATCTTGATGGCATGCTCATAGGAACAATATAACTTCTTCAAGTTAGCCTTCTGAACACCAGATCCAATGATCTGACTTACATCAGCTTGTGGACCCATCGCAATTGCTGATATTAGATGTGCATTTGATTGTTTCACAGTGATATTGAATGTTAGTGTGCACTGTGCACTGTGTTGATGGATTGGACAATGTGTTTCTGTTTCTGGTGTATAGACATGCACAGCACCAGCACAGCATGATATCAGCATACAGTTATGCGCATGCTTTTTCATTGCACATAACACAAGCATGTAGTACTACCTTTTACATAGTCCTAAGTCTATCCTCAATATACTAATAATCTTCTATCTATGATGTTGGCCCCAGAAACAAGCTCAAATCATCTGTAATGCCAACACTGACATCTCTACTCAAGCATGTAGTGCCACAGGAGGTTCCAAAAGCTGAGTCAGTGATGTTGAGGTCCCACACACATGTCCACGTATGAATAACCATCATCTGCTAGTCCCCAGTCAGAGCACCTTAGCCCTGTCCAATGCAACATGTCTTCTATACATATGTCTCGTGAGTGTCATCTAGTTTGTTGCATATGATGAGCTAATGAGCTACAGATATTTACAATCTTCAACTCCAACTGCTTCCCATTCACCACTCCTCCAGTCACTTCTCCTCTAAGCAAACCATCACTTTCCATGACTACATTTCCTGCCCACTGTGGAAGAACACACACCATCTGTGTCTGATGCTGAAGCATGCAGTAGGAGTGTCCCACCTGAGGTCCTGAGCTTGAAGGCATTCTGCATAGCATTCACTCATATTAGGAGAGGTTAATGTATGTTATCTCCATCTTTTCTTCAATGTTTTGACAAATATGTTGTCAGTTGTGCATTCATCTTTCCCAATCCCATGCACTGCCCACTCTGATGCCACCTTAAATGCACCTTCAGTCCCTTTACTGCAGTCTGGTGCTGCTCCAAGTCACACAGGGCAACTGAGTCTCCATTCAAGTGCTTGTCTGGCTTTTCTTGGCCACAATTAATGCTAAGTCTGCCATAACTCAAAAACATCTCTTTGTTTTGTCTTTCTTCTCCATTTCTTCCATTTATTCTTATTTGATTTTTGTCCTACTTACTAGAACCTCCCTAATTATATGCAAGCCTCAGAGCAAGTGCAATGCCACAATGGGACTACCCATAGAAGTGAACCATACTTGTCTCCAGGTCCAAACTGGTTGGCAGTCACTGAGAACAAGACACCGGACACCTGAAATTGCAGTGACACTTTTACAGTTACAGTCTATCACCAATGGCATGTGTGGCAGTTCATCAGTGTAACTTTTGACATGAGCATGATCTATGAGTCTAGATTTTGCCATGAGTTGAATGCCTCACAATGCTGCCAAGGAGTTCAATTTTTCGATGATTGGTGGCTTGTGCCACAGATCAGATCCTGCTCATGCAGGGTAATAGCTAAGTCATCAACTAGCCCTATTTCATGCAAGTATTGATCATGTACATGTGAATTGCTTTAGATGGGTCTTATGATCTGTGTGTGCCACAGCAAGTGCTGTGTTTCACACAGGAACCAAGCACCACGGGAGAATATGCCCGATGTGAATTTGACACTAATTTGTCATTTACAGTTCAGTCTCATCTGTTGTACTTGAGCAAGTCACTGGGCTGGAAGGGGAACTGGATTACTGGCTATTGATGGGCACTCACTCACATCCATGATTCTGGTATCTCTAAGGTGATTCAGAATGCAGATGGTCACCATTAGTGAAGCTACACATTGGCTTCAGTGTTTCATTCCTATTTTGCTGTCTTATCTAATTCTCCAGGGCTAATTAAATTATTTATTTATTGTTAGCTGGCTTGAACCGGCTGCAACCTACTAACTGTGGCTTTATCAGCTGAGTTCAACCCAAATTATATAAGCTATAAGCTATAATTATTTAAATTAAGCCACAATGTCAGAACCAGCTTGAGCTGGAATTAACCCAAGCCACAGCAACACTAGTCCTCCCAGATCTCTGAGAGTAGGGTAAGTTGGTATTCCCTAACCTCCCACCTGAGCTTGGGAATATTTGTATTTGACAATGTCACATACCAGGAATATTGTGGCATACTAGACAACAGAAGCAACTTGTTGGACAGACTCAGATCACATTGTATTATACTCAAATCTCACATCCAGATAAAATTTAGTCAAGCAATGATAACATTCATGTGATCAAAATGACTGATTCATGGTAACATTAGCAGCAGATGTAACAGTGTACTACATAGGACTGAACCAAGTGGTGAGCAAGGAGGATAGTGATCAACAAATAAGTAAAAAGTGAAGTAGTAGCTAGTCAGAGTCAAATGTGGTGTCTTCCATCAGCTGTCTTTGAGCAGTGAGAACATTGATGGACATTTTGGAAATGATGTCTGGTGTCAAGTCCTGCTAATGGTTTCTTCCAAAAACTTTTCTGCACAGGGGGTGAGCAATTACAGCAAGTCACTGATAATTGATGACTGCTACCTGGTCCACCATTCAAGAAGCCCATTCAGCCTGACTTGCACAGCTGGACCTGGGGCATCCTCAAAGAAATCCACAATATTGTTCCAAAAAAGCTGATAGTTGAAGTCTCCATCCACAGTGCACCAGGAGGTGATACAGGAAAGTGCAAATCGGACCTGCAGAATTCAGCTTCAACTTCCATTAAAGGTGAGCATTGATACTAACTTGACAAGCAATGTACACAATTGCGTGAGGTGTCACCTTTCTCATACCTATGATGGAGGCCATGCAAGTCTTTACTTGGCTTGATCTGATCATCTCCACATGCGCCAGTGGTTCTCAAGAATATTGGTGCCATCCCCTTCACAATCCACTTCATTGGCTGAGGAAGGAGAAGTAAATATGGCCTTGAACCCCTGTGATGCAATGAGTTATCATGAATCAGTCTTTAATAAAAACAAGCTGCTCACCATAACTAATAACTTTGACTTCATCAAACCACACTCCAGATTCTTGGTGTCCACTTCATAATTTTCATACATGAATGACAGCCATGAATTCTTGGATACGATGAAAGCAGTTGTGCAGTCACAGATGCCAGCCCTGATACTGAACAAAATATTAGCAACATGTGAGTAACAATGATTATCACTTACAGTGGGTCATCCCAGCACCATTCCACTGGGCAGAGCAGCTTACTGCATGCATCACTCATGAAGCCTCAATGGTGCTTATCATCAGACCTGATGAGCAGAGTTGGACAATACTCCACATTCACCCATGAAGTCATGAGATCTTTGAGGGTTCTGGTGTCATCACCATGAGCTGAGTCCACACCTTGCTTGAGCTAAATTGGAGATGAGAATGAAAGTGACAGGTGGCAACAAGTTGAGACAAACCTTTCTGAGCATGTCCTCTGACTCCTCATGGTCAAGTCTTGCCAGCATCTCATGAAGCCACAGCAGTACCTTCATGAGTTCAATATAGCCACATTGAAGGTGATCTTCTCTGTTCTTTTCGTCAATAAGCACAATGACATGAACATGGCTAATGACTTACTCTGCAGTGGAGGTGCCATCTCTCTCTTCACAATGCCAGTCATTTTCAGCAATCAGGTCCTCTATTGGAGTGTAAAGGATGACCATTTGATGAATTGCTCATCCCTGCGACACATAATAAGTTGTTTTCCTGTGATATTGAATGAGGCATCGCTAAATGCAATTTTCAGGGAAGTTGAGAATGTAACACACCTGCTCTGTGTTGCCTTGTCTTGCTTCAAAATTTTGATATCCTCCATGAGGGTAGCAATTTTCCACTTTGCCCTAGCATGAGGAGAAGTTTGTAAACATGAGGAGACATCTGGAGGCTGAGGGTTGCTTGAGTCATGCTTGGATATCAACATAGAAGTATCAAATGGTTGGGGAGAAGGAGAGGTGCAGAAAGGGTATGCAAAAGTGAATGAGAAGTGAAAGAGCCTACCAGACCATCTTATATGTGGCCCTGGCACTGTCATGACTCCAATGAATATGTCATTGGCCTGACTTGTGTAAATCTCAAGCCTTTTTTGGATAGTCTGGGGAACTTGCCATTTGCTAATTACTAATGAGTTCTTTCCACTGAGCCTTTCTGGGCTGTATCTTGAGGCCTTTTGGGGATAGTCTGAAAAGGGTGGGATGATAGTTCTGAACATATCATGATGAGGGGAACAAGGACCCATGTGGATCTGCTGCCAGATGAGCTAAGGCAGACTCGACCACAGAAGAAGCTACTGACCATGTATGATATATGCTTCCAGACTCTTACTCATGAAGTCTGTGTGACATAGTAGAATAAGTGGTTGTCAATTCACGTAGAAGTAAAACCTAGATGGTCTGTCCTGCATGATCATGGTAGTGCTAGTAGTGGTACATTATTCATACTCAGAAGTATCTCCAGATTCCCTAGTAAATGGTAAAGCTGCAGATTGATAAACTCTAGCAGTCAGACTTCAACATGTATCAAAGGTATAGGTGACTCACATAGTGCTCTTCACATCCATACTGACTGACTCAAATCACTTCCAAAATACGACATCCAAACCATCCTCATCGATATGCATATGATTGTTGTTGTCAAGGCTGACAACAATGATGTCTCTCTAATGGTTAGTGAAACATCAGAGGAACGTAGTGTGAATAGAAAAAATTGCAAGACATACTACTATATGCACCATTACAATCTGTTCATATTCATCTTCATAAACATTCATTGTGTCCAAGTTGTCATTGAGACTGATGATGTGCATGTCTTCCTATGGTAGCAAAGGAGGAGTACTATAGCATTAATAGAAGCATGCAAGACTGACTACTATACACACCATCTGATTGTGTTCATGCTCATCAATGATATTCATCACATCCTCATCATTAAGGCCAACAACATTCATCCCTCCCTATGATAGTAGAGGAGGAGCATATTGTAAATATAAAGCACCACAAGACAGACGATACGCACCTTGTCAGTGATCTGGGGTTCATTTTCATTGATATTCATCATGTCTTGGTCAGTGATGCCAACGATGTCCATCTCTCCCTATGGTAGTGTAGGAAGAGCATAGTGTAAATATAAAGCACCTGCAATACATATGATACACACTATGTTAGTGATACAAGGTTTGTCATTGTCGATATTCATCATGTCTTCCTATGGTATCCAATGGGCCTGGGACATGACTCCCAAGGAATTATGCCCGACTGAGCTCAGCCAATATATGAGGATGATTGAGATCTACTGCAGATTTGGAGAAGAATTTTATGATGTTTGAGGTTTCTTCTGACAATGCCAAAATGCAATCAGCAATGACGGCAGTAAGTGAAATATCTTGCTCTATGAGATTACCAAGGAGGGTTGTTGGGTTGGGCAAGTCAAGAGGTGGAAGGGCATGTCAAACTCAAGATTAAATCTAAAGAGAGTGGTCAGAATAATAAAGTAAAGAAGCAAATGAAGTGTACATCTGATCTACGCTAAGAGCATGATAGCATATGTAGATGTGGTCAGGTGGATTGTATCTAGACTCTTTGACAAATGCCATAAGGATGTATGTCACCAAGAAAGAGTTGTATATGTGAGGCTCGAGCAAAAGCTTGTGAGGCTTGTTGCTCTAAGATCTGTTTTGCACAGGGAATGTTGTACAGGTTATGCAAACATGCATCCATGACAATGAGCTGGTCCTGAGTCAGAGAATCAGTGAAGCAAAAACTGTTCAAAGCTGAAGCACGGTTGTCCATTCAGAAGGAATGTTGGCAGGATTGTATATGGTGTTCTGCACTTCAGAAAGCCATTCATAGCTAGGTCTCATGACTACCATATACATGGACTCATGAACTCACTGATGACAACTTGAAGGTGATTTGCTCATACTTCCCTCTGAGCCAACAGGGAAGGATAACTTTCTGGATGGGACTTGGGCGAATGTGGTGGCAGATAAAGGCGAGCAGACAAGGACTAACCTAATGCAGTACTGTGACTACTTGCTATGGTGTGTTAGTAAGTACTAGTATGCAGTGATACATCAATTCTGCTCATCTAACATACTTGTATTGCTTGCTACTCAGAATATGTTGCTTTTTTTGTTTTTGTTCTTGTTTCCAATTTCTGTTCTATTTGAGAGTATACACCATGAAGGACAATACATTCTAGTCTGCTGGACCCCCTGTGTCCTTTCACATGAATGCCCTGGATTATGGTATTGCTTGACAAGCAAGGAAGCTCCCACCCAAACCAGACAAGGGGGAAAAATGTACTGAGGTGTTGACAAGTAACAAACCCTAGTACAGTCACCACCTTAAATTACTGCCCCTACAAGTTAATGTATCAGTAGTGCATCATTCACCTATGTGAGCTGCTCACCTCTTGGGTAAAGATACTTCTCACTAGAGCATTATGATGCTCTATTGGCATCGCATCAAATAGCTTTTTGAGCTCTTTGGGATATTCATGTGTCTTCTTGTTCATTTTAAAATCCTGGTCCTTAAACTTGCCAGTTGACAGTTCACTGAGCGCCCATTTGAACAATACACCAATAAAGTTTAACAGATGCTGAATGTCTTGGTCTTGCCCAATATAATTTATGTACTTCCTGTCATGAAGGAAGAGCTGTCAGGCAAAGTATTGGATTGCAATATTCCCAAAGGTGATTTCCACTTTCGTGCCTTGAATCTGAAGAATATAACATGAGCATTCATGTGCAAGACAGGGAAAGGCAATGACTAGCATCAATGATGCCAAATAGGAATATGTTATCTTTGATGAGCCTACAGATGAAGTCTTTTACCTCCTTCTTGGGTTTTTCTATCAATAAGTAGTGCAGATCATATCCCAAAGGACTGCACTATGGCTGAGGAATTGTATGTTTTTCTTAATTGTCCCCAAGGCTTTTCAGAGTTTGGACACCTCTGATTCACCATCCAATGTCTTGGACCAGGCAACAAGATCGTCTACACTCCAAGTCAACCAGTGACAGTTCTGGATGGTAAGTTTCAAGAGCTCACTGTCATGTGATACTTCAGCATCCATGCACTGATGTGCCATCTTCCTGATGGTGGCTGCATCAAGGAAGAAAGTGTTGATGAAGATAGTGCACTTCATTTGGAATAGTGCTGCAGACTTGACCTTTGATAGGTCTGCTACACTGAAGACAACTGAGGTGCATGAATTTAACACTGACTGCAGGGCAGCTGGTGTGGGGGACAGCATTGTTGGTGCCACAGGGGGTGGTATGGTTACAGGCTGGGCATCCAGCACAAGAGATAGCACACTCTGTGCCACACTGTGGGATGAGCCTTCACCATGCTCTACATCATGAGGGGTGAGATAGTTGTTGCATCTCTTATATACAGTATATGGAGGGTGCCAACTTGAAGTTTGGTGGTAGTGTAAGCAGTTGAAATCATGCTGATGTCTGGTGGCAGGTTCTGGATCCACTGAAGGTCCCCCCTCGACTCCATTACTGGCATTATGCACATTGAATAAGCAATGCATGCAGTCAGACGACTGAACTAAAGGGTCAGGTCATTCATAAGACATTTCAGGATGAGGAGTGTGATAATATGTATATCACAATGGACTCTGCCCATGACCTGCTTCGGTTTGGATATTCCATTAGGGAAGTGGAGATAACCCATGATAGGTTGCAATATTGAGAATCAGAAATCAAATTCTGGCACTCCAAGAACTGCAAGACACCATTGCACATCATGGTCATAAAACTGTTTATGCCAGTGATGCAAAGCTTCTGGTGTAAGAAATATTGCAGGATCACTCAATGGCCAGCCCTTCCAGAAAGGTGCAAAGACACCATTTAGCCAGAATTCTGCACATGCAGCAAAAAAGCCTTCCAGGTCATTGGGATTAACATCGATGCTGGTGAGTTGCTTGAGAGTAATTTCACGTGTACATGTGGGGTGATGAAAGTTGTCCCTGAACTGCAGATACAACGCCAGTGTAAATGGAGAAGTTTTACCACACACACATGCAAGCATACATGCCTCAGGGGTATCAACAATGTATGCTGCAAGGGGGGTAAAACAATGGCAGATGTTTCCTACTGGGTCAGACATCATGTTTCCAAGTTCGGCAGCTTTCATCAGGGGTTGTAGAATGATCAAAAGACATTCGTGGATGAGGCAATCTTCAAGCATACCCCACATTCATTGATTGGGGTGTAAGTATTATGGGATGGGAAGGAGAGCCGTGAGCATAAACGCCTTGGACGAGAGCTTCATGTGAGTGTGCCCTACAGTTTTGTGAGATAAGGCACATTGTGAGTTCATCATAACACATACCTGGATGCTCCAAACAGCGTCACCTGCCAACCATTCTGAATATACACACAGGAGCCATGCTGCAGTCTTGTAAACATGATGAGGGACAAAGTCAAGTTGGTCATGAAAGAGGGGGTTACTGAAGAGACTCTCCAAATACTCAACCAGATCCCTCCAGAATAGTCGAATTGGACTTTTTGTGCCATGAAGTGAGGGAATGACTTGGCATTTCCAGCTTGGTCCCTTTGGCAGCATTTCAGCCTGACCTCGCAAATCTTTAGCATTGTTAAAGGACAGCTTCAATCGTTTTATCTGCAAGGTAATGTCATGATTGAAATGTGAAAGGAAAAAAAAAGGATATGTACCATGGAGAGCTGCAAAAATTTGTCAATTGCTGCCATGCTAAGGGCAGAACACAGGAGGAAGTCAGCAACCTCCCACTCTTCCCTCAATGTGAATGGGTAAAACAGGTTCTCCTTCCTGTATTCTGCATGCTCATTGGCGTCGAAAAAATCCAGAAATGTGAGACCATCCTGAGAATAGCACTTAGCTGCACCCTCATACCATTCCTCATTACTCAGAGGTAGGTCTCCCGCTGTATTGAGAAATTCTCCATCTAAGTTGGTATCCATGGCATCCAGAGTATTGAATTGCAAGTCATCACTGACATTAAGACTCTGACCTATACTAGTTTGAGGTGGATTGAGGGATCATTGCAGTGGAGCTATGTCCACAAATTCCAAGATGTCAACAATGTCATGAACAGAACTGTGACAAGATGTTCAAGGCTGGCTTAGATGGTGAGTGACACTGGAGTCCCTGGTGAATACTTTTCCACACTTCAGACATGTAGGTATTGACATATTGATTGATATGTGCAAGTTCCCACTGCTGCTTTTGCAAAATCTTCTAAGTCTAGCCATATGATCATAATATTATATATCACTACTACCTGTGCATCCATATGTTCCCTGATACTAAAAATGTTTCTTGCACCTCTCCCCAAAACACCTATTCTCCTTCCTCTCACCATTCCTGCTATTCTTCTTCTGACTCCTGCGATTCTGATGCCTCTTCAATCAAGGCATGTCACCCTGGGGTGATTCCAGGTATCCACACCTTTCACATTCTCTATCACAATCATACCCTGTTAAGGAGGAGGCAGAAGAAGAAGAGAACTTACCTGTACTAGCAATGCATTTTGTGAGTTGTAATACTAATGTGTTGCTTTGTTACTCATATCTGCTATCTGCAGGAACAAGACTCAGCCAAGCCCTACTACTTGTTTGATCAACTGGAAGAAGATAACTCTGACCTCACACTTGAGGCAGCCCAGGTCAAATGCAAAGTGTGTCAAGCTCAAAGCACCTGGCTGACTGCCTTTTGGAACAACACCAAGTACTCACCCATATCTGCTGCTGCCAGGCAGAAGCTGTGAACACACAGTCTATTATTGGCCAACCTCAATGTTGGACACATGCACTCAGAGCACCAGAGGAAAAACAGCATCACAATGTATGCTACTCTTCAAGTGTGACATGAGCAGTAAGTGCATTTTTCTTTCATAGTTACTACTACTGTTCTCAATTAATAATCTATTAGACTGTGCAGTATACTAGTAAATAGTCAGTTCTCTCACTGTGTATATATGTATATAAAATCACTGCTAGTAGTATATACTGGTACTATATCCTTTTTGCATGTTACAGTGTGTAACAGTTTGTGTCATTTGTACGCTTGTGTGCTATTTGTCCGCTTGTGCTACTGTGCACTTGTGGCAGACTTGTAGTCATTTGTTTGTGTTGTCTGTGAGACTTGTGAGGACATGTGATACTGAGGACATATAAGGTGCATGGGTAGAATCTACTGTGGACTCGCATAGAAAATTGGTAGACTCTGTTTGGATAACTCTGCAGAATCTACTGCAATCCACCCGAGTCTACTGCAGTCCACCCAAGTCTATGACACCACAGGTAGAACAACCAAACAACATTCTCAACTTGTATATCATACTCAACTGCTCCTCATCACTGTCATTGACATCCCCCTCTGATGCCCTTCATGATGGGCATCAGTCAGCTACTTACACCCCTTGATGAGTATGATCTCACTTTCCCGGACCTCACGGCCTTCATTCAGCTTGTATGCATGGCAAAACCATTCATTCACCAGTGCATGACTGACATCCAACATCCACCCATCCACCCTCCAGAAGTCGTCATATCCCTTCTTGCTGGCACGCTCAGTCAAGACCCACTGACTATCCTCGCATGCTGGGTAGCATTCTGTCAGGTTATCTGGACTCATGGTGCAGTACTCCCAACTGACCAGGAGATTGAAGTATTTAACTGTCATGGACTTGTGTGTGGTATTGGTGTGTTGCTGTTCATCTTTTCTCTTCTTTCACTGACATGTTTTAAACCTCATAGGATATCACGACTTGTATCCACCGACACGTGTATGCCAGTGTCCTGAATGTGTGAACTACTGTGATGGTGATGAAGTAGCCACTCTCACAGATGTCAATACATTTCGTGCTAGCCTCTTTATGCTACGAGATGGTTCTCTTCCAGTCCATTTGGTATCAACATATTGTCGATGTATGTTCTTTATCTTCTAGCAATGCATACTGACCATTTCATTCAGAATGTCATACCAGATATTACCCCAACTATTGGACTAACAACACCAACTCGACATGCATTTACTATGCTGGTGTTCCCAGCGTCATTCAGGCTGCAAGGCATTTCTATATTGAAGCTGTGCTGTTGGAACTTTTTGCTGCAACGAAAGTCTTCAGATGGTATTGTTGTCTTTCTCTGATAATCATAATGCTAACCTTTTGTTCCACTTCCAGGATGTCTAGCATGAACTGTGCTCACATGTACAACTATGCACTTGCTCAATGGCATGCCTACATCTTGAATAATAGATGCGCTTTTGATGCTACACTTCCACAAGCTCTTGACAAGGAATTTTCATGGCAGTATACCCTTTGAATGCACAACACTGATGTCCTGAATGGTTGTTTTATCTACTCACTGCTACTGGAGAAGGCAGAGAATAACAGTTGCCTTGTTCTCCCCCATGATGAGCAACAACAGATCCAAATTGATGTTGTGCTGAGTGAGTGCAACAAAGAAATGGAAGGTATTGGGCAGGAAGCATACCCGCATGCCTGTGACTTATGCTTCATCGTTATTGGTGACGACAACTCAAAATGTAAGTCAATTGTTTGTCAGATGCGCAGCATCATGCTCAGATTGATCACATGCCATAGCGAAAATTCAAGCGGCTGTTTGTGATGGTAATACCATCAGGCACCCATGTTGTGCAGTGCATGACTGCAAAGTCCCACTTATGACCAACTCATCATTGTTTCTGTCCTGACCATCAAGACTTGAACCAGTGGTGCGCAGTTGATGGCTGTGATGAGGTCAATGCCTCTGGATTTCGAACATGTGCCAACACAGACCACCAGGCTCTTGAAGATGCCTACTTCAAGCCCACGAAAGCTCTCTTCCAGCTGCAAGCACAGCTCAAGAGGGCTGGTGTTACCTTGCCCTTGGACTCTGTTCCTTCATCCTTGGATAGTGGTAGTAGTAACCCTAACAGCACAGATGAAGACCTCGAGGTGATTGTTGGCTCTGAGTGTGACAGTAAGCTGGAGAACAGCAACAAACACCTCAGAGCAAGGTTTGGTCGGTGCTGCACCCATAACGAGCAACTTATTATGCAACCTTGTGGGGTGATATTAGCGTGGGCTACGTTTTTTGGGTCTGAGGCTGTCTCTGCTGTTAATGTGAGTTACATGCAGTCTTACTTTGATGCAAGCTAACATTTAAACTCAAGGAATTTGCAAAGGCAGTATTCCCTACTGCCACATCAACACCTGAATACTTCGTCTTTGACAACAACTGCAAGCTCCACACTCACCAAGACGCTATTGGTGATGACCACTTTGCTGCAACAGGGATGCCTGTTGATGTGTTTCATTTCAACTCAAAACACAAGGAAACTGACACCTACTGTCAGCAGCACTGCAACCCTGCTGCTTTCCCAGAGCTCATTTCCGGTGGCAAGTGGCGATTTAATACATCAATCTGCGAACAGACAAATGTTTGGCTAGGCGGGTATCAGGCAATCCTGCAGGACATGTCTGTACACCGGTACAACTTTTATCTTGATGAAATGATTAAACGTCGAAACTGCTATGTTATCTCAGAGTCAGAGAGACGAGGGCATTCTCCTTGGATGATTTCCATGGACACTCTGTTTGGTAGTAACTAGTGCATTGACTCCACTGGTGCTGTTTGCATTACATTGTCTAGATTGTTGTCATTTGTAATTCTATCTCTTATTGTATGTTTTTTGTCCTGTGTTTTGAAATGAAAGCCAGAGTTCATCACTTGGGGACCACACCATTCAGATAATGATACACCCAAAAACTGCCTCCTGAATTTTCGTCATTAACAGTCAAGTTCTCTTCAAAGAACCCCCAGGATTGCCTGGCACTTATCAGCGCTGGAATCAACAACCACATCACGGCCAACCAGTGCTCAGTAAGTGACATGTTTATCTTTTCATGGCCAACCCCATCTCAATCACCAGGCTCATTCTCCCAACACCTAGAAAGTTTCATGGACATCACTTGAGGATTGCACCATTCAGATTCTTGAGTTGAAATTATGACTTGTAGTTATTTTTTTTAACATAAGGTTGGATTTCGTGGATAATAAACAGAGTAGTTAGTCTACTAATTAAAAGGTGGTAAGGGTGGTAAGTGTTAAGGTCATACTCAAAGGGTAACTGGATCTGAAGGGCTTTGGCCTCAGCTCGTGCACTGCACCCCTTACCCGAGTATTGCCCCTTATTTCAGGAAGGCAAGACTAGTGCATCCGGAAGGTCGGACGAGTAGCGTAATGGATCCGGATGACTTCTGGATGAGGGACAAGTATTGTAAGGCTAATCCAGACAAGTCCAGACTAGAAACTAACAGTAATGGACTGTCGGGGACAGAGGCAGATATGGATAGACTATAGGAATCAATCCTAAGTCTTGGAGGGTGATGAGAGTAGAGGTACTCAAGTCTGGAGGACAGGAATGAGTAGAATTAAGATGATATTCGAACTGAGGTACTACAGAAAGTTACAGGAGGTTATATACTATAGGTATCTAATGGAATGATCAATCAGCAGAGTCCAAGGCTATGTACAAAGCATGTGGATAGTCTATTGGTAAGTAGAAACAGATCACAAATCATGAAACAGAAATGAAACATAGGTAGCAGATAAGGGATCAGGACAGATATACAGATAACTGAAATACTGGAGTTAGAGGGTTACCAAAAAGAGATGAGCTGCTGGTTGTGGATTTGGATGAGTTGTGGACTGGACCAGACGAGTGGACAGATTGAATGATGAGATGTTGGAGGGGGATAAGATGTGAATAGCATCGGAGATAAGATGTGGATCTGAGATGAGATAAGGGTTGGATCTGAGATCCAGATATGCGGATATGACAGTAAGGCTTGATTATCTATGGGAGAATGATCATTTAACCAAGTGCTAAATGAATCAAATTGGGGATAACTCATAAGATCTAAAGGAAATTCAGGATCAGTGGTAGCTGCAGTATTATTGTCCATTTTATCTATGTTCTCAAATAGTAATGCAAGAGCATCATTCATCTTGCTGATTAGGTCAGTAGGGAGTGGCAATCCAGTGTCAGTGGTAGATGGTAGACTCAGAGGTGGGGTAGGACCTGAAGGACAAGGATTAGCCAACCATGGAAGTAGCAAATCAAATCATACATACACTTCATGTCTGAGTTTGAGATGCTACCCAGGCCATTACTACCAGTAAGACTTGGAGCTGCATTAGCTTTGATTTCGGCCAAGAGAGTGTTCCACTGGCTGGCAGGGCTATATCCTGCATTGACGGCACATTCAACCCTATCACTCGAATTCTCAATAGCTGCCTGATAAGCAGCTCAATGCTTATAAAAAGTTGCCTTGGTATAGGTGCAATTTGGAAATGTAGTAGCGAAGAGGGCCTGGATCATTTGATCATCTGATACATTGATGAAGAGCTGAATCCGGGGAACCATATCACATGCATACTTCCAAGGAAATCGCACTTGGGCGCCTGCAGGGATGGTAGTGTTGGGTTGGACCATGGCTGGTGCAGGCACTACTACAGGTGACGTGTCTAAGTCACCGGCAGCGAGTGACAGAGGTGACATCACAGTGGGACTCGACAATAGGCTAGTGAGTGGTAAAGGAATGGGCGACTGCCAAGAGATGAGAACCGGGCCCATGGGGTTGTTGCTACTGGCATTCCTCTGCTGCTTCAATGGTGAGGTCATCCTGTCCAATCGGGACAGATGCATACCCATGGTGCTAAAGGATTGTTTTGATGGAGATTGGACAGTTGCAGGTGCACAACTAAGAGATAAAACCCTCTTGGCAAATCTGAGTAGCATATGATTGTCGGTCAGATCAATAGAATGCAGGAGGATGGTTGAATTGGGGGGACTGAGAAGTGGAGTCTTGATATCTTGCTCAATCCAGGTGTGCTGATCACTGCAATATACTGCAATGTAGTCTCCAAGCTCAAATCTCATCAATAGCGGATGGTCTCCTGGCACGAACTTTCCAGGTGTGGTGCACGTAAGCTTTATGAGGTGGGGAGGTTCATTGTTCTGGCAATATTCAAGTTGGCTAGTCAGCACTGAGAAACCATCTAATAGATATAGAAGACCATACTTTCAACCAGAGCACTACATCAACCATATTGCGGATCATGATACTCAGACTTTGGTCAGCTTGAAAGCGTTGCTCAGCCACCAATGTCTGCTGGTGCCCAAGAACATAGTTCATGCATAATTGGGGTCTAATGGCCAAGCATAGTTTCATGAAGTAGCCAGGAGTGACTGAGTACTAGTAGCTAAAGATCGTGATGCACTCGCTGACAATGAATTCGATGTAGTAACTAGAGGGTGATCAAGTTGAGTAGACATGGGGTTAATGGTGGCAAGTGGTGGTACGATTGAGTTTTCATGCTGTTGAGTAGCAACAAGAGAAGATGCGGCTGTGACTTGGTGGACCCTACACCCTCCCACCACCTCACAACACTGCTTGCAGTTGCATTGTATGCAGTTTTTGTTGGCCTTCCATGGCTGAGTGCCTTGCTTCAAGTTGCAGCAGTCAGCCTTGGTACACAGGACCATATCAGCCATGCAAACATCCAGCGTCAGGCCACTGCTCGTTGTTGGAAGAAAAGTACTGTGAACGCACTACAAAATTTATACTGAGATGGCGATCAATATCAGGACTTGTCCAGGTGTAGGTCCAACTTACTAGTGACATAGTAGTGGCTTGGTGAAATAGCAGCGGGTCAGATGGTGATGAGGCAGACAGGCATGAGGCAGACAGGCAGACAGTGAGATAGTGGGGGGCAGATGGTGAAAACACTGGCTTGCCATTGTCATATATATGCCAGATGCTGTTGCAGGCAATGATCACAGCCGAGCAATGAGCTCTGGTGATGTCATTGTTTGGTTGATCTACTGAGACTGAGTTGAGTCTATGCAAGTCTATGAATGGTCTACAGAATCAGTTCACTTTCCACGAAAAGAATTTCTAATGCTCCTGGATTTTCTACATGTAGTCTATGGTATAGTCTACCCACATACTCTCAAAGTTCTGGTGATACCTTGTGTGAAGTTGTCAAAAGTGTGGGAATTGTCATGAAATCAATAGTTTGCTGATGAATGTGTTGAATAAAATTTTGATATGCACCACTCTGGTGTTACTGTTTGTTTGTGAATCGGAATCCATTGAGTAGTGATATCTCATGTAGCACATATTGGAACATTGTTTGCCCTTCATAGAATGTGCCACTCCAAGTGTCAGGCAACCATCAATCAGTCAAGACTGGCGATATCCTCATTGAGAGGTAATGCATACTCCTATGTACAAGAGGAGTAGGTTCTGCTTTAAAATATACTAGAGCATCATCCATGCTGTATGAAATATATTTCTTTGAGTGACAACCAATACCTGCACAACACGTACAACTCTGTTGTGATGGTCTGGTTGAAACACAGACTCATATCATTTGCCCTGGAGAGAGCTGCATCAATGTCATCGTCACCCTGAGCTAGTAAAAAAACATTCAGTGAAAGCCAAATGATATGTGTCCATATCACTGGGGACATCGCCAATGTGTATTTCACTTTAGCACATTGCAACGTCCTTTCTTGACCCTCTCAGTATCAGTCTGTTTTAAAGTTCATGAACCTGTGCCCACTTTTTTTTTCTTACATCCATCCAAACTCAAAAGGTTCTGAAACAAATAATGCCAATAGGCTGGCGTGCTTATACATTCGTCTTTCCTCGATAAGGCCCTTGAAGTATTCTTATGTGAAACCGGTCAGCAGATATACGAAGATTGTTGCGATGCTCTACTATATATTACCTTACATAACTTTCTCATCTGTTCACCGGTTCACTGATGAATTCCTGGTCTGGCATTGGCGTGCCGGCACAATCTGCCTTCCATTTTTACGGTATTCCGAAAGTGTTCCGCCGATGCAAATGTTTCACGACCAACATTTACGTTGAGCCCTTCGATCTCAATTTGGTGATCTGGATAGTGGTATATGTGCCATCGCCAAACATCTCCCAAGTTCACCTCTCACTCATACCCCCACTTCCATCAATATGACTATCGTCTCAAATGATCCTACTTGGTCGCCGGCCATCAATTCATATCGAGTTCTCAGCTATTTTTTAAGTTCGTGGCGGGCAGTCGGATGTTGAAGCCGATGTCTTAATCTAACCTTGACCGTGGTTTCGCAGTTGCCTCCTTTGTTGTAGTGACGTATGATTGGGGTGAGCATGATAATATTTTAAAGGACTGCTGGTGATATCTTGGAAACATTTTCAGCACTTACATTGGGACAAGAGGTATGTCGATGCTATGACCTGAGCAGTCGTCTCGCTAAGAATGGTTTTATAGATCGAGTTAGTCTGGGTGAGCAGAGTCTCATGTCAGAGGAATACACATAAAAATACATTCAATTCTCAGAGGCAACGCTGGTCTCTAATGACGGTTCTGTATCTCAGTGTATGTAGCTTGCCTGTCACGGTTGTCATGTTGTGCCGACTTGAAATATCCTAGGTTCGCTACCTTGGAATCATATTTACTGCGTATGTTCGGAAGGATAGACAATTGGCGTTATGCTAATAGTCTACCTCTCACAATCAGCCTGTACATGCTGGGTATGTCTCCTTAGTACATTCGCTGTCTTTGCTTCTTCTGACCAACGACATATAGACAATGTTCCTACCATCTCGATAACAGATACAGTGAGTCTTTTGCGCAGATGCTTACTATTCCCCTCCAATTAACCGTGGTGCCCTGTAGGAGTGAGTATTCTTCTCCAAGTTTGCTCACTTTTTGGTTCACCAATAACTGTCACATTATACTGCCACAGATGTGAGTCTGTTTGGAGTGTGTGCATAGTCTCTGAGGTTGATCACTGACTGGATTCCTCAGGCTGGATTATGGACGTCGTGTGTAATTGGATGTATGTTGTGGTAGTTGCAATGCTGTGTGGTGAGCTTGGCATTTGCAAGATCTCGGCTATATTGACTTGACTGGAACATACTGCAAGTCATCATGATCACTCGGTTATATGCCATGTATCATCAATCCAGAAAAATATTGATATTTCTCATTGTCGTTTTCCTGTCTGTCAACATTGTCAGTGGAGTGGGCGCTGTCATGTCCTCTATGCATACTTCATGGGGTACGTTTGATTATGGATGACCAAAATGTACATGGGACTCATTGACGAATACCAGAGGAACTCATTCTCTCTGGCACCTATCTGTGCTCGATTAACTTTGCGGAAGATGCCATACTTCTGGGTTCCGTTACTTGGATACTCGGCACTGCGTGGGAGGTCCTCGCACTATGTCTCGCAGTCTGGATTGCTGTCAAACACTTCCGTGAACTGCGATCATACCCGACAGGAGGGTTTATCGGGATTATTGGGGACTGCTTCACGGTGTTGATGAAAGCTCACGTGCTTTACTTTGCAAGGTGAGCTCATGTTGTGAACATGGTTCCCGTTTCTGCTAAAGGATTGGACATGCCAGCTTTCTTGCTGTTTCTTGCCTCCACCTCATTATTGATTTGTCTCCAGCACTCTCAGGGGTATGTCAATATTTCACTGATCCCTACCCTAGGTTCATCATTTCTATAGGAATATTCTCTGGCCGGTGCGATTAGTATTGGATTTTTTCAGATTTCGGAGGCCGTGCAGACGTTTGTGCTGGGACCTCGCCTAATCCTTAGCCTTCGAGAATACCACGCTAATCTCGTGGCCGACTCCGACGCAGCAACCGGCATGACCTCAATCGCTTTCCAAGAGCGCGTACATATATCGACTGGCAGTAGTGTGTAGTGCTCGGTGAAATTAACGGTTGTCTAGTGCTCTGAGGAGCAGGGGAATTTGCTTGTATTTATTCCTACTTTCGTGATAGTGAGCATCAGTTATTTTGCCGGATCCTTATTTAACCCTATTTTATTCAATGCTTGTGAACAGATTTTTGAACTACCTTGAAGGTTGCCTTTTCTGCTTGCAAGAAAGTGGTTCGAGCGTGCAAACAAGTCGTGCGCGAAGTTCGAAAAAGTTCCATTTTAGTATAATAAGCAAGGGTTGTACAAAAAAAGTCTAAAATGCGATGTGCAAACATCGTAAGTTCGATGATGCTGATGTTGCGGAGCAATGGGTCGAGTACCTTATACAGGAACAAGATGTGCAGCACGGCAAACTGAATCGATATGAATATGGGAAGAAGTTGTTAGCATCACTTTCTGTTGCCCTAGTTCATTGACGCTTTTGACAGTCACCATATACACTCGATCTAGCAAGGTCACCGCATCTGGCCACTTGACCATTCGCATTCAGCCTCATAATCTGGTTTGTCTCGTTTCTTGTATCGTATTGGGCTGATTCGCAGGACACAATAGACCGCAACACACGAAGAATCACGGCCGCCCTGATCCAAGCTGCATCCAAAGAGCCATCTGTTGCTGTCCATCGCGTGAAAGGACAGTAGTCAACAGAAAGGAGGAGCAAAAGCGAATGATTCTGGAGGAATGTGCCAGCGAATCAACTTTATTCGTTCTCGACAGGGCGAGAGCGAATTCGATTTGGACCGGATGCCCACACCTTTTGGGGGGCAGATAAGGACGAGCTATTAGGTATTGGGTAGCATGAGTTGAGTATGGGGCAAGCAGAAATAAGAGATGCTATCGGCATCTATTGCTTACCTGGAGACTCTGATACTCTTCGTTGCGTGATCAGCTGCAACAGCCCTGGAGGCCTTGCCACATGGCCGCTGCCTCGGGTATTCAACGGCCCCTCTGGTTCTTCAGTAGAGTTTGTCGGTGCCGTGAGTGACACTGGATGCTTCCTATAAAAGCTAAGGTAAGAAAAAATACGAGATCAAACTAACGTCCTGGATCGTCGTAACGATATCCTGCAACATTTGAACGAACGTAGAAGTATTTGTCCCGATGATGTCAGGATCGAGCAAAGCTTCATATACGTCTATAAATACGAGTTTATGTGATGTGACAATAGATAGGCTTGCTTACTTACCGGCAATGGCTTCTGCAAGAGAACGATGACCCACAATTCGTATACACTTGAAGAGACTTCGAGCAATATGTACAGCTTAATACGTGAGTCTACAAAATGCGGCCACTCACCGTTAATGCACCACCAGTTGATGTCGATATTGTATGCAGAGAAGTGTGTCCTTCGAGTAGGCTCCGACATAGATAGACTGGAAGGGAGCACATATGAGGAGACCGGAGATGGTTCGGTTCGGTTCAAGCACTAAGATACAGGAAGATGCACGTGACGTAGTTGTGGGCTGAAGCCTGAGCGTTTCGTCTGTGAGCTGCGGAGAACACGAAGATATCTAGATAACACATGGAATACGCACCTTATCGAAAGCCTTAGACCAACATTCGTGCAACTCTCTCGACTCCAAAACAAACGTCCATTGTCTCAGTGGCCAGCCCAACCCTCTCGTTCTCGCGTGCAGTGAATCTGTGTCTAGTTGCTCGCTGTGAGTAGCATGCTAAGCGAAAAAGGTGAAGGGTGGAACTTTACTTACTAAGTGGTTTCAAGGATCTTTGTGGAGATATCTTGCCAGTTTTCAGGGACCAGCGGCGACATCGTCCTGCATACATCATCCCGAAGTTTTCTTGCGTCTCTATCGTTCTCGTAAGTAAGGCCGCATGTACATCTATTGACATATATCAACTTGAAAACAGATAGGCCTGTGAACTCACCCATCATTTATACCCCCGCAAGACAACCCATTCTAATCCAAATATCCAACGATCTGCTTGCGCATATAGACCACGATTCCCTTGGTTGAGATCCCACGAGCGTCCACCATGTCTTCTCCTGCTGAGATGAAAAAGATGTCAGCAATAACTCCCCGCAAGACGATGCGAGGCCATACCAGGCAAGTAGAAGGTGTTGCGCACCTGCCCGGCGGGCAGCGCATTATCACATGTTCGTGCGACGGCTCACTTCGACTATGGGACCTAGAGAGCGATGCACAGATAGGTGACGAGTGGCGAGATGGAGGGGATGAGAAACAAGTAAGGATGATGGCATTGTCTCCGAATGGCAAGATTGTTGCCAGCGGAAGCCAGGACGGGACAGTCAGGTTGTGGGACATTGAGACGGGGAAGGTTGTCATCAAATGGGAAGGGCACACTCAATTGGTAATCTCGATGTGCTGGAGTCCAGATAGTGGGCAAGTTGTGAGTGGATCATTTGACGGGACGGCAAGAGTGTGGGATGTGAAGAGCGGCAAACCTGTTGAAGGTTTGAATCCAATCAAGACGGGATACGAGCTGCTGTACGCGGTGAGTTGCTCAACTGAGGGAACAATGATTGCAACAGGAGGATACATGGCATATGGAGGTCGAATCGACATCAGGGATGCAAAGACGGGCAAGTTGCTGTTCACCATCGAAGTCAGTCTGGTCGCAGTTAGGAGCTTAACCTGGACATCGGATGAAAAGAAGCTTATCGCCGGGGTGCTCATTGGCTCGATTAGGATATTCGACACTGCCACATGGCAGCAGATCGCCGTTCTTCACGTTCATGATGAACCTGTCTCATCCATCACTTTATTTCCGAACGACCGCCTCCTTGCGAGTACCTCATATGATAAAACAGCGCGGCTCTGGAATCTTGACACTAACCTCCAAGTCGGTTCACCTCTCCAACACGAAAGGGATGTCACGTCTGCAGCCTTTTCCGCCGATGGAAAGCTGCTATCCACGGGTTGTATTGATAACAACGCATATGTGTGGGACATTCAAGCCATCCTCAAAACATCTGGCTTAGAAGACCTCCTCTCCGTACCTGATGTGAGTATCAACTTGACTATCTCATCCCCAATGGCTGAGTCAGGTACAAAATTCTAAACTCAAAAAGAAGGTATGTATTATTTCGTGACTTTTCAAGAATGAAACACACTAATGTCCCACTTGCACAAGCCGTTAGCAGGTGTACGTTGTACCTTTTCCTGACCCTGATATTGATTGTAACATCGACATTCTAGACTAATGCTACGCGACGTCCACCCATCCGTCCAGTCCCCCGTCAATTGCCGGCAGACTTTTTCAATAACGTGCAAGGCCGCGATCCTGTGCGTTACCGCCGTCTCAATTTGCCCTGCTTTCTGACTTCTATGTTGTTAGGCATCTGATCCCTCCCTACATCGCCGCCGCCGTACTGTTGCACTATCCTGGGGATCACGTCCACATCCGCTCCTCACTCGCCTTCCTCAACTCTTCCGCCGTTCCCAGTCCAACGCTGGCGAACCAATCGAATCTCAGCAACGCCCAGGGCCCAGTACCTCCTCTCGTCGCAGTCCTCCTGTTGTCGAAGTTCCTGCACTAGACGATAAGAAGGTACGTCTTTTTTGGATGTGCTCTCAATGGTTGGTGTCTCAACCTTTCTTTACAGGCACTGTATACTGCTCGGCGGCATGAACGAGCTAGCGACAAGGCGAAGCGCATCAAGAATCCGAAATGGTGGGCCCGTGTTGTGTTATTCATCTGCTGTGCATCTCCGTCCACCAACGAGGGTCATTGATGGTGTTAGAACGTGCGCAATCACATTCATCTTGATATCCTCCTTTTAAAATCTCTATTTTCCGCTATCATAAATAACAACTATTGACGCCTCGCAAAGTTCTAATTTATCTGTGAGGTGATGGGTCGATTTGCACATTAGTTGATGAGGACTGTCTAGCTGGAGGAGCTCAGCGTGACGTGAACTTACAAATACATCAAGTACATTTCATACATGTGCTCGGCATATGTCCCAGATTCTCGAGCGCTACACTCAGATATACTTCTCTGATCAAAGAATACAACGTGATCCACTCACCGATTCGCTCGACCTTGGTCCCACACCCGAATGCCCTACAAAGAACTAACCCTCCTGCAGATTTAAACTCTTTTCAACGTTAGCTTCGCTCGTTTCCAGCCCAGTCAGGATTAGGCCAAGTATTCTTTTTGGGATGCACACAACTTCGCCTTGATCTTCGGGGCGTTGATGGGCATTTTACATACAGCATCATCACTACCATTCCGTTCCAGTCCGGTCGTCACGAAACCATCGACGAGAAAGATTCTGCATGAACGCAGTATGTGCCTGTGGCATTGTTCACTCCCGTGTTCTGATCTTTATATTCATGCGTCAAATGATGACTTCCTGCTCACATGTTCTGCTTCACACGCATTGTATTGCTCTAGCTCATGCCGCTTTTCACGGTCGTCTATATACACTCGACCTAGCAAGGCCACTCATCTGACCACTTGACCATTCGCACTCAGCCTCATAATCCGGTTTGTTTGGTTTCCTGTATCGTATTCGGCTGATTCATCTTAAACAGGACGCAATTTTTGACGTGTCTAAAGCTGACAATTCACTGTCACGACGGTCGGTCTAGCGACTTTAAGTAAGACCGAGAATCTCAGTGAGCAAGATTGCGCTCGGGCGTTCCTTACTGGTACAAAATTCATAGAGGGCTTTCAATGCCAACCAAGGGAGCGCTACTACTGCGAATACGCTATGTGAACTCTTCTTCAGGAACGGTAGCCACAAACTAGTATGTGATTTTTCGATCACCTTCAAGAACACACTTCACACCACGTCATTAGACTTTGAAGCTTGCGGAGTGCACTATTCGGTTCGCTGATACCCTTACGTTGCTAACAGAGGGAAACCTCAAAGCTGCTCAGGTGCTACATGCGGAGAGCTCTCTCAAAGAAGCTACCAAGTATTACACAACGGCCATAGATGGCTAACCAAAATATGTTTTAGGCGCCATCGGCATACCACAAATGCAGGTCCAGAACGGTAAGCTGACTTGAACAGAGAAGCAGACATGGTACCTCATCTCAGTTTCAGATGAGATAGCTGCAGCGATCCACACCCTTTATCTTCTTCTGCAGCCTCCAAATACTCAGCATTCCATTGAAGCAATGGTCATGCTCGCTTCCCTCCGCACATACCCTCGTCCAGGAGTTTCATATTTCGCTCAAGAAAATATTTAAGTCCGTGAATTATTCGACCGCGCTATCAAAGCTCTTGAGCAAGACGACTCTCATGCATCCAATGGTCACGTCCCACATCACACAGCCAGTCGTGTCAATAATGACTTGGATATGCATGTTGACATTGCACAGCTTTAACAGGAAGAGAGTCTCGACAGGACAACGCGGGCCCTTAAGAGGTACGGGCCTTGAAGACTTATTCACCGAAGCAGCTAGCCTGGGCCGGACGTTGGAGAGGGGATGTCAACATCGATTTCATGTCACGCGGGCGCACGAGGAGGGTGGCGACGTTACAATGGCGAAGGAAGCATACGAACAAGCTCTTAGCAAGACATCCGGAGTATGTTGATGGTGAGTGCAGGTAAATAGTACTTGTGTCGCTGTCTTATTGTCCTTCAGCTAGGGTTCGACAAGCGCAGATACTAGCTGATCGAGTCAATTAGACGAACGAAGAAGTGCAGGACCTCCTGAAACAAGCCATGGTGTCACAAACCAGCAACATTCCTGAGGAGGAACAATCGGAATATGATTGTCTTGTTTTGCATGAACAAGACGCGTTATACAGATTTCTTGTTCTTGTTTTACGGAGTTTTCATTTAATCTTGTAGCCATGACTTCTTGGCCCATTGATTATTCATATGTTGTTGTTCTATTTTCGCTGTCCAACAGCTAACGGCTTGGAGTAGAGCTCACTTCACTCTTGTAGATACTGCAACAATAAAACCAAGTTTCTTAGACATAGTAACGATTCTCTACGCTGGTCATGTTTCGAGTCCCGACATACGTTCGCAAGGAACGTGGCTCTGACATACATCTGGAGTTGCCAAAACAGGAAAGTCGTCAGAAACACATGTTACGAGCCTTACGATATTGATATTCGAGGTTCCATATGTACGGGGAATGAGGAAGACAATGGAGGTAAGACGACTAAGAGTGAAACGGTGTCGCATTGGTGGCTATTGTACAAGATAGCTTGCCACAAGAAGGTCCAGTGTGACACTAGTGACAATGCCTAGAACATTCACAATGGCTTCAACTTGTTTCATCGTCCACATCCACCAAGAATGAATTGTGGACATGAACCAGCTATATAAGGCGTAGGCATCTCCTCTGCATCGTTATCGTCCCTTCATCTCTTACTTTCACCTCAGTCAATTTAAACCAGCCTGATCCTCAACGAGCACGGACTCCTTCACTGAATCCGTTCTCCGAGATCCATCCTGTGCTGCACTTGATGTTACGCAGGACGTTCGGAACTCCTATCATCGTGTGTTGGGTGAACCCAATCGTCCACATTCGGTTCGTCCCACACACGGTGCTCCTCTCAAAGCCAGGTGGATACTCAGCAATGAAGCTTATTGCCGAGTATCCACCTGGCTGATGAGATATGCATGGCGTACTAATCTTGCGTGTTCTCTCCATGATAGAACATCCATCAAAGTCCGAGAATTCGGTCAACCCTGAAGACACTCGAGTGATGCCCCTGGATCTAACTCAACTTGAAGTGCGGCGTTTCAGCCTCATACAGGTTATATACATCGATTGAAGGTCAACTGAGGCTCGCCGCGTCTCCCGTCCAATTCGCAACATGAGTGACTCAGCGGAACAACTCCCCTATTTCAATGTTGCTACGTTTTTGCAACTTTAAGGTTGCTGTCGACAACGAAAAACGTAGCAAAGTTGAAATCGGCGAGTTCTTCGGCTGAGTAAATCATATTGCCGAATTGAATCGGAGACGTGGCGACCCTCGGTTGACCTTCGATCGATGTATATGGCCTGTGAGGCTGAAACTGCCGCGCTTCACGTTGGGAGGTATGGACTATGAAGTGTCTTCAGGGTGTTACTTCTTCGTAGACAGCCAGTGTCGTAGCGATGTAATAAGATATTGATTAACGATTCGTCTGGCCTATTTGTCTTTCAAATCTACTTTCGAGCACTAAATGAAATATCAAGTACCGTGACAAATAAAACACATTCTCCCGCTCCTTGCAGAGTACCTGACAACTGTTAATTAGCCCGAACGTTTCCCATACTACACACTGCTGGTTGAAATATGCCGGAAAGTAATTGACGTCGTACCGGTCGCTGAATCCCAGCCGCACATGAGCTTAGCGTTGTATTCCCGAACGCCAAGCGTGGTGGTGCAGAGCTGCGCGGTATTGACGTGATTGATGATTGACGCCTTCGCAGTGACACCGGCATGCAGTGTCAACGATCCCTTTATATATGTCACTTGAAAGAATCCAGCAACCCTAAGGGGGTGACAGTCCCCCATCAGGATTAGGAACATAAAGCGGTGATTTTTTTTCTATACATTGGCTGTACAGGTTGCATACTCACCCCACAACCCTACCATGGCTGTACATGCTGGCTTCACAAATTACTACATACTCACCAAATATTGGCAGCTCATAGCTTACGCAATGCGGTCCCATCAAAATGCCACAAATGCACCGCATGCGACGACAGATGGACCAATGAATTATGGTGTACCACCATTAAATATTAGGACTTCGATCAATACGTGACTGCAGAACTTCAGTGCGACTGCTTACCGGTCTGCAGGGAAAACATGGATAACTAGGGGTTCGCGTTGCGAACTTGTGACCTTGCTCCGATATGCAGGCAATTGGCCGGTGCTCTGGATTTCTGTAATTGCTACAGTTTTGAGTTTCCAGATTTTAGATCTAGGTTACTCGTTTTCTACGACGTTCTTTTATCTCACGTGATTGCACGATAAAAATGGAGATAGCTCATGCCGCGTCGCAACCACCAAGACATGCCAAGACATGATATAAGTGCCGTTAGTCGCAGTCCTGGGCGCGGGCACCTTGTACGCACAGCACCACGAGCATACACAGGATGATGCATCTTAGCGGACGATTTAAACAATCAATCGCCCAACCTCATCGACTCCGAACTAAACGTCTACTGCCTCAGCTCGGTGTGCATCCCTCTCGTTGATTGGTAGAACGCATCCGTGTCTCGTTCTTCTAAGGAGAGCTTGCCCTAAGTGATACTCTTGGTGCTTCAGGCAGGAAAAGATAAGACCACTCCGAGTCACTGACCGGTGTCAAGAATCCTCATCGTTATCTCCAGAAATAGTGGAGAACGCAGTAAAGGCATCGTGCGCGAGCTTCCCTGAAAAAGTTTCTTTGTGAGTGATTCACTCTGGGCTTCCATCGACAAGAATTGAAGTCATAGCAGATAGGTTAACTCACCCGCAGTCTTGGTCCCTGCAAGGCGACAACAACTCGCTTAATTCCAAAGAAGATCCAACACCAAGCTCTCCCGTTACACACAATCCACTGTTTTTCTTGTGTTTTTAATCAGCGTTTGTTGTTCGTTGGGGCGATGAGGGTTTATAGAGGATACCATCAAGACGCCTTTGGTCGCAAACATCGCCAAGCACCGACTCGGACCATCCCCACCCCTGCCATCCCGTCTTCCTCCGCCCCCACCATCCCATCTTCCCCTACGGCTAAACTCCCGGTGATGGCACCCTACAGGACCATACAAGGCCATTCCGGCTTCGTGGAAGGCGTCGTGCACCTGCCTGGAGGGCAGCATATCATCACATGTTCGTATGGCGGTTCACCCAAGCTATGGGACATAGAAAGCAGTGCTCAGATAGGCGACGACTGGCGAGACGATGAGGGTAGTGGGGGATTGAAGACCATGGCATTGTCTCCAAAGGGCGACACGATTGCAAGCGGAAGCATTGATGGGACAGTGAGGTTGTGGGATGTTGACTCGGGGAAGGTTGTTACCAAGTGGACAGGACACACTGAAGCTGTCAATTCGGTGTGCTGGAGTCCAGATGGTGAGAGAGTGGTGAGCGGAGCAAGTGACGAGACGATCAAAGTGTGGAATGTCAGAAGTGTCACACCGGTCCTGGGTCTGAATCCAACTAAGACAGGGCAGTCGGCGCACGCTGTGAGTTACTCACCCAAGGCAACAAAATTCGCAACAGCGGGATCCAATATTAAAATCTGGGATGCCAAGATGGGCAAGCTGCTCTCGACAGTTGGACACGCTGATGTCGCTTGCAGCCTGGCCTGGACGTCGGATGACAAGAAGCTTATCGCCGGGTACACGAGCGGTTCGATTAGAATATTCAACACTGCCACATGGACGGAGATCGCCCTTCTTGACGGTCATAGAGGCCCTGTCTATGGCATCGCTTTGTCGCGAAATGACCGGCTCCTTGTGAGTGCATCAGGAGATCAAAAGGCGCGTCTGTGGAATCTCGATACAAAATTCCTAGTTGGTCCACCCCTCCAGCACGAACATATTGTGACTAGTGCAGCTTTTTCCGATGACGGAACGCTGCTATCCACAGGTTGTGCTGATGAAAATACATATGTATGGAATATCCACGCCATCCTCCAAGCAACTGGTCTAGAAACCCTCCTATCCATACCTGATGTGATTGTCAACATATCACCCACTGTCTCACTGACAATTCTGATATAGTTTACTTTCAACCAGGCACCAAAAGTTGAACCCAAACAGAACGTGTATGTGTCTTCTCATGGCTCTTCGCAGAACATAGAAGATAAATCATTTTTGGAGGTACGTGATGTGTCCATCAACCTCGTTAACGAGAATAACGTCGACATTACAGGCTGGTGCTACGGGTTCACTCAACCCGCTCGGAGATGCTGATGAACTCCCACCAGGTTTTTTTGACGACATGGAAGCCAATGCTCATGTGCGCCATTACCACTTCTATCCATAATATTTGGTCCTGACCTATATGTTCTCAGTCCTCCCCAAGACCTGGTACTCGTCGTAATTTTTCTGTGCTCCTTGATCGCTTTTCCTCGCTCCTTCACCGCTCTTCACCCAATGAAGCGATCGAAACTTCGGAGTCACGTTCACGTGCGCTCCGTAGTCGCTTATCTTCACTCCTTCGCTCTCCGCCGAACACTGATCGAATATCTGAACTTCCGCAACCCTCAATGCTTGCGCGATTAAGTCCTCAGGTGCTCCTAGGTCACCTGTCCTTACTCTTGCCCCACTCTCGCCTCCACACCAGCGAAACAACCGAGCCTCAGCAATCCCAATTGCCCTCGGGGTCACGTCCAGGTGCACTTATTGGCCTGTCGTCACTCTTCCGCTCTCCACCCAACGCCGATGAAACACCCGAACCTCACCTATGGACAAGGCAAACTACCTCTTCTCATTGCAGTCCTCAGGTTGTCGAAGTTGTTGCACAACGGGACAAGCAGGTACGTCTTTCTTGGATGTATGTCCGATTTCTGAGGTCTGATAACCTTGAAGGCATTGTATGTTTCTCCGCCGCGGGAAACGGCTAGTGAAAAGGCGAAACGCATCAAGAACCCTACGTGGGGGGTTCGTGTGGTGTTGTTCCTCTGCTGTGTTTCTCCGGGCACCGACGGCACTCATGGCAGCACATAGGTATCGTCTTGGAATTCTAGTCCTCTTTATCTCGTAGATATTCTTTCTTATTAGTCACCTATATTTGCATTCCATACTGACTCGTACATCCCTCGAGAACTAATTATCATGAAACATATTTTCAGGAAAACACTGGAATATATGGTAGGCCGAGCTCAGACAACGAGATATGCTATCCATACTGCATGTCCACTAGGTGACATTCGGGCTGTGCTATGTCAGGGGAAGTCTACAAGGACTCTGCAGAAATACGTGTGCTGGAGCTAAGACGCGAACGTTTGTGACTTGTGAAGGCGAGAAGTTGTACACCATTGCATTCAGATTTCCAACCTTGACGAACTCGCTGTGCTTCATCAGGGCTCAGGTCAAGATGTAGTCAGGGAAAATGTTGGATTTCGCTCTGAAGATGGTGACTATCGAGTAGCGCCTAGACCCAGCTTCGTATTCTTGATGATAGCCGTCAAAGGCGCATCAATCCCAGTGGACGCATCGCCACCGATCCTGTCTCCTTCTGCCCATCCCATAGACGCAAGCATCTTGAACCCGACATTCGTTTCTCCGATCTTTGGAGCAGCCTGCAAACGAGAATGTAAGAGTCGCATTTATGTCAAGTAGACGAATCACATGCCTTGCCAACTTCATCTCCATCTTTGTGTCGAGGCATCGTATCAAATCGGCCTCCATGTTTCTTCATGACACTCTTGACTTTGCGTTCATCGATAGCACGCATGTTTGTGGACTTGATGAGAGTAGTATATCTCCCCCTTCCCTTGCCTTTACTTTGACTCTTGAGGTTAAACGAGTTAGCAAGCTCGTGAACTTCCTTCCTCGACGCCTTGTTCATCGGAGGAAGAACCATGTTGTTCTTTCCGCCGGTGTCACTAATGAAGCGACGAATCTGCCTCTCCAGTGTCACCATATCCACAATGGCATTCTTGATTTCAGCAAGCTCCTCCGGATCCAGCCGTGCAGCTGCCCGCATCGCCTTGCGTCCCTTCTTACCGCCTTTCTTTGGAGAAATGGGATCGACGGCATCGAGAAGGCGGGCCTCCTCGCGAGCTCGTTTGTATTCAGCTTTCTTGGCTCGATCTTTCGCCCACATCTTTTGGAGCTCTGCGGGCAATTCCCTCATCTTGTCTTTCTTGCCCTCTGAAAATCGATTAGATAACTTATCAACATGTATGGCAAGAGCACCAACTCGCTGGCTGATAGCTGAAGGATCCATCCAATTCTTCGTAGTCGTCGACGTGATCGAATTGACCATTCTGTATTGCACGGAATAGTTTATTGCGTAGTTTGCGGTCTTTACTGCCAGCTATATCGCTGTGCATTTCAAGTATGTCCTGTAGGTAGAAGTCAGCCTCCATGGAGTGCAAGGAGGAAAATCGAGACACCTCTATTCGTGCGATGTAATCATCGTCGGAATCACCTCGATTCCATGGTGGGAAAGGAGCATCAGACTCCTCTTCTGAGTCGCTTCCAGCTGCAGCCGTCGCTGGCTTCGTTGAGCGGGATTTCTCACGGACTCGACGGAGTCTAGCCTGGAAGTTAGCTCTTGGACTGAGCTCATCATCGGACGAATCATCTGCTTCGTCAGAATGATCTGAGCGTGAAGGGTCACAAAGCCTTCCACCCTCTGACTCTGCAATAAGTATTTCTTCCTCAACTTCAAACACCGCGTTTTCTTCCTTGTCTTCTTCATCGCTTGTGTCATTATAGTTCCCATGGGAGTCACTTCCGTCGTCTTCTTCCTCGTCCTGGATTTCATCTGTCGTGCGATGCCGCGATCCCTCCGCGCTCATGCTCTGAACGAAGCCTTTCATAGCCTCCAAATCTGGTTCAAGATCTGGGTCTAGATCCATCTCCCCTAGTCCAGTAGACACTTCGTCGACACCATCATTTACCGGAGCGCCACTCTCATCGTCATCGTCATCGCCAAAATCAACATCAGAATCGTCCTTCCGCCGAGACTCCCATCGAGCACTCTTGCGCTCCCGTTCATCAGCATCTCTCAATCTCGCTTCAGAAAGTATTGCGCCGAAGGATCCAAACATTGCCTGACGTTTAGCACGCTTACGAGCTACTCGAGCATCTTGTTTCCTTGCTTGCGTCCTCGCTTTTGAGCGATCGCCCGGAGTGAAGATCGGTCTCTGACGGGACGGTTTCTTCGTGCTGGGAGTAGCGAAATCGAACGAAACGGAGGAGAACTGGGGAGCTTCGCTCTGAACTGGAGGACTCTTATTATCGATTGTGTCCTCGTGCGCCACGGGCCCTGTGTAGGTTTGCATGGGACTGGTAGTACCTGTCAGTACAGACCTCGAGGGTAACCGTACCCGAGGAACATTAGGAATGGGCGAAGCTTGCCCTGATCGTGGGTGGGGCGCAACATATACGATAAGTTCGTCATCTTCTCCAAGAGGAGCGCCATTCCAGACGGTGCGATCAAAGAGCACGACATCGCTGGCGGCGCGATGCGCAAATGGTTTAGTAGCCTCTGTATCCACGAAGAAGGTGGGGATATCGTCTTCAGGAAGACGTGTAGGGGAAACAGCGATTTCGCTTGATATTGGTGCTGTGGGAGATTGCGAGGATGTGATGGTGCCTGGTTTATCGATGACTATTTCGTCATCTTTGGTTATCACTAGGGCAGCTGTTGAATGCTCTAGCGTAGTGACGCTGTGTACAGTAATCGCGGTTGCCTCACTGACCACCGCATCAATAGATATGGGGTTAGGTTTTTGGGGCGATACATCTGCGCGCTGGGATGAGGGAGTTGCGACAGAGTAATTTCTCTTGTTATACATCCCGGTGAACACCTCCTCGCGTGAAGAAGCGACTTGTGCATGTGAAACCCGGGTACTAGTCGAAGCCTGATTCGTAGTATGAAGCTGAGGAAACAGATTTCCCATATCAGCAAAGTCGACCTCCTCCAATTCCTCCTCATGATCAGAAACACCGTCTTCTGAAGATGACGAGGATGGAGGGGGAAGAGTTGCTCCACTGAACACGCGAGCAACGCGATCTGCAGTAGGAACGTGGCTTTCTTCACTCGGACCTAACCATCCAACACCGAACATTCAGGACAAACCACAATGACCAGAAAAACACAATACATACCGGCACTCTCAGCCACAGGCTGCAGAATATCTTCTTCCTCATGAAACAACGTCCTCGTAAGCACCGATGGCACGAATATCACAGGTTTGAGGTATGGTCGTTCAGAGTAGAGGAGTTTTGAGAGAGGTGCGTTTGGTACATTTCTGTTGTGGCCGAAGCCTGGTCGTGCTCTGGGAGCGTCGGATGTTCCTTGTCCTCGTCCTCTACCTCTGGTACCCATCCCACGACGAGGGGTGTTTCCTCCTCGCTGAGGTGTACCTGATCCCGATCCCGATCCAAGTCCTCCTCGACCGCGCGATGGAGTCCTACTTCTCGACAAGTCTGCACAGATGTCAAGATAAGAAGAAACATTTGTATGAGTGTTTCCATACGCACTGTTCGATAATGATGGCTCCTGCCAGACCTGAATTGCGATATCTATCTCGTTTTGACCATGAGGGTAGTTTCCTCGAGGTGTATCATCGTTATAGTCTTGCCCACGTCCTCGTCCACGTCCTCCATGTCCATGCCCACGTCCGCGACCTCGGCCACGACCTGGGCCTCTAGGAAATCCATACCCACGATTGTTGTTGTTTCCTCTAGGCATAGCGATACAAAGAGCAAATCGTACAAGAGATATGGACAAGATCAAGATACAAGATGATATACAATGTCGGTTAGATATATGAATATGTTGGACTTTGAGAGGATGAATGAATCATATCATTGACACGAGATTGCGGTGCCGCTCACAGTTTGGGAACTTTGCGTGTACTTTCAAGCATCAAAACAAACTGGCTGCAGCCAATCAGAAACCTCAAAATTTGACTGGAATACGTCACGTCGAATACCCATTCATATTTGAAAGTTACGTATGGAACACGAATCAGGAGTATTTAAAGTAGCACTGCAAACTTTCACGACTCTGAAGGAAATAAAAGATTCTGGACTATATGACATGTGTACGATACCATGGCCATGCATAGTCGAACAGCGATGATAACTCGCAGAAAAGATAGAAACGAAAGGAGAAGGAAAAAGAAAAAGAAAGGATCAAGAAACCAAAAAATTCATTCATAACATAAATCTTCATACATGTATTCCTACTCAACGTCAGCAATCCACACTTCAACCAACCCACAAACACATACCTCAACCAGATCTCGGAGGAGGCGGCAAATACCTGCGATCATCCCTAGGATCTGGTCTATACGGAAGCCGTCCATACATTCTCGGAGGGGGCGACCTCGGCGGCCTCGTATCCCTGTCGTACGCAGCCCCATAAGACGGACCACCATCCCCAGGTCCCGACCTCTCTCTTGGCGGATAATCCCTCTCAACCCCAGCAGAAGCACTACTAAACGGCGGCGGCCCCCCACGCGGCTCATAGAACCCACCGCTTGTCCCACTCCCTGGTGGCGGCGTTGCAGCAGAACGAGGTGGGTAATCACCCATAGACATCGACGGTCTGCGAGGCGAGTAGTACCCACCACCACTGCTGTACGGCGGGTCCTCGCGTGCACGTTTGAGAGGTGGTCGGATATCGTCGAGAGAACTGTTCGCGCCACCTCTTCTTGGCGGACTCGGGCTGCGCGGACGGACACCACGAACGAAGGGGGGGTCGTTGTCTGGACCTGTGTAGCGGGGACGGTCAAAGTCTCGCGGTGGATACGAACGGTCGTCCACGGGGGGCAGGTATCCATCTCCCAGGCGCGAGCTCAGTGGGCGGGAAGAATCAATAGGGCGGACTGGGGAACTGGAAAACGGTGCTCTCCGTTCCGAATCACGACCTTCCCACCCGGAACTTCTGGGAGGTGGTGCGTCGCGGTCATACCGTTCTCTCTGGGGCTCTCTTTCATAGGGCCTCCATATAGGCGGACGAGACTTGTCATCATCGGCAGCTCCATACCAGTCACGCCGCCTATCGAATGAGTCTCGCTGATCAGTAGTCGCAAACCTTCGGTCAGAATCAGCTTCGAATGGTACATCCGCCCGAGGTGGTGACCGTGGAGGATAGTAACTCCTGCCTCGAACGTCTGAAGGAGGCGGTGGACTGTAGCGGCGAGAATCCATAGAATCAGGACGCCTGTCATCACTGAACCCTCTGTCAAGGTCCGAGCGGTAAGGTGGTCTTACATCTGATCTCTCTCGTGAGAGATCCCTTGCACGGAGATCGCGCGCATCACGAACTGGCGGTGAATCTTTGGGTCCACGAAGGTCATCCCGAGCGACAGATGCCGCCCGAGGTGGTGCCACATAACCACTAGAACGAGGGGGAGGAGTTGCTGGGCGTGCAAAGTTATCGTTGACAGGTGGACGAGGACGGACGTCAGCAGGAGCAGCAGGACGATCATTCAAAGGCAGTACACGTGATGGTTCTACAGGGCTAGTACGGACATCCGGAAGAGGCCGATCAGAAGCGATAGGTGCATTTGACAAGCGCTCCTCCAAACTCGGTTGATGGGTGATACGGTTTTCCACTCTTGGAGCCCCGGGCTGGCTGAGACGTTCTTGGAGGGAAGGGACTGATTGTTGAGATATTCTCTCTTCAAGAGGTCGAGGACGATCAACATCCGCTGCACGTGCCACATCGGCAGGAGGAAGGCGAGTAGGTCTGTCATCAGCCATGCGGTGACTGTCATCGGGTGAAAGCGGAGGTCGAACAGTACGATCTTCAGAACTATGAACTGAGCCAGAGACTCTCGTTGGACGATCGTCAAGGGTGACTCGACTAGGACGATCGCGGTCATCAACCACCATACTACGGGATTCACGGTCATCAACAGGCGGCCGCCTATCATCGAGAGATGGGCGTGGACCGCGATCGTCAGGACGCAGGGGAGGGCGCCTGTCTACATCCAAATCGTCTTTTGAATCATAGCGGCGAGGAGGGATGTTGTCAAATGGATATCGGGGCTCATAATGGCGTTGTTCTGGGGGAGGTCTAGGAGCATGACTGCGCCCATAGGAACGACCACCGTATTGAGGACGGTCTCTATCACGATCACGTCCCCATTCACGCTCTCTTTCACGTTCTCTTTCACGTTCTCTGTCTCTTTCTTTATCAAGGGATGCTTGATCCCTTGGAGGCAGTCGAGGGTCATTACCGTTAGGGCGGCTATCGAGAGGACGGCGTTCTGCATCAAATCGGACCCTTCTGTCGTCCAATGGGGTATCTCGTCTAATATCGTCTTTACCATCGTAGGTGGACTTTGGTGCTGAAGAGTCGACGGGAGGACGAGTGGTATACTCACCAGGACGGTCACCAGGAGGACGAGATGTGTCATTTTTTGAACTGTCGCGATGATCGCCTGAAAGAGCACCATCTCGGAGATTGACGTCGGTATTATCTGGACCCGTTGACATCTTTCTTTCGGGTTTCTGGGGTGGAGCTTCAACCTTTTTTCCAGGTTTGGGTCCTCCAGGTGGGGGAGTAGGGTCTGGATTCTAAGAACACGTGTTAGGTGAGAGAGGGTTAGGGTAAGACCGAAGATAAGCACATTAGCTGTTGATGACGATTTCTTGACTGCGGGTGGATCCGGGGGCCTCCTTGCGGAATCTGAAGAGTAAGGAGGGATTTGGTCGTCAGAAGAGTTATCGTAAGCAGACTGGTTGTAATAATCCGCAGGAAGCTGTTCTGGATGCGGCAGAACCTGAGAAGAGGTTGGGCCCAAGTATAGGCTAGCGAGAGCAGCCGGCTGAGGTATTGCACGATAGAACTCGTGCTGACCTTCCTTGATGATAGATTTTAAATTTTCTAGTACTTCAAGATCGTTTTTGCCTGGAGGTAGGATGACTTGCGGAGAAAAGAACTGTTGCTGTTGCTGTTGTTGTTGTTGCTGGGCCTGCTGTGGCTGACTGTTGGGTCCGTGCGCATGAAAATTATAGGACATGCCGAAATTCTGAAAGTTGTTGTTTGGGTTGTTGGTAGTAGATGTAGAAGCAACAGAGAATGGTGAAGACAGAGCAGGTTCTTCACTTGGTAGTGGGACTAGGAAAGAAGTGTTTGGATCCTCTGTAAACGTGGTGACCGTTCGTTCGCGGTTATTGACGTTGTTTCGGCCTTTGCGCTTTTTATTTTGCCTTGCTGACATTTTTTTGCGATCCGAATTGGTTTAAAATCGTTGGTTTTTAGATGGTTTTACCTTGGTTTTAATCCTACCAAAGATCGATCAGTCCGATTAAAAATTAAGCTGAAAACAATGCTTTACCAACGAGGCTGGAAGATGGGAGTCAAGAAGATAGAGAGAGCGTCAAACTTGATTCAGATTTATCCCAAACGTGTCCGTCTTTTCACAGCTGCTTCACATAGCGATTTATGAGCGCTCTCACTGGTAACTAAATATTATATATCTATAGCTCGTCCTCAGCAGCAATCGACGGATTTTAATACACGTATTGACACACTGTGCACACAGCACCGTTGAACAGCATGCCACTGCCGCGTGGGTACAAGGAAAAGCATCGAACTTTGTAGAATAGTGGTGAAATTTCCTAAAAAAGATAGCCACGAAATGTGAAGAATTCATCAACGCGCTTGAATTTGCATTTAAAAAAAACTCTGCTTGCCATCTGATCTTAATCACGAACTATCTTCATTAGAATCATTTGGTCGCAATGTCTGTCGTCGGTGTCGACTTCGGTACTCTGCACAGCAAAGTTTGTGCTTTATCATCGCTTAGATCACATCAATGCACTAACTTCTTGTTATCCAAAGATCGGCGTAGCAAGAAATCGAGGTATCGATATCATTGTAAACGAGGTTTCCAATCGTGCAACACCGTCTGCATCTTCTTTCTCGCATCCTTGCATTTTTAATTCTCATTCCATGTCTTTCTTTTTAGATCTCTTGTGGCATTTGGCCCAAAACAACGCTCTATCGGTGAATCTGCAAAAACACAAGAGACCTCAAATTTCAAGAATACCATAGGTAGCCTCAAGCGCCTCATCGGCAGAACACTACAGGATCCAGATGTCGAAGCAGAGAAGAAATTCCTCAATGCATCTCTTGTCGATGTCGAAGGAACAGTCGGCGTAGAGGTTCGCTAGCGATAAAAAATTAATTAATCTCATACTGATCTTTGCCACCCCAGGTAACATATCGCGGCGAAAAGCAGATTTTTTCTGCTACCCAGCTTGTTGCAATGTATTTCGGCAAGCTGCGTGATATCACCGCAAATGAGCTCAAGACCGCAGTCTCTGATCTCGTTATTGCTGTCCCAGGATGGTATACCGATATTCAGCGACGAGCAATGCTCGACGCAGCACAAATTGCTGGTCTCAATGCTCTGCGTCTCATCAATGACGTGACTGCTGTCGCACTCGGCTACGGTATCACAAAGCTTGATCTCCCCGAGCCAGAAAACCCGCGACACGTCATGTTCGTGGATGTTGGCCATTCCTCCATGTCCGTCTCAGTCATCGCTTTCTCCAAAGGTCAATTGTCCGTCAAAGCAGCTGCGTACGATCGCCACCTAGGTGGTCGTGATATCGATTACGCTCTCATCCAGTACTTTGCTGCTGAGTTTAACGCCAAATACCACATCGACGTCCTTTCCAACCCAAAAGCAACCTTCCGTCTCCTCGCCAGCTGCGAGAAACTGAAAAAGGTCCTTTCAGCTAACAACGAGGCCCCCTTGAACGTCGAATCACTCATGAACGACATTGACGCCTCATCCAAACTCAACCGTGAAACTTACGAAGAGCTCATCTCAGGCGTCCTAGACCGCATCGCCCTGCCCCTCCAACAAGCCCTCGCCGAATCACAAGTTAGCATCGATGATATCGACACCGTCGAGCTCGTCGGTGGCACCACCCGTATCCCTGCAGTCCGCGCCCGCATCCAAGCAGCCCTCGGGGGCAAAGTCCTTTCAACCACCCTCAACCAAGACGAAGCCATCGCTCGCGGCGCTACCTTCGCAGCTGCCTTTCAATCCCCTACTTTCCGCGTGCGCGAGTTCCACGTGCACGATATCAACCAGTACCCGATCAAGGTGTCATGGGAGCGCTCTGCCTCAGACCCAGATGATGACACCGAGCTTGTCGTTTTCCCTCGTGGGAATGGTATCCCGTCTACCAAGATCCTTACGTTCTACCGCAAGGAGCCGTTTGAGATCGATGCCGAGTATGTAGAGCCTGCTACTCTGCCGGGAGGGGTCAACCCATGGATTGCACGGTTCACGGCACAAGCTGTTCCACCTGCCCCGAACGGCGACCTTACATGCGTGAAGTTGAAGACGCGGTTGAATTTGCATGGGATCATGTCTTTTGAGAATGTGTACACGGAAGAGGTGGAGGAGCGCGAGGAGACTATGGAGGTTGATGGGGAGGCACCGAAGAAGAAGCGGGTTGTGAAGAAGGAGATTCCGTTCTCTACTCGTACTTCCTCGCTTGAGCCAAGCATCGTTGAGAAGCTGAAAGAGCTGGAGGCGGGAATGCATGCTGCTGATAAGCTTGTCATGGACACCGAGGTTTGTTCGACCAATCAATGCTATTGACGCGTACTTATGATTATCAACAGGACCGCAAGAACGCGCTCGAGGAATATGTTTACGACATGCGCGCCAAGCTCGACGAGCGCTACTCATCCTTCGCACAGACTGCAGAAAAAGAGAAACTCAACGGGATGTTCCAAGAAGCCGAGGACTGGCTGTACTCCGACGAAGGCGAAGACGCCACCAAATCCGCGTACGTCGGCAAACTTGACGCCCTCAAAGCAGTCGGCGACCCCATCGTCGCGCGCTACCGCGAAGCCGATGAGCGACCCAGAGCCATGGCCCAACTCCGCGCAACCCTCAACGACTACATCTCCCAAGCCACCTCCCCCGACGAGAAATTCGCGCACATCGCCGACAGCGAAAAACAAAAAGTCGTCGAAAAATGCGCGACGGTCCAAAAGTGGCTCGATGACCAGAATGCACGGCAAGCTGAGAAGCCGAAGAATGTGGATCCTGTGTTGACGAGTGTGGAAATTGGGAAGAAGAGGGAGGATGTGATTTATTTCGCGATTCCGATTTTGACGAAGCCGAAGCCTAAGCCTGTGAAGGCAGAAGGGACGTCTGGGACGCAGACACCGCAGAGTGGGACTCAGACGCCTGACGCGGGGGCGCAAGGGCCGCAGAAGGGGGAGCAGGGTCCGCAGAAGGCAGAGGAGGAGGCCCCCGGGCCGCCGGAGATGGATGTTGATTAGACCTCTAATTGATCTCTGAGTCTGAGTAACTTGCGTTTCGTAAAATTAGCCGTAATTTGTGATTAGACCGTGATGATGCATATGATGCGTAGAGCATATACAGTACTGCAATATAGTGTACCACTGTTATCGTTGAACGTCTATCTTCCGGCTCTTTGTCTTCAACGAAAATATTCAACGACGAGCCACTCCATCGTTCATTTCCTTTTTTAGGATGATTTCATCTTGACGGGTCACCGTGAGCATGGCCCCTTCCGCGCAGGCGGAGAAGCGTTTACTCTGGCATCCACGATGGGAGAACAAGTTTATGGTCGGAGGAGGCTCTCAAATGACAATGTACGAATGGGCACCAGAAGAATCTGAAATTCGACACGTAACTTCACAAAATGACTTGCAGTTCATGAAGGTGAGCTTTCGTAGTCTTCCTGCTCGAAAGCTTAATTCAACTCAAGGTGTCTTGACCTTTCCACCTATAGTGTTTCGCTTGGTCACCAGACCCTGCATTCGACGATCTTTTTGCTGTCGGAACAGCTTCTGGACGCGTCGACCTCATCAGGCTCGAAGCTACCAAAGTCGCTCGGAATAACGTCCTCTCAAGCGGTCCAGTCGTCACGCTTCCAGTGCGCAATACCAGGTCATGTAACGCCCTCGCATTCTGTAACGCAGACCCCAACTACCTAGCAGTCGGCCTCGACAAAGTCCGGGGAGACTCCAGTCTCATCATCTGGGATATCCAATCCGCCACGCCCCTCCTCTCACCTTCCAAACCCACCAATTTAAATTTAACAGAAGATACACTAGAAGCGCGTCCACAACCTCGAATAGCGCGTGCTGAAGTCGGTCATCACAGGGCTGACGGACGCGTGTTACAGCAACATGCACCCACAGAAATAGTTTCAGCCCTTGCCTTCCTCCCACAATCTACGCATATGCTCTTAGCTGGTGTATCAGCGCGGTGGTTGAGACTATTTGACCTCCGGAGCGCAGTTCCAGCAACTACTAATATCGCAACTAAAGTCTACGGCATAGCGACATCTCCAATCGACCCACACCAGATTGCATGTTGTGGAGACGGGATTATAACTGTCTGGGACGCAAGACGCCTCCAGCATCCGCTGCTTACGTTTACAGAGAAAGACGCAGCTGCTGATGGTGCAAGACCACGCTCTGCGTCTGCGTCTTTTGTCAACCATATCGAGTTTTCGAGCTCGAGGAGGGGGTTGCTTGCAGCGCATGAGAAGGATTCTTCATATGTGCGGTTTTGGGATCTGCAGCAGGCGCAAGGGAGCGAGAATAATTCCGACGGGGAGAGATCAGGGGAGTCGTCGCAGAGTCGGGCTGCGAAGAGGTCGTGGGCGCCTTGGACTGCTGGTGGTGTCGGTGCTGGGAATGGGATGAGGCATAGTAATGTGGAATCGCAGGAGGCGTTGGCGCTTGTGCTTTCTGATACGCGCAAAAGTATGTTTTTGGTTTTTTGGTCTTGTGTGTGTGCTGATGCGTTTTTAATCGAAGCGACGAGCTTTCGGAAACCACTTGCGTCTTTTGCGCTTGTTCCGAGTAAGCAGCCGTTTTCGCTTACTTCGGAGGTTATGGTCGTCAATAAGGATGGGGATCTTGAACTTTATGCTGTGTATGATACGCCGAAACAGGCGTCGTGGAGTGCACGCGGGGACCTTGTCATTGGTGCTGGGTTGGGATGCAAGGTGCTTCCGGGCTTCGAGGACCGTGGAGTTCCACCACAACCATGGGATATACCCGTTGAGGAAACCACAACTTCTCGGGGGCGTGACAAAACTATGAGTCTACCGGCTTTTGGGAGGGGCGATGAAGATGGATTCCCGGCTCTGGAAAGCAAAACCACACCATCGAAGCCGGTGAAAGTGAGGACATATAGTCCAGCTTCGTTTCGACATTACCCGCTCGACCAGTCTGAGCTGTCTACGTCGCCGAGTAATGTCGGTACTCAGACGGCCGCGAGGGCTGAGGCTGTAGAGAAGCCGAAATTAAATGGTCATCAACAAGGTGGAGAGAAGAGTTCACCGAGAGGAAAGACTTTACGGAGCGTGTACCAAGCGGTGGAGGATGATATCTCAATGATTATGCGTCGGCGCGCTATTCGTGGATATGGGCTGGCAAACGTGAGTTGTATCATTCTAGCATCACGTCACGTGGGTTCTGAGCACAGGTTTTTCTTTCAGGCTAAGCATAACGCCCAAGTCGTACAGGAAGATCCTTGCTCAAATACGGCGCTGTCAGAGCTATGGGATTGGATACATCGTGCGTTCTATTTGATCATCTCCAACTCTGGATGTTCATCTTCCCCACAGATTCCCGTGAACTCATATGCTCGCCGACGTCAAGATTACACGGGTACGAATTCTCAAACCAAGGACTTTTTGGTCTATGGGAAGGATTCTCGCCGCTACCTCAGATCCCTGAGTCGAGCGCATCGTCTTTTAGCGTCCTTGACGGTCTTTTGGCGATACCTCAAATTTCTCCGAGGGATTCTAGTCTTTCTCCGCTATCTACTCCTGCTGTGCTTGACCCTTTAACGCGAACGAAACAGCCTCCTGATGATTTGGCATATGGGGATTTTACCGCTGCCGTTGCTGCACTCTGCGCTCGACGGACATCGGGTTCGGGACGCCCATGGAGACCCCCTGTCCGCAGCACAGAAAAGGTTGAACAGAGACGGTTTGCGTTGCATCTCTGCGGATGGAGTATTGGGGAGGAGGAAATGAATCATGAGATTAGAAGGTGATTACGATTTATGTGTTTGCGGTTTTCATTGCTGAGCTTCTCGTGTAGGTGGGAGAGGGAGGGGCAACAATCAAGAGCTGCATGTTGGCTCGTTTTCACACGACAATATCAAAAGGCGCTGGAGCTGCTAATGCGGAGTAAAGGTGCGGCTGTCTCTCTTATTTTGTTCAATTATAAACATGATATCCTAGATGAGATACACAATCTTGTGTCTGGTACTCTTGCAGCACTTATCCCCAGCGCTGGTAGCACCCTATCTAACGAACTGCGCACCCACGCCGAGCGTCTCATCGTCCGCCTTGAAGATCCATACTTCCGTGTTATGCTTACCCAACTTACCTCCAAGGATTGGTCCAAGGTTCTCGAGGAAGAATCACTTCCGCTGCGGGAGCGTCTTGCGATTGCTTTCCAGTTTCTGGAGGACGAAGCGCTATCGTCCTACCTTACACGCACAACCGACCGAGCCTGTACGCGTGGTGACATTGAGGGCCTCGTTATCACAGGGCTCACCCCCTCAAGTATGGACATCTTACAGAGCTACGTAGACCGCACGGGCGATGCGCAAACTGCTGCTATCCTCGCTAGCCATGTGTGCCCTGCCTAAGTTTTTTGACGCACGAGCGGAACGATGGCTAGAGACGTATAGGGACTTGTTGGACGGCTTTAAGCTGTTCCATCACCGAGTTGCGTTTGATGTTGAGCGGGGGCAGATACTACAAGAGGCGGTATTGAATGGAGATTTGGCGCCCTTTGATTGGGCTCCGAAGCAGATCTTGATTCGGTGTAATTATTGCTCGAAGCCGATGAATCCTGTGTTGGGCGAGACGCAGAAGGGACGGGTGGGTACTGTTGTTCTTTGAATGTGAGAAGTACTGATACTGGATGACTTGTTAGCCTACTGCATGTCCGCATTGCAGTCGCGCTCTCCCACGGTGTTCGGTCTGTCTGATGACACTGAGCATTGTTCCAGATTGTACTCGTGATGTTGGGCTCTCACAGTCGCAGGCCGCTTACCAAGGTAATATTTTCTTTCGTGTATACGTGGGGGACCCGACTGACGTAATGTCGCAGACACGATCGACGACGCAATCGTCATCTGCCAGACATGTCGTCACGGTGGACACGCATCGCATATTCTTGATTGGTTCTTTGGTGAAGACGGTGCACGTTCGCGTGGCATGTGCCCTGTGGCAGATTGCGACTGCCACTGCGCAGATGAGTTCTAGTTTTTTGCTGTTCGATGGAGCCTGAGCTCAGATCGTCTGCATATGACCTTGAATCGGGTGTTACTCTTTGCTTTGTGACACTTTGATGCTATCAAATGGTCCTTGGATGGGAACCTCTCGTTCTCTCGAGACAATATACACATAACAGTGTCTAATAGAATCCTATGAATTGGCTTAGAAAGTACTGGATGTCAAGCATCTGGCGCATATAATGGTTGATATTATTATTTGTAGACATGCTGATATGCAGGACGTTGTGCATTAACTTGCTGGTCAGATTCCGCAAACACGTCCAAGCTCTTTCTCAAGAAATACGTGGATCCGAAGCCGATGATATCGTCAGACTTTTGAGTTTCACTGTTGTCTCTGATGAAGGTCCAGCAGCGTCTGATCAGGGTCTCATTGCACGAGAAACTCCGAGTCAACTAAACATGATACAACACCTCACTAAGTCTCGAGATGGCAGTTGGCCAGAAATTAATAGAGCGCCAAGAGTTTACCTTACATACTATTCCAGTTCTTGGGAATGCGGTAGTGACTCTCATTCATTCAACCAAGATTTTCTCCAAACTCCTGGGCCATGCGTCGAAGAACGCGAAACGACCTAGCGCTCCACATAACTCGCGTAAGTATTTTGGGTGAGAGCTCAGTGCACTAGCTTGCGATGGTGAATGAAGGGTTCAACTTTTCTGCAGGATGGTATTAAAATCGACTGCACTTAAAAAACACCATCCCGATCGTAGTACTTACACTCTGGTATGCAAGCTGACCATGGACTCGGATGGCAAATATATTTATTTTCATAGTTCATATCCATATACATAATGATTTACACAACATAGTACATGCTTGAGTAGAACAGCGCGAAGAATCTACCTTCACAAGATAACCTCCATCTACAGATTCAGCGATAATGACTACACCTGCCGAGACCAATTAGCGCTAATCTCTGGCACGATGCCAGTTAGATCACCCACGTCAATGATGCGGTGGTAAGGACCATCTACGCGTGCATCCAGGGGACGACCTTGTGCTACCGCCATATGAATGAAGTAACTAAGTGTCTTCCTGAAGTGACTTGGGTCCTCCATGTCGTACCGGATAGGCTGTAGCTGCTCTTGCGAAGGGTCGTAGCAAGGAGCTACCGGATAATGGCTGATCATTGTACTGATGACGTTCGGGTCCTGCTCCTCCAAAAATTCACGATAATTATTGTGAGGCCAGTAAGATTGTCCATGGTCTGATGCAGCAATGTGTGGAATGGCGAGGTGAGGTGGAACCTGCCGCAGGTTTGTACGTGAGCTGTGCGCAGAGCGCGAGATGGGTGGGCGCGGGGAGTGGGCGGTAGGAACAGGGGGAGCGGGGGGAACAGGGGCAAGGGTGTATGAGCGACCAGCGTTCAACTTGACGCGCGCACGCTCTGCCTGTCTACTGCTCCCGACTACGGGAACCAGGCCGTCAGTTGTTTGCAGCACATTCGCGACAGCTTGATCATCGCTGGCTTCATGCCGTTGTTTGCGGGCAAGGGAAGGGTAGGCCGTGGCCGTGGGCCGCGAGAAGCATGCGACTGAAGGGGACCGCTGAATCGTTCGTTGTCTGCCTGCGACATGCTGATAGCTTGTGTTGCAGTTCTGCAGGGACAGTTGGGGCCTGCTGTTCTTTGAGTTCAACGAAGTCGTTCTCAAGGCGCTGCGGGGGGGCCGAGGAGGAGGTGGTGGTGGGTTGGGAAACTGGTCCAACAAGTCCGCGTACGTGTCAAAGTAGGCACAAGGTGGCGCAAGGTCTCGGAGACCCGGGTACCATTGCGCAGTGATGGATGTCCAATATCCCCGGAGCTTGCTCGATGTAGACGATGTCTGAAGTTTTAAAGGGGTTTTTACCACGGTACGCGGGTTTCACAGGATCAGTACGAGGGTCACGTATGCTCCCTTTTGAAGAGAGTCCGAATGTCATCGATTTGGAGTGCTTAAGCGATGGTGTCTTGTCGTCATGGGATCTTAGGGGTACTGATTACTATTATGCCACCGAGAAAATGGTCGACTCACGTTTGGAACAATTTCTTGAAAGAATTCATGGATGATATTTAGAAAAAAAGGCGAAGGGTTACAAAGATTGTGAAGAGGTTGACTGTCTGGAAAAGTGGCGAATCTGCATTGCAATATATATGAGCTTGGCTATTGTGGACGCACCATGATCATCCACATCCACAACATCAAAACCATTCTTCAAAGTCCACAACCGATGCAAGCATTAGTGGATGCTTTGATCACGCACCTAATATTGATGTTGCCCCTTTGTATTGCAAAGGCACAATATGCAACAACTGACCATCGGAAACAGTTGCCACAGGCCAAATGAACGCATCGCGCGATGTGTTCAATGTTTTCGAGAGCTCATAACTTGTAAAAATGCGATAAGACTTGCCGAAGATGATGATCAGACCAACGTGGCTCATATTTCGTGCAATAAATGGTCAACATGGTCCCACAGAAGATAGAGACACACTTCATGCACCGGATAGGACAATAACCCATGATGTCACAGTACCCGTGGAGACTCCTAGATACACCTCGTACAATGTTGCCACGAAAATTCTGCTAGCGCTGTTGGTGAGACCATTGAGCGAAGCAATAAAACCTGTCCATTCCTTGGTATTGAACCATGCAGCTAGCTGCAAGAACGCAGAATATGCAGTTGCTACCTGGACAGCTACAAGGAAGCTTCATAGAAACACGTTTTTCACCATGACACACTGTGACTTGATCCATCATTGGTTATGTCGTTCCGAGAGTCCGAGACAATGATGACGTGCGGTTGAGAAACGAAGCCATACTTGAGCGCTTTGAGCTCTGATATATGACTCTTTTGCATTTACAGACCGCGGGAATGCAGAATATGCTCAGTATTTGTAGTGTCCTCGACAAGTAAATCATTTAACGACGGTGTCGCACCGCATGTGTTGCTAGATTACTTCCGCGACATTATGAAGTGGAGGTCGACATTCATTTCAGATATGCACCGCAATGTAAGCTGGATATTGTTGTGGTGTGGTCGAAGCCCGGGCCCAGACAGCTGAAGGTTCCTACATTACCTCATGACAGAGGACAATATCAAAACCTGCTGACAAACGATTTTCCCACCAACACATTGACTCTAGCTTGGCAAGTGTCCTGACCAAAGTGGTTACCACAACAGAATTGAAATCTATTTGTCTTGGACTGGTCAGGTTCGAAACCTGCCGATGACAAGGTTTTTCTCTACCAGAACATAACTTAATAATATTTACTCATGGATGGTTTCATCGAAGGCTCATCACAACTCGTCTTAGCCAAGTGGTTACCACAACAGAGTCAAAATCTGTTTCTCTTGGAGTCGGTTCAAAACCTGCTGACAATATTTTTGCGCTGTACAGATCCATCTTAATTAACTTAGTAAACCCAGTCATTACGCAAAAACTTACGTGGCAGTTCCATGAAAATCAAGGAATTCACCTTCACACCTTGTGAGGATCGTCTCCGAACATAAGGTATATCCCCGAGGTGCATACGTGCCAACCTAGAGTCTCGACAGACTGACCGAAACTGTCGGGATCCACCACCAAACGAAAAATGTCAATGGGGCCGGACGCCAGAAGAATGCACGCAATGAGTCTGACAATTAGGAAAATGATATAACCTCCCTAGCGTTAGCTTGTCATCCTCAGTCGCATTTGAAGAGCTAGTTATCAATGACCTGAGCGAGTGTCCATCGATGAGGCTGAAACGAGGTTGGAAGTATTGAAAGTGGTAGACCGAGCCATATCGTTCTGATGTGTGTAGTTTGTATGCGCTCCTGTTTCATATCAATGCCGAGGCAGAACAAAACATTTACTTTCGATTGCCACAGTAAGACCCGGGTACCGGACAAAGAGGTAAACGCAAAACTCCATAATGGAAAGCTCAAGAGTGGCCCACCGAGGCATGCATAAAAGGGGGGCTCTTGTACTACGTCATCAAAAAGGCCTCGTGGTATTCGACGGGGGGCACGATGCGTAGAGTCGGCCTAGAACAATGCGACAATCATTGCAAAGGTCAAAAAGGTTCGTCAGTAAGACAGAGTAAATGAGACGCTGACACTCACCATAGGTATGGAGAGCAGGTGTTCTAAGCCAGCTGTTTTGAAAATGGCATGAATATCCCACACGTACGCATTTTGATCATCGCAGGCCGTGGCTAGCAGCGTTCCATCAGCAGAAAAGGCTAAACAGCCCACGTTGCTCTCGTGCCAGAGGGTGGACAGACTTCGAGTTTTGTGTCGAGATTCCACGAATGCGCTGTTCCATCCAATGATGTGCTCAAATTAAGTAGTGGTCGTTGTGAAATAAAGTAATAGAATAGACAATGTACGTGTGACCTTCGAAAATGGCGATCTGCTGAGTTGTCGTAGTGTCGAAAATCCTAATCGAGCCATACCCGGTTCCCGCGGGCCGCGACAAGCTTCTTTTGATCCGACGTCCAGACCAAACTCCAAACTGGCCACTCATGTTCAATTTTGGAGAGCAGCCTGCCTGTGTTGGCGTCCCAGATTCTGATTCCACTTTCGTTGTATCCGCCTGTCGCAACCCTTTTAGCGTTGGGTGAATAACTCGCCGCGTGCACCGACTCGTGCCCGGTCTTGATTGCATTCAGACCCAGGGCGAATTTGCCGCTCTTGATATCCCATACTCTTGCCATACCATCACGGCGGGATCCGCTCACCACTCGCTCGCCATCTGGACTCCAGCACACTGATTGCACCCAACCAGCATGTCCTTTCCATTTGGCGATGACCCTCCCCGTCTCGATTTCCATAACTTCACTGTCCCGTCACCTCTTCCGCTTGCAACAGTGTCTCCCTGTGGAGACAATGCCATGGCGGTCACTACTGCAACTGCATCAACCCCTTCATCTCGCCATTTCTCGCCTATCTGAGCACCGCTTTCTAGGTTCCATAGTCTGTTAGAGAAATTCAGTCTTCACCCACAAAATGGCTCTGAGACGATGTGTGCACTGCAGTGTTTTTCGAGAATCTCTGCAAGGGTCTCGATTATCGATTCGTGAACGACTGCTTCGATCTTGATTTCAGCTTGTTCTGGCAGGCTAGGAGTATCGCTCACGCCAAGCACTCAAACACTATTCCAAAGTACTTGACATGGATACGCTTCACTCGCGAGAAAGAAGGGTGGACATGCTATGGGCGTTTTGTTCGGAGTATAAGTAATATCTCGTACTTCACAAGCCTGATGTGGAGCGCTCGGGCTCGTAAGGATATTTTTAGCAGGCTCTTCATCTACGTTGTTCATATGTCCAGTTTCTCGATACCTGCGTCTGGTGCTTCAACGGCGGTAAGGGTCGTTTGTCCATTCTATTGACGGGCGGGACGGTGAGCTGTTAACTGTGATAGCGGCCATTTTGCTAAGGCAGTTGGACAAGGGTTCGTTTGAGCCGATGCTTCTGCCATGCCTTATCTCCATGCTCGCTCCAACATGTTAACTATGCAGGATGTGCAGATAAAGTGTTCGGCCCTCACGCGCACGGCTGGCGCCATGTGTCTGCAATCTAATCTTGTACATGGAATGGCATACAGCTATATTACAAGCAAGCAAGTTTAGACAATAACCGTAAGTCTGAGTATCAGCGAATTCCACGGGCACCGAATCAATGAGCCTTCCACCTAATCTACCACACTCGTGCGAAGAACCTTTGCTGGACGTGTCAAAATTCTGGTCAGCTTCCGCCACAAAGGAAGATTATCCAATCGCTGTGCTTTCATGACCACTTTGATGTGGTGAATGGATAGATGATCCCCGCTGTCGCGGTAAAACAGTCATTAGTGTATGCCCGATAACATGTGCAGAGAACTTACTTCGAGGCAGCTAGCGCTCGTGCGGACCGCACAATATTGTCAATCATCCTCCCTAAAAGCGTCATCAGACACCGCGTCGGTGACAGACATGAGGCTTACCATCCAACTGATGCCGTGAGAGTTTCTCGATATCGCGAAGAAGTAATGAATGATCCATCTCCTTTTGATCCGCGATAGAGGAGCCTATGAGTGTGCGCTCGCTGTTCCACATAATTGCAGCGGGATCATTCAAGCCGAAGTGGTTGAGCCAAAGACGACGTCGAGCTGCAGCATCCAGTTCAGGGAAATTGACAACTTCAATGGACAACATTCAGAAGCGGAAGCGGGTCAGACAATCGGGTCACGTACCAGCCGAAAATCGCGTCAGGAGTTCTTCGTTGCAGGTACTTGATACCCAGAAGGAGATACAATCATCTGACTCAAATTGACGGAGAATAGTGTTGACGTGATCCTGACGAGAAATCAAGACTCGAATAGCAAGGGTCTACTGGCCAAAACATACCCTATGTCTTAAACCTTGCGACTCCAAGAAACGCTGGATGACGTGATAAATCACAGTGCGAGGTGTTGAAGAGAGTACGTACATCGGCGTCTTTCACCACAATCACCGCATTCCAAGTAGCTGCAAACTAGACGATAACCAGGTCTCGTCAAAGAATCATTGACAGCTGCCAATTGTACGAACCGACACGCGCAGAGCAATATCTGACACTAGATTTGTAATGTTGTATAATGAGTCAGCAGTGATAGTGATAGTAAGCAGAGGTCTCTTGAGGAGATTGCAGACAGCAAGAACAGTTGTCATTCTGCCAGTTCCTGGTGGTCCCTTAAGAAGTACTGTCTATGGAATGTTAAACGAGATACAAAAATGTGGCAATTCAAACACACCTGTCCTTTGTTGAACTGTGCTGGTTTTAAACCGCCTACAGAGCAGCCAGAATTATCCACTAGTGCTCTTATAAGATCCTGCAACAGAAGATAAACGAAGCCAAGAAACCAACATGATTGCGCGCACCTTGGTATCTTCGTCCATGATCAACTTGCTCCATGCCCCTTGATCATATTCGACTGGCTTCAAGTCCCAGACATTGAACGTTCGCCATTGCTAGTCATCATAACTAACTTCGGCAACCAGCGAAATATGTGTTGCAAATTGCTCACATTCACTTCAAGATCATATCCACCAATCCAGTATGGAAGGCACGCGATATGCTCCCTCGCATTGTCGGGAAGTGGAACACGTCTATGATACCCTTAGCGTCAACAAGGAGAACAGATAAATTACTCACAGATGTGGGTTGTAGCCTTGCAAGGCACGGTGGTATCCAACTGGGTCGATCATCACCCTCCTCATCCGTGGTTTCGAGTTACCACTGAAAACCGATCGTATTGGTGTGTCGTCATAATCTGTAAATGGGGAAGTATGAGAACAGCATGATGAGAAATTGGAGTGATGCGGCACTTACATTCTGCGCAACAAACTTTGCTGTAAGAAAGATAGAGTTTTCCGCGCTCTATATTGATGATTCGACATCTTAACGACAAACTGAGAAGTAAAATTCTCACCAGTCACTTTGGCAAGGGCTTCGTCTGTGACGGGTTGGAGAAACAGGGACGAGATGGCTTGAGTTCCCTAAAATTGGTGAGTGAACAAATGGTTATTTGATACTGGAGAATTGTCACAGTACCTCGAATGCAAAAAGGTCAAATGCCATGGTGCGCTTCTCGAAACGAACGCCATCCCACTCAGGATGCTCCAACTCGACGACCAACGCCCTGAACAGATCTAGTCAGGATTTACCACAGCCATGTTCTGAAGGGTCTAACTCACTTTCTATCATCGAGGAAGCGAGCACTCTTCAAAACTACCAAGATCTTTCACGCAGCATGTCAGTGGTGACGATGAACGAGTGAAGGAAATAGTTCCCACAATAGGCCTCTCGACATCTAAACCATTCTGTAAAAGCCCAGAATTATAGATGTAACGCTTTCCTTCCTCATAGTAATACTCAAGAAGGTCGAAGGAAATCTGATTGTTAGACAACAATTCTTCGAGTTGCTTGGCCCTGCATGGTCATAAACGACAAGGAACAAGTGGGATTGACTGGAACACACGCACGGCTGCTTGCTTTCTGCTTCCACGACCTCCAACAGTTTCTCTAAATGTATCACAAGAACATCAACGAACTCAGCGGCCACTTCGCCTGTCCATATTGATCAGAGTTATTCGACTGCGAGGAGCAATGCAAAACTAACGTCCAGTAGACGCATTGAAGCCGAAAGCCTTGGCCTTGGCTGCTAGGTCTTCTGGAAGTTGTTCTGCACCCAAGAGGGTGCGTGCATCGTCCAATCTGGACCGAAGTATCTTCGCCTTTTGGGACAGTCGATGAATAGGGTACTCGAGAGGTTTGTCGTAGTCGGCGTCAACAAATATAGTACTGAGAATCAAGTACCGATGTTATCAACACGCATGATTCAATTACAAGACAACATACCGAAGAAAAGAATCTAAAATCGAACTGAAGTCGCTAAAAACAAGTGACTTCTTCCCTGAGCTTGTTCAGTATACATGCCATGCAATATATTTTTGATATAGTGAAAACTTGCCTCCCTGGTTCATGGAGCGAACGTTGAGATAGAAATAGAAATAGTCATCGATTCTTGGAATGCCTCTAGGCGAAGGCGACCTGTACCAATCTGGTACCCACAGCTTGATGTACTCATCCCTTGTGCATCGTAACATATTGAACAAGCCAGCACCCAACATAAGCGAAAAACTCACCATTTTTGCCACCGACGAACAAAATGGTCCTCTCCTTCCTCATAGTGCTTGTGTGAAATCAATTGAGGTTGGTAAACTGGCGACTGTAATTCGGGAAGTAGGTCGCCCCATGGATTTTGCATAGGCCTTGGGATGAAAGGGGAGTTGGGGGTTGACGGTTGGTGATATAGTGGGGCAATGTGCCTAATTCCTGGATACACACAGCCAGGAGGTACAAATTCTGGGATTGTTAGAGAGTCACTATCAAGCATCGAGCTTGTGAAAGGGGAATCAGGGGTTGGCGATCGGTGACGTGGTGGGGTAATACTTGGAGGCCTTGGGATGAAAGAGCAGTCGGGAGTTGGCGATCGGCGATATAGTGAGGCAATACTCGGAGACCTCGGGATGATAAGTGGGTCGGGAGTCGACGGTTGGCAAACTAGCGGGGTAATGTATCCAACTGGTGCTGGATACGGATACGGGGTGAGCAGTGTACCAGGTACGTGTCCATCATCCGATTCCGATTGAACTGCTGCTCGTTGCTGATGAAGATCCTGCCAGCCACACATAGTTACAGGTTCTGGGATTGGTAGTACAGTGTCACTATCAAGCATCAAGCTTGAACTCGATGGTGATCTCAATGGCCATGGCTCAACTACACCAGGACACATGCTTGGTAGGTCAAATTGGGGTGGGACTCATGATCAAAGGGAACACCAGCTCTATATGAAGTGTCTGCAGCGCCTATTAGACATGATAAGAGAATCCTGTGGCTTCCATAACGAACGTCAAGATGCTGTGTGTCACAAGACTATTACTGTTCATTTACGGACAGTACGCCGCCAGGGGTTAAGTGTAAGCTGTGTCCAAGCTGCCGTACGCACGTTCTGGACTTGTGTACGAAAAGATGTAGTGGTTGTCAAGAAAATGACAAGTCCACGCAAAGTATGTACGCCAGTTTGCAAAATGAAGGAACATAAAACCACTCACGAAGACACATTGCGTTGAATGCGGTTGTGGGAAAAGTCGGACAATGACAAGATCAGGGTTTGATCTTACTGATGGGGAATGGAACGTTCTCTATGGAAGCAGCGGGCGTCTTCCTGGTATTTGAACGTGGAGGACGATGGCGGCACAAATACTTCCATAGTCGACATTTCACGCAATGAGCAGTGTCCAACCAAAGTGCAGTCGTCGTTCTCTCGACGGGAATGCGAGTGAGCGGGTTGACCACTTGAATGAATTATTTTGGTGTATTATGAACGGGATTCAAATGGGATGGAACGTTGAAAATGAATCAGCTCCCACGCCGGACACGCCGGAACTTATTAGGGACTACCAATTCTTGCGCTGAAAGTGTGTCCAAATATATAGGTATTAATCAGAATAGGATTCTTGCCAGTAGCACAGCAATGCAGTTTCCTCACGTACCGCTCAAAGTCCTAAGGTTTGCGAAATCTGATGACACGATAACGCTGGCAGAACTGCATCTTATCAAGTAGCCAGACAATCGGTGTTATTAGATCGAGTTATGAGATTGGATACCAATCCGGGTGAACACAATTGAGAAGACAATGAGGAAAAGAGGGTGCACAAGTTAATTACAACTAAAACAATTAGAACATGAACGAGAACGAGAACCGCCAGCATGCTGCCTAGATGACGAGCAGCTGATTGTCAGTGATCGGTTGCCAGTATAGTAAACGGAAGCGCAGCAAATGTAAAGTATAAGGCGAATCCACCAATGGGGTTTGTCGACGACCACCGCACGATGAGAAGGCCTGTCGATTGCAGGTATGGAAATGGCGATGGTGGTTGTGGGCATCGTGGGTATTGCAGGGGTAGCAGGACCGGGGAATGCAACGACGATGCTTGAGAGGGACTTTGAGCTTGTTGCTGACTTTTGGCCCGAGTACCTTGTATTTTGCCCTTTTTGCTACGTGGTGGAGCGACATAAAAAGACTATGAGGTAGATTAAAATGTAAAAGAGTGGTGAAGGAGGTGACCATACCCTTTTATCGCGCGATTTCTACGACATTGGTGTTGTGAGATGAACCCTTGTGTTGGGCGTTGTTGGAATTGTGTTGGATCATCTGTGTTGGATCAAAAGCGAAGGAGGAGGGAGGAAGGACCGGGACCAACGAGAAGTGCATGTAGACGTGAGGGCGACTCGGAGTACGGCGGCAGCGGCACGCAGAGGATTACATAATACTTGATAGAGTCCTGAGCCAGAAGTGACTCCACAGTATACGGCAGCAGCTGAGCTTATACAGCGTCAGAAATTTCGTGATCGAACGTGCCAGCTATTCTCAAGACTCGAGAGATGATTCTATTCGCGAACCGAAAACACCTGCTTTGAGGGAATTTTTGTCCGAATCTTCAAGACAACGCCACACAGCCTCTATCTCGTGACTCGATTCGGACCTCCTAACACGGTTGTTACAAGGCGTACATGATGATACTGGTACTGCCGGTGTGTATGTTTACTTCAAGTATATTGCCTCTTACTAAGGAGCAGGACACAACTGGTACCGTTCGCATGCTGTTCAAACTTAATACTTACAAGATCAACATTCCAAGCATATGCTACGCGACATTTAGCCTAGATCAACGTTAACGACGTAAATCGACTACCACAGGATTTATTTGACGACGCGCGAGACCATGTTCATGTGCGTCGACTTTCTTTTAGTCAACTACTTCTTGATCTGACCTCTAACCCTCAGTCCTCCACAGTGCATTGTTCCCATATCACACTCGTGATGGTCTTTGTGGTTACGTGCGCACACTTTCAACTCGGTCGGATTTCCCTGTTGTTCCGCCAGCTCACCCTGGCAGCGATGATGCAACAGAACTTCAGCAGCACCCGAGGTAAGGTTTTCTGTCTCGTTGCGGGCCTCACGTCATAGAAGTCGTAGCTACGACCACACAGTACAAAAGAGTATGTATGTTCACATCCTGTTCCACGCTGACTATGCTTATGTCCCATAGCCTTTGTATGTTGCCCTACCGCCATGCCCGAAGCCCTTCCATTGCGTGATTTCCGAAGGAGTCCTGTGCAGGATTTTTTTTGAAGTCGACATTTTAACACAATAGGGTGTGTTCTTGATGGTTACATTGTTCAAGACTTGATTCATGATGCATGAGCGCTGAGCTGTCAGGAGGTCGTCCATGCTACTATTTGTCAATTTGAGTCAGATGATTGTATCTCTTTCTGGGTAACAACTTTCTGCGACAGGGACCTCCCGATGCTATTTTCTACTGGTACGTAACACCAAATATGCCACTGTTAATTGCTAAGTATTCTCCTTTGAAGTCGCTGATTTCCCTGAGCTGGATGCTGCAGCCTGTTGTCGGCTTTGGCTGGCCACTTTGGCCAAGAAGAGCCCGCTGGCATTAAATTGAACAGTGAGCATACGCTTGTCAGTTCCTCTTTTGGGGATGAGAAGGAAACGGACTACTTGGCGCACCTTCGCGATATCGAGAAACTCTTGTGGTACCAGTTCGATGGTAAGCACCATCATCATCTGCTAACGAGGTGTTGGCGGTGTTGTGAGGGAGAATGGTCGACAATATTATGCGCTCTGCGAGTATTGGTTGCCTCCAAGTAAGATACTTGACATGGTGTTGGTCGCAGACTAACCACTGTTGTATAGCCAGGAACTCGTCCATCCACTCACTACGTCAAAGTAGGCGCAGCGATTGGATAATCCTTCTTTATGGCACAAGCTCGCCCTTGGTTGATAAGTTAAACGTGCGAATCATTCAAGTTAACGGTGTGGATGACCTAGTCTCTGTAGTCAGATCTTCAGAATTCTGAAGTATAGAACGAGAACGTGTAATCGAAGCTCATTCTATTTACAGATCTCAAATTGGCAGGCTCGTGTGTGCATGTCTCAGCACTCGTCCAATGTCATCTATTTCGAACTGTAACCCATACTACTTGCTTCCTTCCCACCAAATCGGGTTCGTCATCGCTTGCAGGAAAGCAGAACAATGATGTGACAGACAGACATGAGATTTAGTGTCCCTCGGTTGAGCCGCGCACAGAACAGCATCAAGCTGGATGTCAACCAAACACTCCAGTATGATAGCACCGCTTGCTACTGATATGTGAGTTGAGTTGAGGCTGTCGAAGGAGCTAGCGAGTATAGTTATGTGCAGAGATAATCAAGGACTCTCGTTCAACTTCACGCAAGAATATACACATCTTAGAATTTAGAATCTACCACTGAATAATACGTAGGAAATTTGGCTCGGAAGCTTCGGTTGGATGCAAGAGTCTACTGCGTGGTTGAATGTAAATCAATGACTACTGCCAGTGTATTGCGCAGATGCACAGCAAACGAAAAGCACGAGACGTGCCCACCATGTGGGTTTGTTGATGACGACAACAGCACTTGACTGCACCGCCGCGCTTGCTGCACCTGCCGTGGTGGGAGCGGGATCAGGAGGTGTTGTGGACGCCGAGTCAACAGCAGGTAGAGTTTGTGGTATCGACAGCTGTGCTTGGCCTTGCGATTGGCCGTGTCGCCGCTTCACTTTGTCGTTAACTCGTGGCCGTGGAGCAACATACAATGCCTGCACATAATCCATTGGATGACTGGAAACACATGAGGAGTACATACCTGTCTGTCACGTACTGTAGAAACTTCAACGACAGAAGGACCGCGACTAGAAAAAATACTGCGCCTCGAGCGTTGTTGGAGTTCCGTCGCTTCGTTTTGTTGAGAGCGGCGGGGGAGCGAGGAAATGTGAGCGAAGAGATCACGTAGACGTGAACCAAAGGGCCCGGAAGGACTGTGGCGGTGGCGTGCAGAGGAAGGAGGATAGCGTTGTGCAGAAGACTAAGAGTATAACAGTCAGGCATGAACAATAATAGCCTAGCTAAGGTAATGACGACGCACATGAACACCGTCTGGTGTGTCGTCAAAGAATCTCCCACGATATTCCTCCTCGAGCTCAGCTGGAGATCCTGTAGCGTCTGCCTAAAATGGCCAATGTTATAATCATCGAAAAATTGACAGCACAGCACGCACATCCAAAAACGACTTGAGTTGGATAAAGTTATTGTTAGTATTGCAGGGGATCCTGAATCCTCGAAATGATACAGACCTTCTTTTGAGTCGGTCGTGTGTTAGCAAGGTGGAGGGGTGATATATTTACACTCACATCAGGAATGGACAAGAGGTCTTCCAAACCAGCTTCTTTTAACACGGCATAGATGTCCCAGATGTACACCTTCATGCCAGCACCTACAATCAACAGCTTTCCATCAACAGAAAGGACCAAGTTGGTCACAGAGTTGTGGTGCAGGAGAGGTGGACCAACCGTGCGGTTGGTGTCGAGATTCCATAAGTACACCGATTTTCTCTGTGTGTGTGCACACACTAGGAGGCGGTCGTTCTGAAATAAAGCGACACAGCAGACATTGCCCCGGTCCTCAGTTTCTATCCTGGCGATTTGCTGCCATGTGACAGTGTCTAATATCCGAATAAAACCGCCTAGTGATCCGGATATGAGCTTCTTTCCATCCGATGTCCAGGCCAAGTCGAAAACGAGATTATACATATAGTCATATTCAATTGAGGAAATCAGCTCGCCCGTTCTGGCATCCCAAATTTTCAGTGGGAATATTGAGCTTGCGCCTAGTCCAGCTGTCGCAATCTTCGTTCCATCAGGCGAGTACACCACAACATTTACTCCAAGGTGTTTCGTCTCCAGTGGACCTAGGATGGGTTCGCCGCTCTGGCCATGCCACACTCTTGCCGTACTGCCGGAGGATCCGCTCACAAGTCGTTCACCGTCTGGACTCCAGCACATTGATTTCACTTCATGAGTGTGCCCTGTCCATTTGACGGTGACCTTCTCCGTTCCAATGTCCCACAAACATATCGTCCCATCTTCGCTCCCGCTTGCTAGAGTAATGCCGTTTGGAGACAATGCTATTGTGTTCACGGCTCTGCGGTAACCTTCTTGCCACTTCTCGCCTATCTGTGCGCCGCTCTCCAGGTCCCATACTCGGATCGAGGCATCGTGTGCACATGTCATGATGCGTCGTTCGCCAGGCAAGACCACCATACGATGTATCAACAAGGGTACTTCGCATTTGATGTTGATTATCTGGCGGGGCATTACCTCCGGCGTCTCCTCTATCTGTGAGCTAGGGTGATACTGCATGGTCGGCGCTTGCAGTTGGGGTTACCAAGGCAGATCGATTATTGTCAGGTCGACGAGCTTATTTCTTTCACTTCAATTTTAGTTAACAGAAGTGCACGAGGCATTGCTAATGACAAAGTTTGCTTACAGGACATCAATCTTGACCTAAAAGACGGCTTCAGGGCTACTATGCAGGAACCGTTATGGGGATCCAAGTTACTGGTATTCCCATCATCAGCTTCCTTATGTATGCGAGGAGTTAAGTGAAGGTACATACTATCTCTCCTCGACACTGGACACTGGACACTCGACAGAAGTAGTGGTGTAGTTGCAGGTCTAGTCGCCGTTGATCGTCTGAATTTTCCTGGAAGAAGCGCCCTGACTATCTCTCACGTATAGAATTACTCACCGCAAATATCCCACTCTTACGAAAGGATGATGTGAAGATGAAGTACTCAGGTCCCGCAACTGGCGCTATGCGCATGCTCTCCTATTGTTTGAAACCTTGACGATGATCGCGACAAAAATATAGCAGATGCTTGTCACGGTAATCGCTGGTTCGAATGGGGAATAATGATTAAATCCATGTAGCCAACGGAAGTTCATCAGTTTCAGTACCCCTCTACACAGGTGAGCTGCACAGAAGAGCACAAGTTAAATGCCGGCTCCATGTCCATGAAGCGATCACTTATGATAGCATGAGTCTGGCGTTTCAAACAGAATCAGCCTGATTGTTAACTTGGATGTGGGAACCCTCATGCAGAGTATGCCAGTAGCGATGAATGTAGTTCCCCCAGAAGGGGGAGCGTCGGTGATGAACATTTCTCATTCAACAAAGCATGTACACACATAATAATTGCAGAATCTACCACTAGAGAATATCCAGGATATTTAGCGACTGAGGATTAGGTCCAATATCAGTCAAACGCGTGATTGAATTCGGCGTCATTATTGTATATTGGTGTATTGCGCAGATGCACAGCATATAAAAAGCACAAGACATGTCCACCATGGGAGTTTGTTGACGACGACAACAGGACTTGACTGTGCCGCCGCGCTTGCTGCACCTGCCATGGTAGTAGCAGGATCAGGGGATGTTGTGGACGCAGAGCCGGCAGGAGGTAGAGTTTGTGGCATCGACAGCTGTACTTGGCCTTGCGATTGGCCGTGTCGCCGCTTCACTTTGTCGTTAACTCGCGGCCGTGGTGGGGAAACATACAATGCCTGCACAAAAATCATTCAGTGATTGGAAACACAACAGATATATACGTACCTGTTTGTCGCGTATTGCAGCAACTTTGACAGTATGGGGATCGTGACGAGAAAAGATACTTCGGCTTGGAGGTTGTTGGAGTGCCGTTGTTTCATCAGTGTTGTGTTGAGAGCGGCGGAGGAGCGAGGAAAGGCGAGAGAAGAGCACACGTGAACGTAAACCAGATGGTCTGAAAGCACCGCGGCGATGGCGTGCAGAGGAATTGTGATAACCTGGCACGGAAGACTGAGAGCGTAGCGGTCAGACCTAAACGATAATGGGTTAGCTGAGATGATGACAACGCACATAATTAGTGTCTGGAGTGTCGTCAAAAAATCTCCCCTGATACTCTTCCTCCAGCTCAATTAGAGGTCCCGTAGCGTCCGCCTAAACTGTTAAGGTTATAATCATCGAAAAAAAGACAACACGGCACGCACATCTAAAAACGACTTGTACAAGTGAGGTATTAATATCGTTAGTATTCCAGAGGGACCATGAGATGACACACACCTTCTGAAGTTCATCGTCAGTAAGATAGAGTGAGTGGTATATTTTCACTCACATCTGGAATGGTCATGAGGTCTTCTAAACCAGCTTCTTTGACGATGGCATGAGTGTCCCAGACGGACACACATTCGCCAGCACCCACGACTAGCTTTCCATCGTCAGAAAAAGCCATGCAGTCCGGATCATGACTGTGCATGAGACGTGGACCAACTGGTAGGTTGGTGTCGAGATTCCACAAGCGCACGTCTGACCATGTTGCACTCGCTAAGAGGCGGTCGTTCCGAAATAAAGCGACGCGTCCGACATGGTGTCGATCCAAATTGATGATGGCAATCTCCTGCCATGTGGCGGTGTCGAATATCCTGATCCAGCCACATTGGAATCCGGAAATAAGCTTCTTTCCATCCAACGTCCAAACCAAGGTAAGAACTGGTTGACCGATACAACCAGATTGAGAATCATCATCGTCAAGAATTATATAAGGACGCTCTTCCTGGAACTCGACTGTGGAGAGCAGCTCGCCCGTCCTAGCATCCCAAATTTTTAATGCGTTCTTCTCTTGTCCGCCCGCCGCAATCTTCGTCCCATCGGGTGAATATGCAACTGCCCATACAGTATTATATTCCGCATTGATCATTGGATTGAGACCCAGTACGGGTTCCCCGCTCTGGCTATACCACACTCGTGCTGTCCCGTCGTCGGATCCGCTCACCACTCGTTCACCATCTGGACTCCAGCACATCGACCTTACTTTTTTAGTGTGACCTGTCCATTTGACGATGACCTTCCACGTTCCAACGTCTAATAACCTCACCGTCCCATCTTCGTACCCGCTTGCAAGAGTAATGCCATTTGGGGACAATGCTATGCTTGTCACTGACATGTAGGTTCCTTCAACTTGCCACCTGTCGCCTATCTCTGAGCCGTTCTCTAGGTCCCATTGTCGGATCGAGCCATCGTTTGAGCCGGCTATGATGCGCTGTCCGCCAGGGATGTGCACAACATCGTTTACATTGAGGCGATTGTGGAGAACTATGATCTGGCAGGGCAATACCTCAGCCTCCTCAATCCTCGGCGATTCGTCGTAGTAACGCTGAATGCGCGGCCTAAACATGGAAGTTGATTCGGGATTGTTCATTCTGCTCTTGACTAATTCAGATCACGAAGTGTGTATGTGCTGCGAGAGCAACTTTTGAACTTGAGCTAGATTTCTTGCGAGGAGAAAGATTGTGGGTGAGTTGACAAGCCTATAATCTTTTTGGTCAATAGGTATGTGAGGTATCGCTAACGGCAAAGTCTACTCACAGGTCTTTGATCTCGACCGACAGGATGGCTTTGAGATACAAATCCCAGGTTAGTCTCTCGTCACTAGCAGCCTTATTTTGGCGAAGGGTGAAGATACGATGTCCCTTCCCCACTTCAAAGAAATGGTGGTTGGAAGGCGAATGGTTAGGTATGTAGTCATTGCTCAATGTATGGCTGCCTGGAAGAAGCATCCTCTCACGTTCAGAATTACTTAACGCTCTCACGAATGATGTACGATCGAGGAAGGTGTTATCTTCGCGTTCCCATGCATAAACGTTGTATTTGTTTCATTGGGTAATTTGCAGATGAAGCGCTCAGGCCCCACAACTGGCGCTATCCGCGGGTTCTTGTACTTTATTTGATACCTTGACTGACGGTCGCGACGAACATGCAACAGCATATTACTGCGCTTTATCTCCGTGGCTCATACATTTTCCGACTGCCTATTTTCGAGACTTGATGATACATGTATTTGCAGAGCAATGTAGCATTCCAGTGCAACATCATTGTGATCTGAAGCGGCTAGTAGGCGTATAAGGTGTGTTCTAAAACTTTGAACCGGTCAATGTCATGATTCTATCTTAGTTCTGAAATCCATACAGGCCTTGAGTCGAGCGCTTCACATTCGTGGCACTTGCTGCGAAAGTGAACGTCTTGTAGATGCATTGCCTATGACGAATTTTCCGCTGTCTACGCAGGCTGTAGCATTTCATCTCTTTCATTCCACCAGCTGTTGCTGATCTGGGCACCACTCTCCATGTCCCACAGTTAGAGCGATACCGGCCAGGTGCCCAACACTACCTACCTGCATGGTGCAGCTTTTTGCACCCCGGTGACTTCACTGGTTAGATGAGCTGTGCAGATGAGTGCTTTTCTCACGCACTGGCATTGTGTTTATTCGTGACAGACACCAGTACTAGGTTCAGATATCCTCGTTTTCTGGGTACTTTCTTCAGACTTTCACCTTCGGTAATCCAATGTTTTCATCCTCCGACGTTCTAGTGCGGTCAGCACATTGGTCCATAATGTTGACAGAGTAGAGGGACGCTGCCACTTGATTTCAGGTCAGGAATCAGTTAGAAGCTCTGCGTTTTCATCTGCACTGCCAAAAACGCAGAACTTGTGACTGATCCGGAATGCACGTCACCGTCCAGCAAGGACATGATATCCAGGATTCGGTTAGCCTCAGAAGCTACTTGTGCCACAGCCTACTGCTAGGAGTCCGTGGGCTTGTATGAACACCTGCCACTCGGTGGTCTGTCCAGTGCCAGGTCGTCGGCAACCTATTTCTGACTTCTACACTGAGTGAGATAATATGAATAAAGATATACACGGGGTGCGGCTGACCACTACTCGGCCAGAAATGTCAGCCTCACAAGCTTAGGCTGATACCGACGCCTGTCAGCCTCCCGGCCGGAGACATAAAATTCGGATAGCCCAAACTTTTCTACCCACCCCAATCTTGTCTTCGACGGTCAACTACGAACTCCACTGTTATCTCACCCTCGTTTTCATCAAACCATGCGTGTATTCATTCTTGTTACCGCCCTCGCCACGGCTACCGTTCACACCGTCCATGCCATGCCTAATTCCAACCTCGCGGTACGCAGTGCCTTCCCAGATGCCGCAGGCATCCCGCACGTATCACATCCTTCCCACCAACACAACAGACTTGGCGAGGGTGAACAACGGATGGTTCTTGGCCACGCTGCGCCAGGGTCCGTTCATCTAGCCGAGCCGCGTGAGGAGCAAAGGGCGCCGATCGCTAGAAGGGAGAAGAAGACCAGAAGAGGAGTGCTTAGGGAGCGGACGATCAAAAACGCAGACTACGGTTCTGGAAGTGCTCCTGCAGGGGAGGCCGTGGCAAACTCCCAAGCTGAACCTGCTCCCAGCCCGAACAGCACGCCCGCAGCCGCTCCTGGTCCCGCAAGAATCTCTGATGACGCAGGACCCCCTCAAGCTGCCCACGCCTGACACGTTTCGAAGGATGTTTCAGTGACTCGGAGTGGTCGGAGGCACAGGAGAGAGAAATTCGATGAATCTGGTTAAATGTATCGTTGGGCTGTATCATCAAATGTCATTGCATCGTATAGCCGAACCATTTTTGAATATTGAATGACCAAATTGCCATCCGCCACGAGCATGACTACTGCCACCAGTGAATGAACGCAGCTTGGCAAATGGAGCAACCAATGACATGCACAGCCACATATTATTATTCAGCAAGGCTTGGACTCATATTGAGACTTGAGTTCATCAGCCTCTGCCACAGCGGTTACTTCTCACCATTATCTCTTCCCACAATGAGCTCAAACCAGTACCCAGTTCCACCACCATCGTACCTACCGTCGGGCTCGTCTAGCAAGCCTGTCCGTATTCCTGAGGATGATGTGAGTTCGCCGTTGCTCGGTCGCTCCAGGTCCCCGGGGGGTGGGATCTATGATCAGCCCCAACAAGGCGACCTTCCTGACGACTTCAAGGTATCTCTTCCGAGAAACTATATGTTATATGACTCTTCTGACACTCCTTCTGGCAGTACGGTGTTACTGTCTCCGAGAGCTCTCCGGAGATTCGAAGCGCATTTGTTCGCAAGGTTTACACTATTCTATGTGCGTGCATGTATCTCTCGTGCTGTAGATTTTGCTCATCAAGCTACCTACCGCAGTCTGCCAAATTGTACGGGGTGCTTCGCATTGGTTTCCAAGCATATACTCATGTTCACCTCCAGCTCGCCACCTGTGTTGTCGCCGGCGGAATCTCCCAGTCATTTGAAGCTATAGCTTGGGTTACAACACAGTGTGTCCTCATGCTTCGAATGATGCACCACTGGCTTACTTATGATGCTTCTCAGCACCTGGTCATTCTATGTCCCCCTTTTCGGTACCCTAATCAACCTTGGATTGCTGTACTGGAAACGTCATAGCCATCCCCTTAACCTGGTACTGCTGTCCACCTTCACGGTAATGGAAGCATTCACGCTCGGCGTCGTAACTGCGTTTTTTGATAACATCATTGTTCTGCAAGCACTGTACGTCCCGATCGATCTTTTTATTCTAACTCGAGGCTGAGCAATTTATCAGACTGATCACGCTCGGTGTATTCTTGGGCTTGACTCTGTTCACTTTCCAGTCGAAGGTGCTCCTCAGACTGATCCAATGCTACTCGATTCTGATAATCTATTCAGTATGACTTCTCCGGTCTCGCGCCCTGGCTCTTCGGTGGTCTAATCGCCTTGAGTACGTGTCACATTTCATATCTAAAATTGAAATGAACTTTCTTCCGCAGTCATGACTGGTATGGTCGGCATCTTTATCCCCTTCGGCACCACGATGGACATCATAATTGCTATTGGTGGATGCCTTATCTTCAGCGGCTATATCGTCTACGACACGTACCTCATCAATAAGCGCCTCTCACCTGATGAGTTCATCATGGGCTCAATTAGTTTGTACCTTGAGTAAGTCCCTTACCTTAGGCACGCTTTCTTAGTTGACGGGACGCTCGCTTTCTAGTTTTATCAACCTTTGTACGTCATTTTGGCGGGCCTACATGAGATTTGTGTTTACTGATAATAATCGCTTTCACAGTCCTCAGCATCCTCCGTCTCCTGAACAACATCCAGGACCGGTAGATTGTCTTATCTCCAAAGATGTGGGGTAGTGTAATTTAAGTCCTAGTTAGTGGGTTATGGGCAAATATCCTTTATTGACGGATTGAACGTTTCTATGTAGTTTCCGTATGCGACTGAACAACAAAACGATACGAATTCGGGTCGTGCATGTTTAGGTTGATGGTTGTGAGTGCTGCGTATTTGCATCGCTCTTGCGAATATTTCGTGGCAATGACGTCCCGTATCATATGGTGGATGTGGAAATTTGAAATGTACTCGAGAACCTAGCCCATCTTGCGAACAAAGTCTAATTCAAATCGCTGCTCAATGCGCAGCCTCAAAGAGCCCTGGATGATGGTACAATATTACAAAGGAGTCGTCGCGTGTCGTGGTGCTGCTGATTTTGAATCAGTAACATGAAAACGTTGATACACAATCGTACGAGTATTGTACATGAATTCGCCCCAGACCCAGGGTCCAGATCATCCGCAGCCATAAGCATTACGCTTTTATCAACTGCGATACCCTTTCCTTCGCATGACTATGGCGAGGGGTGAATATACATGGGAATACAGGGTGTCTGCATGGGCTGGCTCAGATAAACTGTAAGGAACCTCGAGGATGACTCACGTCGTTACCCCTCCCGTCCATTTCACTCCTTCAGCATCAGGCCCGATATTCCATCCTGATGCACGTTCCACCCGGAACACGGTAAGAATATTCACAACTGCAGCGAATAAGGAATTATCCGCAACATGTCGTCCAACACTGCTAAAAGGTGAGGCAAAACCGATTATCTGCAAAACTCCGAACTTCGCACCAGACACGCCTCCCAAATCCAAAGGCAAAGGAAATGTCGTCAGGACCATGTGCTGATGGCTTTTCGACGGCGACTTTGGACATGTGACGCTCGGGAATGAACCTTGTCGGGTTAGGATATTTCTCTGGATTGCGCGCCATAAACCTTGCATAAGAGGAAATGATTATGGTTTGATCTTTATTCACTTGATATGATGAATCACCATGTGTTAGCCATTACGGTAGCCCCTTGATAAATAATTTTAGAGCGGGGATATGGCTATTAGTCCTTATAGACTAACCTTTTGGAATATAATGACCTTCGTAGACGTCATCATTTACCGTGGCATGGGGAATGCCTAAATCCACAGTTAATGAATGTACTAATCAGAATTCGACGAGGATTCAATAGTACTGACCCAGAGGAACAACAGGGAACCACCTCAGCGTCTCCTGTATAACAGCATTGACGTAGGGCATAGAAACGCGATCATCCCAGTCGGGCAATCTTTCGAGGGATTCCCCAATGACGGAATCAATCTCTGCTTGCGCACGTGCTTGCACCTCAGGATATAGAACCATCGCAAGCAGGAAGACGTATAGAGTGGACGTTGTCTGGGCCTTTGGTTAGTAGATAGCTAAAATAGAATCACATCTAAACATACAGTTTCTGAAGCAGCTAGAAGCGCAGGGAGAATTAGTACGTCAAGGACATACGTAATCACTGCAGATTCGTCACGAACCAGCATAACCAGATGCACTGGCTTCCTTGATCGCTTTTTCGAGAACAGTGACCTCCTCTTCGTCTTTTGCTTTATCTGGTACACGACGCAATGCATCCGACACCATGGACGGTGCAGCCGTCCCTGCGGCCTGAGGATCATCATCAGCCTCATCTAAATAATACTCAGATCAAAAGGCACTTGGCACTTGCCATGTTCTTCTTCACATGTTCAAAGGGCGGGTCCACAATCATGGGAACGAGGGTTCTCTGGAGTATGGCACCCCTTACAAAGCTCGCTCCAGGGAACCAGGGAGGAAGTTTTTCCACTGTGAGTGCATTAGAATAGGACTACAGTTGAATGAAGTTGACGCCACAGAACAATACGCACATATTGGGAACTCTGATACAACAGCTGCGACCTCAGGCCTGAGTTCTCTTACAGATATCTCAAGTGAACGCTCGACAAGCGCAATAAAAGGATCATCAAGAGACGCTGTCGAATAATCATACACAATAGACATGATGACAGACGTGCTGAAGCTATGTGGAAAGTATGGTTCAGCCACGTAATACATGAAGGGAGGATGACTAACGTATGGAGATGGGTTCCATACACCTTCGAAGAGGCTAGTAAGTTTAGTATCAAATTGTGAGCATTGCGCATTTGAATCGGACGGAAGGATGGTGCTGCTTCTGGACGGAATGCTTGGTGGAAAATTCGCCTGTCTGAAGCCCCATGATTAAGGTAAGAGAAGTCGAAGGGGACATGACTAACGAAGTCTCCACCTATCCGAGTAGGGTAGAAAGATGGAAGCGAACTCGGTACCGAAACTAGGACTCGTTGAACGATAAGCACAGAAAACGATAGGAGGGTCTCACAAGTCAAGAACGTGCATGAGCCCCGAGGGTCTTGTGGAATAATTATGTGAACGACGGTCGAGCAAGTCATGCGCAACTCTTTCAGAGTTGATGATCACGATATCTTGACTGAAGAGTCGAGAGTACACGATTTCCCCTGTGTCGCAATTCAGCACATCGACATACGCAAGTCGGTGGTTCTACACACCATACTCAGCTCCCCATCTTGAGTACGCTAACCATGGATGACCCGTATCAATTCCAATCACGTTTCCGACAAAAGGAAGAGGTGGAGGACCAGGGGGTAAAGGCAGCCCCTTTGTGTCTCTCTTCTTTTGCAAGGATTGCACTACCACGAAAGAGACGATGGATATGAGGGCGAGTGCAAGTGTTGGGGCCATGACTGGGCGGCTGCAGTGATGATAGCACAATACCCACTAGGAGCATGTATATATACACTTGAGTAACCGATTTCCCGTACTAATTTAGCCGGAATAGTTAATACTTGCTGCAAATGAGTGTCAGAAGAAATTTCTGAATATGGTAGGCAAACTTACAATTTAAATGATCTCGATAAAACGTCATAGTGGTCATGCCCGAAATGAACGGGAATATTTAATGGATGCTGCATACTAACTATGTTTGCGAGCATAATGGGGCCGACTTCGCTTCTAAAGTTTTAAGCTCGCGTCTTGATAGACGTCAAGTTGCGAAACTGAGGAGTGAACGAGTGCAGAGATTCAAGATTGAGAACTGCGTGTCAATCAAACCATTATAAATCACAACCACATTTGCAGTTTGAGTGTTTGCTGTTACAGGTTCAGAATGACAATGTACGCAATGGGGGATGCAGTCATAGTAGCTCTCAAACTCTAGTGAATTATTAACGGTGGATTCAAAGCGCAATGACGTTTCGAACCAGTCCTTTTCCGAATATATGTGTTGCTTGGAATGGAATAGCTGCACCGCGGGATCTGTAATGGTAGTCTTAAGTTTGGCAAATTGACTTAGGGTGCGGTTGGCTTCGGTTTGTTTCCCGGTATTCGTTGAAAAAGGGTCCTTCTCAGAGACCAGTGAGTCACAGCGCGCTTTCATCGTTCATCTCTGCACATGATCAATTTGTACTCACCGAAGAGCACAGGCATTACCCTGCCCAACTCCACCAGCACAACGCGTTGAAAATGTCAGACTCCGACTGTATCTGATCATCATATCATTTGGGCTGCTTCTGCTGGGTCTGGTACGTTGATGACAGTTAAGCGTCTGTAAACTTGAAGTTCCAGCCTGAGGGTTTTCAAACGACATGGGCTGTATTAGCCTTCGTCGAATTGGGGATATTTCGTGTATGAATGAGCCCGGATTACGCATCGATTGCGGCCAGTCTGTTGACGGATTGCCTAAACAGAATGGTCACAATGAAGGGCATAAGAAGATCTCTTTGTTAGCCTCGGGATTAGGTCCGGTGCATGAGGGATCCGAGCATGGTGCAGTTGGGTAGCGACTACTAGTTTCAAATTCTATTTTGTTTCTTTCCACGTACGTCGTAGGTCGGTCCACGCTCGTCCGCTGAACAACTCCCCAATTCGGTTCTTTGAATTATGTCACGGTAGCGTGAATTGTGGGTGGCGACCGGTGATCACTGATGCAATCATGGCATTGTCTTTCCGCTGCCTTAGTGCGGTAGTGCTAGTGTCGTTGGCAGAATTCGAGAGTCTTGCCAATCGGTCTGGCAAAATTGATTGTGCCAGGCTGGCCCACGGCAGGAGTCAGGTGCAAGGGGGTGGCAGAGGCTGAGCCTGGCAGAACCCCAGGGCATCCGAGAACTCGCGGGGATGTAATTTAGATATGATAGAACACGAAAACCAACTGTCATGGTGACTCCTTGAGGTAAGATGGTGGAGTCCAGCCCTTTTCAAGTTCATCGGAAAACCATTTATGTAATCAATCCAGAAATTCACCCACTCAAGGTCAAATTTGCTGTTATGATTTTCACATCGTAGTAGTTCTACCCCCTACACTGATTCATATTGGTTCCAGGCCTTACCGAAATATCGATGGAACCTGGATCATTGACAGTCACTGGCTTAGCTCAGAAACGTTGAGGGGCTCAGAGTCATTGGTCGACTGGTCAATGGCCAAGACTCAGTACGTCAACCATTGACTACTGGCGAAGATCGTCACAAAATTAAACGAGTCCGAGCGCGGGTGCCTGCATTGCGCAATTTGAGCTCAAGCGCTCACTAAACGATAAATACTACTTATGTAATCAGTCTGGTGCATCCGAGTCGACCCGCGACTTGATCTCCTCCAGAGTTCAAGCTATCTAACAAATAAACTTGGACGAGCCATTTCCGAGCACCCTCATCGGCTGTTCTTTTGTCGATGCTTCAGTCTAATGTAAGTGCGACACGAAATAGTACCTTATTACTTGAACCTTCAGGATCGTCATATTAATGATATCCGAGTCATTATATTGCACGTTTCCCTGCAGCTATGTCACGATTCATTAAGCTGGTAGCGAATAGCGTCCTGTCAAAGCAACCGTCTAAAGTGACAGGATACCAGGAAGCTCGTTGACACCCAGTTCAATCACAGCAGACGAAGTCTTTTCAGTACAAACCTTCTCCCATCACCATGGGCAAGTTGGGCATCTGGGATTTCTTTAGCGAACAAGGACGAGACCTTCCCCTTCCAAGAGAATCGGTGAACGGGAAGACGGTTGTTATAGCTGGAGCGAACGTTGGATTAGGACTCGAGGCATCGGCTCATGTCGCGAACAAGAAGCCCAGCTTGGTCATTGCGACATGTAGAGACGCAGTGAAGTGTGAGCGAACTTTGAAACGTAGGTGTGATATTCTTTCTAGTGCACTAGTAAATAGTCACGTGTATGCTCTCAGTTCTCCGTGAACGCTGCGCTGGAACTCAACCAGCCAGTCTCGATTCATGGCCGCTAGAACTGTCTTCTTTTGACAATGTCCGCTCTTTTGCCGACAGGTTCGATGCAGAAGGGCCAGAACGCCTGAATGTCTTCGTCGCCAACGCAGGCACATTCAAACCGGTTTATACTCGAACCCAAGATGATTGGGAAATAATGTCCGTGCTTTAGTTTCGTGCCATGTGTAATTCCAATTTGCTAACATGAACGAAAGGCTGCAAGTCAACTATCTCTCAATTGCGCTTTTGAGCATTCTCCTTCTGCCTCATCTGCTCCATTCGGCAACTTGTGAGGATCCATCTCGACTGGTCTTGGTGTCAAGTTTGGGACATTATCTTGCGGAACCCGTGTTGACAGGTTCACAAAATTGGGATCACGTATTAGGGACCATCAGTGCGGAGAATTTTGGAGCGTATGGGTCGGTGCTTTTTAATTTTCAGATCTACTGAACCTCATTGAGTTGGTACAGGATGTCCAGGTACAACCTATCGAAGAGTACGTCGTGATTTGGTAAAATGACTCCACTGTTACTAATATGGATACATAGTGCTCCAGGTCGCGTTCGTGCGCGAACTTGCTGCCCGGCTTCCTTCTCCCACTCCATTGGTCATCACTGCCGTTGACCCCGGACTTTGTCACTCGTACTTACAGCGGGAACTTGAAAAGTACTGTCTCTTACGTATAGTCCTTGCATTCGTGAAGTGGCTTCTTCGCGCAAGAACCTCGGAAATGGGCAGTCGTACCCTTGTCTATGCAGCTCTAGCAACAAACGCACAGAATCTCCATGGCAAGTACATGTCAAGTTGTGAGGTCGTCGAGGAATGTGATTTCCTCTTGAGTGCTGAGGGCAAAGCGTTCTCAGAGAGACTTTGGGTAAGTTTCTTAGTTTCAAATTAATCCATGCAATCCCTTGAATTACATTCACAGTGGGAGACTATCGAAGTTTTATCGAAAGTAGATGACCGAGTGTCTCAGATCGTAAGCACTTACTTGCCGGCTAGGTAGCACCGGTCCTGTCACGAGAAAGTGAATGGCAGCCCTTTTACCTTATCTGTCGAGGGGCCTAGCAGTGCCTTGCAGTCTAGCATTGTGTTTCATAAGGAGCCATGTCGCTGGTCGTCTCATATACTGATGTAGAAACTACAAGTCTGCATTTGCGGCACATATACCTTCCGCAGCTTCTGGATTTCGGTGGATTCTGTCACCCAGAATAGCACCGCGACTGCACTCGAACCAAACCGCTCATACCCCTGAGCTACGACTCTGGTATTACTGCATTATGACAATACTAATGATGCGCAAAAGGCTTTCAAATTGGATATTCGCATCAGAACTGCACATATGCTCCATTCCATGGCGATTCGAACTTGTCGCGCAACCAAATGACTCGCTCAACCTTCTCCACATACATCTACCGCGGTCCCGATTGCAAGAGTCTGCCATGCGTGAGTTTACCTACCAGCCGTTGGTGAAATCTGACTACTTCATTTACTCAGTTGGCAATTCAGATCGGCTTCCATTCTTCATATCCGATTGCTTGCTCAATTATACCGGTAAGACCTCGTCCGGAGTGCACATAGCTGTACGTTTTCATTTTCATGGTTCCCTTTCACGATCTTCCGACCCCGCCTGACTGTGCCCTTTGATGTAACCGATGATCAAGAGGTAAGTATGACTCTCGGCATGGCTTTCTCTCCAACAACGTGTTTGTCGGGGACTTTCCAGCGTAGTCAGTGATATGAGCTTTTGGACATTCATTCCAGCACGACTACTTACTTCGTGTCTTAGCCGACATGAAACCTGTTATAAGTAGGTTTCACGCTCTTGTACCAGATCCAAGACTAATGAAAGCGATACGTGCCTTGCAGATAACGATCTGGATCAATGTTACTGCCCTGGCTCAAATCGAGAACATTTCAGCTCCTTGTGGCAAAAGTGAGCCTGGCAATCATTATCGTGACGTATCACGGTATCGTATAACTGTATGATATACATAGGCTGTCGTGGGGGCACGAATTCGGAACTATACAGCAAGACATGTCAGTCCAGCCGTCCAATCGTAATAGCCGAATTGCAATGCGTAAGTATGAGATTAGCACTGACATCGATAAGGGTGTCGTTGCACATACATGCACGTTTGGCTGAGCAAGCAATCAATCCAGGAGGTTCCGGTTAGAATCCAAGCTGACCAACAAAGGGGTCGGTTACTACCGCTATCTTTAAATCCATCGATCCAGCGTGATATACATAGATCCTACTTGAATTGTGGGACCACGCTTGTGGAGTAGTGGGGACTCAGCTCCATATTGGCCCCACGGTGTGATAGGAGCCAGTCCGCTGGGGCGCCATAACGATTCGACGACTTCTCTGTTATCAGAAACTACTCCCACGTCCGAGCGAATATGCCTCTGCCACCATCATCGTATCCTTTGTGGAGTCAGCACGCTCCAACCGGTACCCATGATTCCCAAATATACTGTTCACGTCATGACGCCATCAGATCCTCCCTCGCTCCAGAAAAGGACACCAGACTCCGGCCGTTCACGCGCACGGGTGCCGGTATGATGCGACTCAGACTGTCAACAAATTTAAATGCCTCGGATCGAAACGGGGAGTCGCGCGATCGATGACGGCGTTCTTCAGGATCCTTATAATAATATGCTAGGTGCCTAGAGGTCGGTAGCCTAAACCCACGGTCTCCTACGTGCGGCAGTTCACAAGCGACTACGTTTTAACGTGTACATGCTCACGTACGACGTAATGGATCTCTCCGTCGCATAATCACATAGCTTCGAGCTATACATAACGTGTTCGTGTGGTATGTAACACGCGCATCATTGGCAGTTCGTAGCTAATTTCAGTTTCTATTACAAGGGGTGTTTCGATATTGACCTAAGCTGTGCTGGTGGGTGACGATATGGTCGGTTTCAAAGTGCGCGGATTTGATATTGATATCATGTATTCTAATCTAACACGTTCTCGACACTTGTTTTCATGGCAGTGATGGGTTGGTTTCTCATGCGGAAGCGACGTGGCGGTTGTTTGTAGACTGATTGCTGGACAAATGCCACGTTCCCCCCGATGCACAGCCATACTCCGTAGTAGATTCGTATATATATAGTAACCAGTCGGGCGACTGCAGAGCCACTTACCGCGACTATGCCACGTCTCAAAGTTCACAGCAAATAGTGTTGGTTGCTCTCCGTCAGCTGATGCATTATAAATCTGGGTATCCTAGTTGTCTATGTCAACTACATAGCGCGCAATCGACGCATTTTGTATCTGAAATGAATTATAGCATCATACACAAAGAGTACAAAGAACGCTACACCATAAACGTAGCAGACACCCGTCCATGCATACGCGGGCATACTAGGCATAAGCCTCCCGAAACCACCGCCAAAGGATTAAATTAGCATAACATAGGCTTGTTCCTGGCATTCAGGATGTCGTCCAGTAAAATTGCGACGTCCTCCTTCCGGAAACCAAAAAATCCATCCCAATACATGCAATCTAGAAAACCCACCACCGTCCGCGTCCACGGCCACGTTGTGGTTCCTTTACGCTCACATCGTCATCGCCCGCACCAGGCGGTGCCCCCAGGCCAGCAACACTCGCAAAACTCACGTATCCCGATACCTGCTTACAAGCTTGTGATGCTGCGCGCAGATCAAACTGCGGAGGATTCACTGGTATTTGGGAATTGGCGCTCGAAAAACTCGAGAGAATCGCCGGATTCGGTGAGTGCGGTGAAGGCGTGGCATATGACAAAGAAGGTGGCTTCTTTGTTGGAGTCGAGAATGGCGAAGGTGGGAGGGGCGTCGTCATCCACGGCGAAGTCTCTCCCTGCGATTGTGGTGATCGTGGTGATTTTTGCGAGTATGCTACAGAGGTCGACTGCGAATATCTATTCCCTCGGCCGTGTTTTGATGACAAAGATGGCGGTATCAAAGGATCCACATCATGTCCAGTCACACGAAGTTTCTCAGATGATTGAGAATTTGTGAATGAATTAGAAAGCGAGCGCGCTGATGAAGGAGGAGATGCTGATGAAGACTGCACAGGGTGTTACATATCAGTATTTAATTCAGGGGTACATGTGTCATACATGATGAGCGCTCACCTCCTCTTCCGGCGACCTCTTTATTCGCCTTTCCTCTTCGCGCATTCCACGATGAAGCACGCGTTCTAGGCGTGACCTCAGGACAGCCTCATGAGGCGCTGCGTCACTGCCGAGAACATAGGAGCGTGGTAATGATGTCGAAAGACACTCATCCAGTTTCTCTTGCCGGACAGGAGCAATAGGGTAATCATGGGCATCCAAGTCTGAGCTCGACCTGAGTAACTGAGCATATGACGAGTCTTCGTTCTCGTTCGGAACGTAGAAACTTTTCGACTTGAAATTCCGGGTGGAAGCAGCACTACTCCTGCGCGACGATTCAAAGACCAGGACGGGTTGGAAGAAGTCGTCGTCATCACAGTCACTGCACGTTGACCGCGAGCGGGAACGAGCACGGGAGGTGGCAGTTGTACGAAGGGTATTGTCTTTCCTGAGAGTATCCCGCAGCAGACGCTCTGACCGTGATGATGGTCGTGGAGGAGGCGAGTGAGGTCGCTGGGTGCGTGTGGAACTGCTCTGTCGCTGAGGGGTGCGAGGATTAGGAGCAATTATAGACATTGCAAGAGTAGGTTGTGAGTTGGAAGAGGGAGTTAGTTTATTCGGCGTGCAAACGCGACCTCGTGGTGAATGTGTTCGAGAGGATGGGACACGTTTCGTAGGCGTGGTCAAGTCACAAATTCTCGAGGAAGTCGTTGCGAGCGAGCTAGGCGATCTTGAAATCGTCGAGAGGGATTGAGAAGGGGAGAGAGACGATGGCTCCAACAGACGGATGGTCATGGGAGAGGATTTAGATATTAAGTATGAGTGTTAAAAAACGCTTTGGCTACGCTTAAGTCTTGTGGGTCTTGTGATTCACATAGACCGCCTCGCTGAAAACACGAGGATAACACGAAGTAAAAGAGTCCACAGGTTCAACGCAGGAAATAAGGGGGAAACAAGTAGAAGATTCGTCGTAGGAGATTGCCTGGCATGTGTGATTTGACTGAACTCATCCACACGATTCACGGCAATATCCTGCGACCCCAGAAAACGGTGTTGTCAAACCTAGATCCGATGCTGAGTGACCTTCCTAATTCGTATAATATTTCATAATTATTTTTTAACACCACGCCGGCCGATAATTTACCTTTTTGTCTCATCACATTGTTCCATAACATGCTCAGTCCAAGCGACATCATGCATGCTCTTTCCGCGGCAAATCATAGGATTGCGCGTGCGTCCTAAAGCAATCTGTGCCGTGCCCACCGCATCAAGACCGCACTGTTTAGAGCGCCACAGCAGCTGATCAATTCAATGAGTCATAGTTCTTATCCTCCGTGTATGCATAAGCTATTTTGTTTCACGTTTTATAAGTTACTCCATCATCCCCGTTCGGCGATCGTTGCGACCTACGGAAATCTGTTAAGCAGTACTGCCGTCGACCTGCTGAGTTATCATCCACTCCTTGCGTTACTCCCCTCCGATTTAGTACTAGTTGCGGCTTATGTCTCGATCCGCAACCTCCGGCCGCAAGGTTTTACTAGTCTCGTTACCGTTACATGGCCGCCGTACTTCCGACTATTCACTAGTCCGACCCGTGCACCTTACCGGACATTCTGATCGTCAGCGTACTGGGTGCAATTCCAGTGAGAGTCAATACCTGATCACGTCTGGGCCCGCGTGCCTGGTACATGTTGATCCATGATCGATATTCATCATGGCCTGTCAGTAATGCGATCATAAGCATCGTCATACTTATACATCACCCCGCATTCACCCAGATTAAGAGGCTTCTTGGAAGTTCATCATGCGTTAGAGTTTGTCGATAACTCATTTATGCTTTCTTCGGAAGGGCCGTTAGGTTATCCCAGGTTGCGCTCCGTCGAACTATATTTGTTTTCGACGTCTGCCAGATCCGACCGATCATCGGTGGTCAGCATCCGACATTTTTGGGGCACTGCTTTTCTACAGGGAAGAACATACATTGTGTGACATCCATCCATGTCGTACGATGAACAACAGACGTGAATTGCGCTTGCTCAGGTTTCCATATCTAATGTATTGTTCCCCTACAGCATCCACACTGCCATTGCGGTTCTCGAACTCATCAGAGACATCCATTTGCAATGTAACTCTCGATTGCGAGATTCCGAATCGGATTCCATTCGACACTACCACAGCAAGGGTCGATGATCGAGAATTCAGCTAGATCAAGACAGCCCCTTTGACTAGAACCCAAGAATTCAACTTGTAACGTCACCAGCACCGGAGGTTCGCCATTCCTTCCAGTCATATTCAAACGGGAACTTCTCACCGATTCGAACGAGCGTATCACCTCCGACCATTGACATCTTCGGGTTCTTATCCGTGACCTTTCGTTATTCATCGATAAGTCATTTAGACAAATCAGTGTAGCTTCGTGCAACTCGATCGCGTACTAAATAATCAGTGTGATGCTGCTGATTATCGGATGATCGCCGGTCTGACAGAAGCGCTCATTGTCGAAATGGCCAAATCATTGCCAGCAGCAAGTGGAACACAATACCTGTTTCAATCACATTTGATATCCTAACATCTGTCTCAAACGCATTTCAAAACAAAACAATTCACAAATGCTCGTACCTGCCTCCGATGTCATTTCAATGCGAGAAGAGAATGATAGCTTAGTATGCACGGGCTCCAAGTTGACCGCGGGGCCGGTAGCCACGTGATCGAAGGCGACCAAAAGGCCATTGGCTGCAAATTCAAATGCTTGACAATATAGCAACAAAGTTGCCGCACATGACGCTGAATTCTCGGGATAAATCCATGTGGACGTGGATCTGACGTTCACCAGAAGTTCGCTTGTGTGGAGTCCTGGCCCCTATGGAGTGTTGAGTGAGCACTTTGAGAGGTACGGTGGATCCGACGCTTATTTCGTTGGAGGCGCCGTTTTGGCCATTGGTCGTGAGGCCATCGCAATTCCGGCAGATGATGCTTAAACGACTGTATATCGGAGAGCATCAGCGCCCTCGATTTGATTTCTTTACAGGAAAGTTTGGAGGCGCCATATTAGCCATTGGTTGCATGATCAGGCCGACGAACGATGCTCGAACCACTGTACGTCGGAGACCGTCAGTACCCTCAATCCAATTTCTCTATAGGAAAGGTGAGTATCCCGATCATGATTGTCATATGACTTGGACCTGGTGGAGATAACTGACCATTCGTCCACTGAATGTGGGGTCTTCTTTACCAGACGTTTCCCATTAGTTCATTATCCACATTCACGTCACGTGAATGAGTTTTGGCGTCAGGATCCATAGAACGTCGTATGGAAACCAGCGAATGAGTGGGAATGCATGCATTATTTGGCCGTCAACGCGCTAAAACATCCTTGTTAAGTAGATTATTGGATAGAAACGTATTCGAGTATTTCACGTCAGTTTACCGATGTTAACGTAGATTAGATACTCACTCTGGTCCCCTTTCATGCCAAAATATACAGGGTCCGATAAGATTCCTCAGGCACCCTGCTTGTGGACATTTTCAATGACACTTGCCTCGCCTTGGGAAACACCAGGGAGTTATACCAATGATCGTTCGGTTGTCTCCGGGGTTCCGTGTCGAGTTCGCAAATACGAGCGGAAGTTAATCCGTGACCGTATTTCACGAAAGAACCCTGTGGCCACATCCAATTGGAGGCAAGTATATGTTATGGAATTTCGGAGGAAAAAGGGAGCTTGGATATGTTGGATTCCAGGAGCTGTATCCCGAACCTATGTACTTGAAGGACCCTGTAGTCTCAAGATGGCTCGTTGCATAATCCATTATGATTAAGGGCCCATTCAAATCGTTTCGGAAACAGCGCGGCATCAGATCATATTATTCGCAAACCTAAACTCTCATACTGGTAAGTCCAGATTCCAAGACAACGATATCTTTCTCACTCATCTTGGAATGGATTACGATCGGAAATCGAGCTAGTTGGCTTTGAAGGTGAAAGACTTGTCCGTGCTGTGTTGAGCTTCTGATGTCCTTCCTAGCAATACTGGGTCTCGTCTCGGGATTCAAACCATAAATCACGTTGGCAGGGTCAAGGTCAGTCAAAGCGTTTCCTTTGGAAACTAGGCCGGTCATATGCACCTAGCCATTAATGAGAAGGTGTCGTACTCATGACCCGGCCGTTCATCGAAGGTCTGGACCGTATCGATATAAAAGGACAAATGTCTATAATTGCACTGTAAGGTTTCTTAGCATTGAAAAGCCTCTGATTGGTAAGAGCGAGTCAATCTTTAGACGGGACCTAACTTACCAGGGGATAGATATCAACCTTGACTGTTTCACCCTAAGGGCAGTTGAACACTACGGAACACGCGCTGAAGATGCAAAAGTATGACATCTAGAGAGAACTGCAGGCTTCGTGGAACATCCTACCAAGGAATTCTCAGTCAGTCAGGTCAGATACCCACCGGCACTCCAAAATTATATATTTAACCTGGTAGATGAACTTTAATTCATGTCACCCAGCGATGTCATCCACTCCCAAGTTTTCGTCAAGTCATGTTAATACCCACGTCCTCCGCATAACCAAGCCAGGATGGTAATGCGTACCGCCAGAGGTTGCCGAATTTCTAGTGTCACTTTCCAGTGGAGTCCGCGAGGCACTTGTCTGTGTGACTTCACTGGTCTAATTAAAGGGCGATGCTCCTTATCCACCGGGTGTTCACCCTTGTTCGTGAATAGACTGATGCTGGGAAGAGTACGAGATGACGCACACGGTGGAATTGTCGCTTGTCTAAGAAGTCTGCCAACACCTCGCGGTCACTAGTGTCAGTGCTTCGACACTTCTAACAGTGTTTTTCGCACTATGCAGTAAGAGGACATAGATTCTGGCTCGCCAAGAGGATATACTTACAACCGGGAATCGATTGCCCACAAACTGCTTCTAGGTCTCGGAGGAGATATTTGGGCGCAGCGAGGTTGCCAACTTGCGAATGATTGTGAGATGAAAAATGTCGTGTACAGCCAGTACTCAGATGGACTTGATAGCGTGAAAGTGGAAGTGTAGCGGTGTTTTCTATTGCAAGCGGATAACTGGAATATCAAAACCTAAGACACAAATGTGAGATAGTTTGGGGTTCGGTTCGGAAGGGATACCCTTACCTCGAAAGCTGCTCACATACGCAGATCCTTCACAGCAAAGCTGGACTCGACATGAGTAAGCCACGTCTTCGTATACTGCAAGTTACTGCGTGCACAGGACTGCACCCCATAAGGTTTCTCGAGACCAAGTTTGAATGCACAGTCGTACTTTGTGCCAGCTTATATTGTTCTGTAGAGGACTTGGCAAGTTCCACAATCGCCCAATCTATGGCACGCAAGTCTACCAGCCATCTGTTGCCTGACAGTCACCGTCTCCAGAGGTGAATAGTCACTACAGTGAACGCCCATCCGGCTGGCGCAAAGACTCCATATTGATGAAAACCCCGCAGCAGCAAGGCCTAGGTGCTTGTCCATGAAGTGTGGACTGGATGATGAGTGCGTCGAAGCCTCGTGCCAGGCACACCGTCACGGTGAAGTTCCAAGCCGAAAGACCAAAACACGCTGATATTGACCACACGAAGCTACTTGGGACCGAGTTCCTTATGAGCTCGTATTAGAGGGGTGGTTTACTGCTCGTTCGGATCTGAGGGACCCGGCATCGTTGAAAAGCTGTTGAAAAAGACGTCAACGTGTCTTCTAGGCGGTGGCAGCCGTGGCCCGGGCACGGCACGGTTGGTCACCGGTCATTTCTCACACGAGATTCCTAATCCTCGATGTTGTTTTAGACACAGTTACACACACCCTCTAAATCTGCGCTGTACATGTGGTATGCAATCATTGTGCATGTTCTTTGTGAATGATCGTCTTGCAGAAAATAGGGCAGCTGCTATGTATTTTAGTTTCAATTTGGTGGGTCTTTCTCCCTGTGGTCCCGCAGGACTACAAATCAAGGTGCTGACCTTCGTCTTCTACCAGTAGAAGCAATTATAATGTAGTCTTGGAGATCTCTAACGTCAAACTGTCAAGCTTTCAAGGTTATCGGGCAGGGCAGTCCGCTCACTAGCACTGTCACGGTTGCCTGCCAATCAGCCTGTGCCCAACGCCCAGATCACGGTCTCACGCTTTTCTTAGCCTGTCCTCCCCAAAGCCAGTGTGATCAGGTGTGAACCTTGACACACGAAGTACCCTAATTAGCAACATCCCCCATAGGTTGAAACATATGCGGCGATGCGCTTACGCCCAGAACGGAGATGTCCAAGAATAACGTATCTTCACATCGAAAAAGGCGCAGTCCGTCCACATGCCGACGGCCCGACTTGAATGGCCTGGCATGTCTAGCTGACATTTCTTTCCACTCGACGACTCGTTGCTTGTTCACTCTCCAGCACGATGGCCTCTGCTTCGGCCATTCTCGTGTCTCAGGCTGTCAGCTCCGGCGAGCTTACAGACCTTGTTTCGTCTTCTACACCTGCCACCGTTCATCCTACAGATGATTCCATCCTCTCTGTACTCACCGCTCGATTTCGCGCTGATTTACCATACACTAGACTCGGATCCACAAACCTTGTGGTAGTCAATCCTTACAAAACACTCGCCAATGTCAACGATGCTAACGCGAAGGAGTACGAAGATAGATGCTACAAGGACACCAAGCTGGGCTTGGCGGATTCTCGGAGACCCCCTCAGCCTCACTTGTATGAGCAAGCGGCCAAAATTTATCTCCTTATGAGAAGGAGGAATGAATCTCAAGCAGTTGTCACTCGGTAGGCTACTTCCGCATCGAACGAAACTGCAGCTCATAGTACAATTCTGTTAGGGGAATTTCGGGATCGGGAAAGACCGCAAGCAGTCGCCTGCTCATAGACCAGATTTTGCGCCTTTCAGCTCACTCCAAACGAGAGGCCAAAATCGCCGACCAAATCAAATCTTTCGCAGTGCTGCTCGAGTCTTTCGGAAATGCAAAAACACCTGTGAACCCAAATGCCTCACGACACACACGCTACACAGAACTCCATTTCAATGAACGCGGGCGTATCAGTGCTGCGAAGGTTATCGCCTTTGGGCTTGACAAGTCCCGCTTGATTCGCCTGTCACATGAAGAACGATCTTACCATGTGTTTTACCAACTTCTTGCTGGGGCTACGCCAATGGAGCGTGACTACATGGGCTTGGAAGGTCCCTCGGACTACGCCCTGTTGGCATCATCCAATTGCTATCATTTGCCTGCTGGCCCATTCAGTGATGATGGCATCGCGATGGATGATTTGCGAGACGCTTTCAAAACTTTAGGCTTCAAGTCCAAGCACGTCTCGTCAATACTTAGCGTGCTCGCTGCCATCCTGCTGCTCGGTAACCTCGAATTCGGGGAGGCTGATGCACAGGACGTCTCTGCATATATCCTTAACGTGCCAGTTCTCCAACAGGCAGCAAAGCTTTTGGGCGTTTCTGCCGAAGAACTCAGCGACACGCTGACGTGCAAGACGAGTTATGTACGCAGGGAGCTGTATACTGTGTTACTCAATGTGCAACAAAGTGCAGCACAGCGAGACCAGCTAGTTCGCGATCTCTATGCAATCATGTTTGCATTCGTGGTGGAAACTGCCAATTTCAAGCTAGCCCCTGCTTCCCTAAGCCCTACATGTTCCGCCACTCGTATTGTACTGCTTGACCAAGCAGGCTATCAGACACGGGCGCCTTCAGGGTCGAGTGGTCCCACTCCCCTTATCTCAGCTCATCAGAATGGCTTTGATGAATTCTGCATCAATTTCACCGACGAACTCGTGCAGTCACACATACTTCGGAACATTTTCGACGACAGCACAGGCTCTAACAGTCGTATGATTGCTGATGGGAACTCGCTACCGGCTATCATTGCTATGGACAACTCAGCGTGTGCCGAGCTTCTTCGGGGCCCATACACTACTCAGAAAACGTCACGAAAACCTGGCGGTCTCCTGGGTATCGTTGACAAGGTCGTAATGTCCTTCAAATCGGGGCGTGCGGGTGATCAACGGAATGATGAGTTGCTGTGGGATTTGGGTGCCAAGTTTGGTGTGCACCCGTCTTTCGTTGCAGCACCGACCGCAGACGAGAGGAGATCTTTCAGGATCAACCACTATGCTGGTCCCTGTTCATACGACATCAGCAACTTCGTGGAGAAGGACGCTGACCTGCTTGACCCTTCTTTCGTTACTCTCCTTCGTAGCTCGGCTGATGCATTTGTCGCGAAGCTCGTGTCGGGCCCCAGCTTGTCTACAGAAAAGCACCAGAGTGATGAGGAAACTATCGTCCAAGCTCAAGTCTCTTCCCGCCCTCTTCGCATGATCACTCCTCTGGGAGAAAGCGCGGATGAGAATCCTCTCTTAAACCCATCCAAAATCTATCCCGTCACTACGCAGCTCAACCAGACGCTTTGGAATGTCTTGTTCAACATCGAGAATGTGCCAATGTGGACTATCACATGCATTCGCCCCAATGATAATGGGTTCTCCAACTCCCTTGACAGGCGTCGCATCAAAGGACAAATCAAGGCTCTGCTACTCCCTGCTATTGTGTTGAGGAAACAGGTTGAGTTTGTTGCAGACTTTGATCAGGCAGAGTTTTGTGACAGATATCGTCCTACTATGCGCGGATCAGATGCTGAGCGCATTCGTCAGTGCGCCCAGTCTAATGGCTGGAGAGAGGACATAGACTTTGCGATTGGCAACCAGAGGATCTGGCTATCGTACTCGGCATGGAAGATGGTAGAAGATGTTGTGCGTTCTGAGGAGAAAGAGCAGAAGAGGCTTGCTCGTGAGGATTCACAAGAGGATGGGAGCGCCATGCCCGATGATGCCACAGACTACCCTGGTGATGAACGGCAGTCAACATACTTTGATGAGCCGCATGCCACCCCATTCCAAGAGCCGAAAACGCCCATATTCGATGGTTATGCACCGTCTCATGTTGCTGCTCCCAGTTACCACGAGGAATCGGGTTCCACGATGTGGGAAACGAAGCCCGAAAACTTCGACGCAGCACCTCCCCTTATGCCCAATTCTGCCATGCTAGCCACGGATAACGCTCCTGAAATGTTGGAGGAACAGCTGCCAACTACTCGAACCCGACGTTACTGGCTTTATGCCGTCCGCTTCTTCACCTGGTTTATTCCCAACTTCCTGTTATCGTGGTTAGGCCGCATGAAGCGCCCCGACGTCCGTCTTGCATGGCGAGAGAAGGTGACCATCTGCATCCTCATCCTCCTCGGAAATTGTTTTATCCTATTCTACATCATTGTTTTCGGTATCATTCTCTGCCCGAACTTCAAGTACGCATGGACAACGAACGAAGTGGCTCAACATACAGCTACCAATGACTACTATGTCTCCATTCAAGGCAGGGTTTACGACGTCTCCAATTTCGTTCGCGGTGACCACAGTGACATCGTGGGAGAGCCAAGTAATGGTGCAGCCACCCTGGCGGGGCTCGCTGGTACCGACATGACCTACTACTTCCCCCCTCCCTTAAATGTGGCATGCGCGGGTCTTGTCAGCAGCGCGTCAATGAAAATTACTCCCTGAGAACAACACTCTACTCTTGTTTCCGCAAGCCATGCATTCCTCCGGATCCAATGCTCCGACGACTCCCACAGCTCTCGATAACCAGGACTGGTACACTGCGACCTTCAAACCAAGTATCGATCAGTACTATCTCGGTCCATTGGTTTGGGAGCCAAGCGATATTTACTCTCAGGCCAATCAAACCACGAATCCGCGGTGAGTCGTACTTAGTATTCTTCAGTGACATCACTCATTATCTGCGCAGAACTTGGGCAATTTACGAGAATAGCATCTATGATTTGACAGACTATGTCTACACCCTGAACACGATCAACCTGAATGTCGCATCGTACAGCTTCCTTGACCCGAACCTCGTTGCGGTCTTTGAGCAACAAGCCGGGCAGGACATTACTAACGCTTTGAATCAAGTCTTGGGTTCCATGAGTGCTGAAAACCGTACGGCGAATATGGACTGTCTTTCTAACGCTTTCTACTATGGAGAGACGGACTTCCGGTATACTGCTAGATGTCAAGTGCAGAACTACCTTTTGCTTGTGTTCTCCAGTGTCATCATGGCCTCGATGGGGTTGAAATGTGCGTCTTCTTCCTATTTGAACCCCTGCCCGTACTCATTCCACACAGTCTTTGCTGCACTCCAACTCCAAACTAAACGCTTCCCTGAGTTACTGGACAAGTTCGTGATATGCCAGGTCCCTTGTTACACGGAAGGAGAGGATTCCCTTCGCCGCACACTCGACTCACTTGCCAATTTGGACTACGACGACAAGAGGAAGCTGATTTTCGTCATTTGCGATGGGAATATCATCGGGAGCGGTAATGAACGGCCGACACCTGCTATCGTGCTCGACATCCTTGGCGTTGACCCAGCGAATGATCCCGAGCCCCTGATATTCAAATCGATCGGAGAAGGCTCGCAGAAGCTCAACTATGCCAAGGTATACTCCGGATTGTACGAGTTTGAAGGCCACGTTGTTCCGTACGTTATCCGCTTCGTAACCATGAAGTCATTGCTGACATTTTTTTTGTTTAGGTATATGGTCGTCGTGAAGGTCGGGAAGCCAAGTGAACGTTCAAAACCCGGCAACCGTGGCAAGCGTGACAGTCAGGTCATGTTGATGCAGTACTTGAACAGGGTGCACTTCAACGCACCCATGTGCCCGCTAGAGCTCGAAATATATCATCAGATGCGGAATGTTATAGGGATCGACCCTGCGTTCTACGAGTACATCTTCACTGTGGATGCAGATACGGTACACTTTACTGCTCGCTATCCCGAGAAGCTCTGACATCTTTTTCGCAGTCCGTGAGTCCCAATTCTCTTAACCGTCTTGTGGCATCCTCGATAGCGGATTCCAACATAATCGGCATATGTGGTGAAACGAGACTCCAGAATGAGGAGGGATCCTGGTGGACCATGATCCAGGCAAGTGGTTCGAATTTACACATTTTGTATATTCATGTCAACATACCCATAGGTATACGAGTACTACATCTCGCACAACTTGTCCAAAGCTTTCGAGAGTCTTTTCGGCTCAGTCTCGTGTCTTCCTGGTTGCTTCACCCTTTACCGCATCCGCACTAATGATAAAGGTCGACCGCTCATCATCTCCAACCGTGTAATTGATGAATATGCGGAAAATAACGTGGACACCCTGCACAAGAAGAATCTGTTCTCCCTCGGCGAAGATCGATTCCTGACGACACTGTTGATGAAACATTTCCCTACCTTCAAGACTAAGTTCACTCCGGATGCAATTGCGCGTACCATGGCACCAGTATCCTGGAGAGTGCTGTTTTCACAACGGAGGCGTTGGATCAACTCGACCGTTCACAACTTATGCGAGCTTGCTGTTCTTCCTGACCTCTGCGGCGTCTGCTGTTTCTCAATGAGGTTCTTCGTCTTCCTCGACCTGATCGGTACTTTGGTAAGATCCTTTCAAAGCGTCAATGTGCGATTTCTGATGTTTTTTATTAGATGTTGCCTGCCACTGTTATTTACGTGAGCCGTAGCATCTTATCTATCACCGAGTTCCAGCTAACGTTGCGTTTAGTTGGCTTGGCTAATTGTCGAGGTTGCTACTGGACAATCTCCGTTCCCTCTGATTTCCGTCATCATGTTGGCAGTGGTGTATGGTCTTCAGGTGAGTACGTCGTTTAAGTAAGAGAAGTAATTTACGATGGCATTTCCCAGGCTCTTATCTTCATCATCAGAAGAGAGTTCATGCTTGTTGGATGGATGGTGGTCTATCTCCTTTCGTAGGTTAACTTATTTCATATCAGATGCATAGCTCATTTTCTGTCATTACAGGTACCCCATTTACAGTTTCTTCCTGCCCATATATTCATTCTGGCGGATGGATGAGTTCGGTTGGGGTAACACTCGTATCGTGCTCGATGATGGTGGAAGCAAGAAGGTCATCGCCAACAACAACGACATAAAGTTCAACGAGTCTATGATTCCGTACAAGAAGTTTAGTGGTATGTCAATATGCATTCTCACTCGTACTACCTGCTAATGGCAATCTGTGAAGACTATGAGGCTGAAACATTGGGTGACAACCAATCCGGGAAGTCATATGGCTCGCCTCCCGATTTCAACCAGGCAAGCTCCGTGTATCTCTCCGCCCCTCAGCCGCGTCTTCCGTCAGGCTCCCAACGCCCGTCTGTCTACGAGTATGGCCACTCTGAATCAGGAGACCACGACTACTACCGCGACACGAACATGATACATAGCAACTCGTCACATCAACACCTACACGCGCCTTCACGTCCGAGCTCTCGTGCCGTATCTGACGCTAATCGCCCACCACCTCAGATGGCCAAATGGAGAGGACCCTCGCAGGAAAGGATCAACATGTTTACTCCGACCAATTCGGGTCCACATGGGAGCGTGTATGGGATGACGCCGCCTGACTCGCGAATGGCATCTGGAGTCTTCAACAACCGCGCCATGTCCCCCGCCCAGAGCTTAGGTGTCCCTCAACCTTTGCACGGAGGAATGCGGACCGTCTACGTTATCCATGGCTACAACTGTGTTTACCGGTCCCAACCTGAATCCCAACCCCTCGGATGACGAGCTGTACAACGCACTTAGGAACTTTTTGAGCACACAAGACTTGATGACTATTACAAAGAAGTGCGTTATTCCCTATACGTGACTACATTCCCTAGTGCTGACTTCACTTCAGGTCAGCTCGTGAGGCTATGGCGGCTCGCTTCCCTCGCGCAGACTTGACGCCTCGCAAAGACTTTTTAAACCAATGCATTGATAACATTCTTTCACATTAAATGTAGGGTAGATACATCATTTAGGACACTTGCATTCATCTCTGGGACACTTCTAGTCTTTGGACTTAATTAACCGTCGGGACATGCTGATTTAGCGTTTTGTTTTGTTATGATTACTGCATCTATATCATTCATAGTCTAGGTGTTGGATATTGTTGGACATAATATGATGGCGACTTGGACTATTGAAACTTTGTTAGAACAACTGACTGGTGATTATACATATGACAAAACTATGATGCGTAAGAAAGAAAGACGCGACCCGTAAGATTGGTTATGTTACTCGAATAACGAGAACCATGAGCATAAACGCGACCAGTACGACAAGTATACTCATGATCACCAAACATGTTGTACTTCCACTCTTTCCCCTGAAGTCCCTTAACCGTATCCGTTCCTTCTTCATGAAGTCGAAGTTGCCCTCGAGCTTCTCCTGCATTGCTTCGACAACGCTCTTGTCTTTAACCAAGGACTCAGAAAAGTGGGTAGCATTGCGCCGAAGCTGCGTCGCCATTAGTGCGAGTTGCTCTGAGAGCTCTTCCTGTAGTGCGCGAGAGTTTTGGAGGATGGTGGGTATAGCAGTAATATTTGAAGTAGCGGGAGATACTGCAGGAAGGGTTGGGTGGTACAAGGGGCTCGGAGGGTAAAGACTCCGCCTGCGAAGATGGTATGAGGTCATCCGCACTAGGCACGCTTTGAGTTGTATCTTCTGCTGGGATGAGCGTCGCTTCTACAGGTATGGTCTCGAAGTCAGCTGCTTTTGTCATGGGGGCACGTATTGATGGCAGGATTGGTGTTGGTCTCTTAAGTGGAGGAGCCGCTTTCTAATCCGGCCGATGAGCCGAGAAAAGGGTCACAGTGAAGGCTGCATACCTGCTCGACCTCTGTTACAAACGCTTCGACTTGATCGAGCGTCGCACGCAAGCGTTGATAACGATGTTCTGAGGCTCTACAGAGGCATATGAAATGTGAGTCTAAATGGACCGTCTGCCGTAGCAGTCCCACGTACGGTGAAGTGCCATGGTCATCAACCTCGACGTTCTTTAGGAGCAAGCGGGCGTGCCGGATTCGCTGAGACAATGTCAGTTTCTATGAGTCTTACATCCACCACGAATAATTCTGAACGAACCTGGAGAGTGCCTTGGGCTTTGATCCAGGTGTCTCGCTGCGAACTATCGGACCAATCATCCTCGGACACGGATTTCTCGAGCCTTTTTACCAAGCGAGGTAGATTGACTCTATCATGAAGAATCTGGTCGTTAGTGCGCACGCTCATGTTGGGTTGTTACAGGTCAGGAAGATGGGGTGCAGGACAAGGTGCGTCCATATGCCCTGCACTCCGAGTCGTGTTTGACATGCATAGAAGTCACGTAATGCCTATTTGGCTGATGAGAATATCTTTCCCCGTTTGGAGCGACATAACTTTCCTTTGACAACCTCCGTGAGTTGTACCCTTCCTGCTCACACGCAAGAGCAAATGGACGACCAGGAATCGCAAATACATCGACTCGTCGAGGACGCTGAAAGAGAGCAAGACCGAGGCAGTGACCTGGTAGGATTTGCAGTAATTCGCTGTCATGGATGATCTCACATAAATTTACTAGCGGCGTGACGCGCTCACGAAACTCATTGAAATTGCTCATTCTTCAAATTCTCAGCTCAAGTGTTATGCAGCAAATCACATAAGATACTTTTTCAATGATTTCCCTGACCTAGAAGAAGACGCTATCAACGTAGTCTACGATCTTTGCGAGGATCAAGATTCACGGGTGCGGTGTCTTCACTTTCGTGTGCTCTTTTCATGACACCCCGACTGCAGGTCCGCACCGAAGGATATCGAGCAATCTCAAGCGTTTCATCTGTTGAGCACAAGTGGATTAAACGAAATTCGGATGTGCTTGTGCAACTTCTTCAAAGTGGTAAGTAAGGCGACTTTGAAACATATAACGCGCAAATTACAACAATGATGATGAGCATATATGTGTCTCGCTTTCTCAAGTTTTGCTAACCATTCCCTGTAGACGAACCAGAAGAGGTCGTCGTTGTCAAAACAGCCCTTTGTGACCATCTCGACATGGATCCCGGCGTCACTCTAGGAGTCCTGTGCGATCAAATAATTCCTCCCGAATACACAATAGACGAAGAGGAGCAGCAAATTCGTGATCGTTTACGCTCGCTCGTGATAGCCTTTTTGAAAGTTGATGCAGCTGAGGCCATCATTCGGAAATACACCAAAACGCCGGGTACCGATACAGAAAACGTTCTCGTGTGCCAGCTTCTGACGGTGACTTGGTGCAGCAGCTTTTCACCGTCTCGCAAGGCTGACCCGTCGACAGGCTATCAGAAGGCTGGAAACACGTGACGTTGAAGTAATCATAAAGGACTTTCTTCTGATGATGCCTTGCTATAGACCAGGATCTGCGCGCGGAATGGACCTTCTTCACGTACTTATCGACAAGGCGAGGTCTTCTCTTAACGTGAAATCGAACGACTTGGGATCCATCAAGACCATTGATTTCTACATATCTTTGGCGCACTTCGTCGCCATCCAAAAACGAGTTGCTTCTCCTGTTGTGTTGTTACGATTTTACTGTACGTCTTTGATGGGGAAACCTGTCTTACAAAGGTTTTCTCCCGAGGAGCAACTTGTTCTTGCGGGCCGAGTGGTAGAGGCACTTGAAGCATGCGAAGAAGAGAGTCGTCTTCGCCCTCAAATTTGCAGTCATGAGCAGTATTCATTTCTTCGGCGACAGGTTGTTGATGGAGCGCCAAATTTGTTGGAGGCAAGTCATCCACACGATTCTACGGTCAATCCACTGAATGATTGACTTAGGCTCTCTATGACACAAAACTCGAGTCTTCAATTATGTGGGACACACTGCGTTCCCTCCTTCTAGCTTGCAAACATGTGAGTCGGGTCTTCCGCGTGGTTTTGCAAAATAACTCGTTTCCAGCGAAAAGAACATGAAGACTGGGTAGTTCCGTTTAATTTGGCCACATCCATAAGCAGATTTCAAGCGCAAGCGCAACAGTTGGGGCCAGGAAACAACAGCGATGAAATTCGAGTACTCATCAGGGTTCGCAGTGGGCCGCTTTCCGCTTTCTCCATTGACGCCCATTGTTTCTTTCTGTGTTTGAGCAGTCACTAACCGAAACTTCAATATCGCAAGCAAGTTCGAGTACAACTGTCGACGGGGATGGTCTTTATGAGCGTCCTGCTCACCTCCCGGCTCGACCTCAACTTGGACGTCCGTTGTTGAAAAGACCAGATATGTCAAGACCTTCACATACAAGCACGAGTGGCGCGGCATCGAACTCTCAGCCAGCAATACAAACTCGCGACTCTGGCTCTGTCGCGCTGCCCAAACGATCCTTAAGCTCTGGAGAAACAGTACCACAGATCAAGCGAGCAAAGACGGAAATGACTGAGGAACGACAACTGACACCTTCGTTACTGAGCCGTATGACGATGCCTATCCCAGGCGATGCGGAGAAGGCCTTTCGGAAACGTGGAGGAGCAGGAAGAAAACGCGCGGATGATTCGTCCGAGCCGGATAAACATCCTATGAGCGGTTATAGCATTAAAGGCGCTGCAGCACATGCCGAGCGGGGCGAGGAGTCGAGGGATCCTACACCAAGAACGTCGTCCTTGCTCGATAGGCTGAACAAACCTGAGGGCATGGATGGTGCTGGTAACAGGAAGAGACACCGAGGGAAGGCATGAATCAGTCTATAGGACGTTGATATTTATGTATGAACATCGCTGACTCTTAATCTTGATTGGCATGAATAGTCACCGCCAAGTTTTATAAATTAATCGTTTCGTCGATGAATTTCAAAGTACTGCGGGTACCTCATTTTTTAAAACATGCATGTATGAACGCAGACATGGCATGAAAACCCTAGACGATCGAATGAACACTCGCGTTTTGAAATTAGACGTGTTCAGATACATGCAACAAACACAAAGACTCCATACACGAGTGCACGCGACCTTGGCGCTGTGAATGTAAATCAAGACACATACGATCTGCTGTTCAAACGGAATCTTCTTGCGCAACGTCTTCATGGCCTTGTGCAATGCTCCCGCAGTAAGTCCGCAGTCCAATCTCCCTGAATCGTCAACCAGGCTGTCGTAGAAGACAGATGATTTCGCCCGCGACATTGTCGTCGACAGACCACATAGAACCTATCACATCGCAAAATCTACATCGCCGCAGCGAGATGAGTTGCCTCGTCAGGGCTCGACTTCCCCGTGGCCACGGTAGTGTGGCAAGTCAACAAGAGTGCAAACTCTGGGTTCTGCAAATGAATTCATATGATGTCCCTGGTCATCAAATGTCCGTCGTGCATAGCGATGGAAGACTCGAATGATTCAGTTATTTCGATTATGACAGGTATAGGAGCCACGGTTCGTGGCTCAATACACGAATCGAAGGTTCCTTGGACTAGCTGCTTCGTTGTCCGAGAGCGACTGTAAAGGATAGGAAGGGTGCGATACGCTGAGTGACGATATCTAACTCGGCGGGGACATCACGAAGTGCCCTTCCTCCGTCCGGGTTCGCTTGACCGATAGCAACGAAATTCTGAGTGGACGCATCTTGAGACACTTGCTGTCTCGTACGAATGAGCGCCGCCAAGGTTGGGGCGTAAGAGAAGATGTAAGAGATCGTGGCTCTTCGGTTCGTAGGGTCCCGCCGTATGTAGAGGGAGTAGCGTGAAGACACCACCAAATGCGCGAGTCACGAGGAATGAACTGCTGACCTGTAGAGAAATCTCAGTGTAATCTTATAGGCAAGCAATGTCGAGTTATGATTAAGCTGTTCGGCAGAGGTGCTCCACAACTTTGCAGCACGAAGATCTCTACGGGAGATGGCGTGAGATACTTCGGAGAGTTGTCAATAGATAAAGGCTAGAGGCGTCTTCCAAAATTGATGGCAGACCATGTCGCTGGAAGTTTGAAGGCTGTCGGCAAGGTGGACGAGAGATCAGGATCAAATGGAATGGATGCCAGGGGACGAAGCGCTAATGCCGCCCGATTGAGCTTGATGGCCTCAGACAGGTCGGACAAGATGTCCCGCTGCCAGAATCTTGTCTGAAGGCTGTTGATAGGGTTGTTGAGAGACGATGATCGATTAATGTTACCAGGGAGACGGAGCGCCAGTGCAGCTCAACTGAGCTCGATGGCATCATCTAGGTCGGGCAAGAATCGGTCATGGATACTGAGGGAAAGGTTGTTGAGAGCTGGATTGATGAGGATGGCCGGGGGGATGGAGCGTCAGCGCAGCCTCATGGAGATCGATGCCCGCATCTACGTCAGACAGTCCGAGGATGCCTCGCCGCTGGAATCTGATGTAAAGGGTCATGGCAAGGAATTCGGATCGATCAGGATGATCAACTCCTGCAAAGTCGCTCGACAGTGCTTCACGAAGTCAATTAGCATGATACGAGTCACTGTAACTAAGATTTGAAGTTACGCTGACTCGTAAGAGTGCACTGACGAAGATGATGCAACTCTGTTGGGCTCAGTGCCACTAGTGAAATGAGATCATGTTGAATACACACGCAACGAGCAGAAATTCTAGTAGTGAAGAGTACCATGAGTTTAACAGCCAGTCAGCCATGATGTCTAGGCTGTGTACATCGGGGCTTCTGAGATCTTCAGACGTCCACACAACAGCTCACCGTGACACGTACTACTGATGGCAGGCCTCCCTTTCTCCGTCCAACCGGCTCTAGGACCCCTGGTGTCTCTACTGCCTATTGTTTGTACAATTACGCAAGGTTGCAAAATTATTATGTTAGTACTCGCTTGCGTGATGATGCTGTAATTTGAAGTCATAACTTACCATCTCGACTTCTCTGTGGTTCGGACCCGGACTCTATGGCCGATCTGTATCAAGAATTACACCGCACCTGTTTCAATGTCATAAAGCGACTCGATTGGTTCAATTGAGTGCAGCGACACCGTCACCATGTTTAGCAGCAAGACCTTTTAGTTTCTTCCATGCAGCATCTATATGGAGAGAGAGAATTTATATATCGCGGTGGATCTGCAGCTGTCTGGTATAGTCTGTTTTTGGGGTTTGTATGGAGAACATGGGGTTATAACGTTAGATGACGTTAGATGACGACATCGGAAAACACCGCGGCTTTTTCGTGTCGGACTCGGAGTAGCCTAATTGCATCTCTTCGTTTTTAAATTATCATTATCGCGTTCACTATGCCTAAAGATTCAATTCTACTATCTGATGGAGGACTCGTAAGTTACCGTACAGGTTTCTTGGTACACGCGAGCTCATCTCTTGCAGGGCACTACTCTAGAAGATCACTTCCATCTCCCGATCTCGCACACCCCATTATGGTCAGCACGTATCATCCTTGACGCACCAGACACCCTGCAACAAGCTCATCTTGCATTCCTCGAGGCTGGATCAAGGGTCCTTCTCACAGCGACGTAAGTGTCTCCGCTGTGTTTTTTCGTAAGTTGTGCACCAGTCATCCACAGGTACCAGGCTGCATTCGAATCATTCGAGCGTGCAGGTAACACTCGTGAAATCGCTACTGAGGCTATGCGCAATGCCATTCACATAGCGGACCAAGCCAGACATCAATTTTGTAAGGAACATCTTGATATCAGCCCGAAGGATATCCATATCGCCCTCTCCCTTGGACCTTTTGGCGCTGTACTTGCCCCTATGCAAGATTTTGGTGGGATTTACCCTCCTCCATACGGGCCACGAGCACACAACGACGCGGAGGAAAATACGACCTCCTTCGGAGATGATATTGAAGGCAAGAATAACTCCATAAAGGCGTTGACACGCTTTCACGAAGATCGACTTCGGGTGTTCACGTCTGATAAAGAGACGTGGGACAAGGTTGATTTTGTTGCGTTTGAGACGGTGCCGCTGGTGAGAGAGATAGAGGCGATCAGGCGAGCAATGAATAATATGAAGGAGATTGTCAGTCCCAAACCTTGGTGGATCACTGCGACGTTTCCCAATGGCAAGTACCCAGAGACTCGGCAACCTGGAGGGGATCACTATACCGCTAGCGAGGCGGCAATCGCTATGATACGCAGCGACGACAATATGCCAGTACCAAATGGTATTGGAATCAATTGCACGGCACTCAAGTATATTCCAAAGTTACTCCAAGACTTTGAACTGGTGATGGACGGGAATAAGAAACTGTTCCTAGTTCTGCACCCGAACGGAGGGGGCGGATTTGATTTGTCTACTCAGGCATTCCGAGAGCCCGAGGAGAGTGATCGATGGCCAGAAGATCTAGCCAGCCTCGTCAAAGAGGCCAAAGGGAGAGGCTGGAACGAGATCATCTTCGGCGGTTGCTGCAAAACTGGACCAGGTGATATCAAGGCTCTGGGGGAAGCGTTCAGTGGGGAGTAGGATAGGGCGTGGCAAAGCTGAACGGAGGTCTCCCCTGCTGGTCTGTCTGTGGTAATCGACATACCTTGCCTGATCACGGTAGGTAGAATGATGGAGGGTTCTTAGCCCGGGTAGTGATTCGGAGGTGGATAAAATAGGCATACCTATGTACCTGCCATATTGGCCAAACAAAAGAAAACCAAAAGGGCAACAAAGGGCAGTGTTTCAACAACGTCTGTAACATGTTTCGATCAACCATATGACCATACTAAAAGCATGATATGGTTCCATCATCGCCGTCAGTCTCGTTCTTACCAATCAAAAAAAGTATCTTGCAACGTTTAGCGGTCCGGAGCAGAAAGGATGACTACAGGTCAATCGTTCGGGAGATGATGAACTTGGCCAGCTCTTCCCGTCTGAAAAGGTATGTCAGAAGGTCGAAGTTCCGGGATGCGATAGGCAGAAAATTGAAATTGATAAAGGTAAACCACGCACAAACGAGATAAGGGTATTTACAGATGAAGGCACAAGAGGTGAGATGATGTTGTCGAAGGGAAAGCCAGGCTGCGATGTTCGAAAATGGCCACGTAGGCCAAGTTTCGTAGAGGAGGATCACCGCCAAATTTCTCAGAACCCACATGCTAGGCGCATTGTCGTTGTCAAATGAGTATGAATCGATAGGAATTGATGCCATCGATAATCAGTATACTTACCGCAATGATCTTTACAAAGACAGCGCGCATCTCCGGATTATATTGCGGCTATCTTCCGGAGTTTGTCACTGCAACCTCGTCACGCAGGCGCGAGCCCACCGACCTTCGACTGGCAATTGGATTAGGCAACGCGTCGAAAGTCGGACGTCGGATCGTGGATATTGAATTGGGGGATGAAATGCTCGCAGCAACCCTCTTGGAAGTAACAGGCAAAACCAGTGTTTGGACCTGGTGCTTGCGAGCCATTGGTATGGACACGCACTGCATGAACATAACTAAATTGAAACGTTCGAGCACAAGCGCAGGAGTTGAGTTACATTGGCTAGAGGCTGGGGGTTAGTGTTGTTTACATAAGCAAGACAATAAGAATAGTACTAGCCTGAGTTTGTTTCAATAAGACTGTGACTTGCGCCTCCGAGTCCTCGTGGATAGGAAACGTTGTTCTCTGCGTTATTTTCGGTGGCCTACCGGCTCTTGGAGCCAATTTATAGCAAGCCATCATTTCTCCACGGCCTCTTTAGATTGGTTAAAGATCGATTTACTTGATAATATCGCCTTGCCCTCAGAATCTCACCAGTTGGTCTTCGTGTTATACAGAACCATCTGCCAACGCCACATTCCAGGAACCGCATATCATATCATCCATCTGTACATATATCAACAGCACTTTTTGCATCTGTCCACCACTTGCCATCAGGACTCATGACTGAGTATGATTATTCCCCTGCAGCATGGGAGCATTATGTTGCTCAACAAGCTCGGGTTTCAAACTGGGTATCCCAGACAACTGCTCAGGCGCATTGTTATTCCAATCCATTTGCCATGTCGCCCACAATGCGCGACCGCTCGTTCTATGATGAGCCAGGTGGAAGGCAGCAGCGCCCTGCGCCCAGCCGCTCGAAAACTTTCAATATCGCTCCTGCGAGACAGGAAGAACCATATAGGCACATATCTTCTCGTTCGCGTTCAGCCTCTCACCCGCAGCCCGTCGAAATGTGGTCGTACCCCCACTCTAGTCGTACCACCTTACAAACTACATCACATTCTCGTACTGGCTCAACACGCAAGCCACCATCACGCTCGCAAACTTTACAAGTCATCTATCCGCCACCTGCAGCTCCTACACATCATTACCAACGCACCCAGCCTTATCCTTATCCGCAGAAGCAATCGCAGCCCGTGCGGGAATACACATCTCCGACATATTATTATCCGGAGCAGTCCCACGGATCTCACCAGCGGACGATGTACCACCCACCTCCGCGCCCAGGGCAGTCGCATCACATGCCTAACAGTCGTTTGCAGTATCAGTATGGGGTGCGCCTTTACCAGTCCGCCTGCATCATTGTATCGACGCTGATGCTCGTCGTTTGTTTTATGCTCGCATCGTGAATTTGTCATACGCAAAAATAGCCACCAGCTCAGAAGAAGCCGCAACCTCTTTTCAAGCGCTTGCTAGGATTCATGTCACCTGGTTCAAGCAGTGGAAGGGGCGGACCGGTGAAGCATCGTAGCTCGGGGAGACGCTCATCTTATTGAAGACCGAGCACATGCCGGAGTTCCGTTGCATATCTTGTTCATTATCATAGAGTCACTGGGCTCACCAGCATACATTTTATATATTATTAAATCTGGGCGCTGGCGTCTACTTAACGTTCCTTGATATATTTCGCAAACGATTCACATTCATTGTACATTCTAAACATCACATTCATTCTGTACATTTACGCATTGTAATGATTTGACGCACTTGATGCCCCACTCTAGTAGACGATAGGTAGCATAATCACCTTGCTGCAATCATATGTCAAGAGTGCATGCTTTCATTTTGATTACATTGATCAGCTCCAGTGCTAACTGGGCCCGGTCTTCTGTGGGTTGTCCACGTTGTAGTTGATTCTGTAGTAAACAACAACAGTTACACAACAGTGCTAGTATTGTCACGGTGTAGCGTCGGCACGTCCAACCTCGGTAATTAAACATGAACAAATTCGCGGAGCTCAGCCTCAGAGACGAAGACAATGTGCATCAATTGTTGTGTTACACGAATATGATTTTGGCTCGCTGTAGGTAAATCAAATATCAGAGTGATCGCTCGGAATGATTATTGACTCTAAGGCTTACATTAATGATATTGGCCTGAAGATGTGTCGCAGTTTCATATATACTTGATACTGTCAGTACTTCATAATCGGTCCTACCGATGGGCTTGCCGGATCTAGCGGTCTCAGACTCACTGGTTGCTTCAACTTGCTTCAACTTGACCCTGAACCATCATGCACAAGTATGTTGTCTATCCATGCTGCACACCTCCATTCTGACGATTGGTACAGCAATCCGCCCGACGACATATCTGAATCGCGTCCTCCTCCTCGTTCCAGTGGAAGTGGCCCCACTTCCCAGGTACGGTGCATGATCCTGATAATGGCATTCCCGAGGAATTGTACAATGAGCTTGTGAGATATGCAAAGTATGCATCTGGCGCATATCAAGTCCTGTGCCCGCGTCCGATGGGAAACACACTAGTTACCCAGGTGTGCATATAGTCGATAATTTTGTGATTAACCCGAATGACGTGCCGCGGCAGTTCACAGATATAATTACGTCTACCCAAGGATTCGTTGCTCGCGATGACACAAGGAAAGAACTGGTGATTTCATTCAGGGGCAGCCGTGAGATTGCGAGCGCGATTATTGGTAAATTTCGAGGCGCAAGATTCCAAGATGGCAACTTTTGACACCCGACGGCAAGTAGATACGTCCCTTGTGCTTTCCCCACTACGTGGACCAGGCCTGCCAAAGAATACAGATGCCCACGTGCATACAGGCTTTCTTTATGCTTTTAGAAGCGTTGGAGATCGCGTGCTTAATATTTTAGGCGAGCAGTTTGAACGATTTCCGCGGTATGAGGTAACAGTGTCCGGCAAGCCACGCTGTCTTTTCTCAATATACACGGATTAATTTTGCCCACAGGTCATTCGCTTGGAGTGCGTCGGATCGTGCCTCTTTGTCATAGGACTTATGTCATTGTCCTCGAGCAGGGCGCCATTGCATGCATTGCAGCATTATCCATCAGGAACAGTTTCCCTGATGCTGCGCTGCGATTATTCACATATGGTAATACAGCTTGTAGCCCTGTTGCGCGATGTTACTGAATATGACCGCCAGGTCAGCCAAGGACAGGGGATCCTTCATTTGCTGAGCTTGTGGAAACTGTGATCGGAATGGATAATATTTTTCGAGGTATCCTCTTGTGTCCCTCCGAGTCGGAGAGCATGTCTCGCTTACTCAGGTCTCGCATGCTACCACAGGCGTGCATTCGTTCGGTATGTTCCGTGATTTTTAGTACGTTCTGTTCAGAACCAACTTAACGCCATACTTAGATGGCGTGCCGACAATGATACCTACGAAGCTGGGCTACAGGCATCAGTAAAGTCTAATTTTCTATATAATTATCACGAGCTCACATGGTCATCAGCGGCACGGAATATTGGCAGTTCGCCGAACCACGTTCGAAACACTCTGCCTTTCAAAAGACTTCCACTAATACAACGTCTAGCGGCCCCGCGCCACGTACGTAGATGTGTGGGCAGCGAAGACCCGGAAGGGAGTGCATCCATACGTATGTTTACTCCGTTGTGTCCGTGCCTTCTCGTGTCTGATGTGGCTTCTACACAGCATCGACTGGCATCAATCTCCCGCATATGGTATATTTCGAACAGCGTGAGTCCCTTTCTCTCTTTAGTTTAAGGTGCTGATAGACATGGGGAAGCGATTGCGTCGGATCCCACCGTTTGTATCTGACACCTGCGGTTTTGGCTTGATCCAGTGTATTGTTGATAGCCGATGCACAGTCATGGGACCTACCTCTTTAGCCCCTTATTTTCGCATATGTGTGTATTTCTTTCCTCAACCACACTAATGTTGCGTCCATCATGAAGGCGTTCGTGGATTTATTACGTTTCTGGAAGTCACATAATGATTTGGTTGTACTAGTTGAGTTCTCATTGTGTATAATCACTGTGACTCTTTGAAACCGCTCATGTGAAGATATTCCGCCAATTTCCGCGAGCGAAATAACATCGACTGCAGAAGACTGTGCAACCCTAAACCGGATTGGATGCACGGTTGTATTATGCTCAGATCATCTATCTGGGACTCAGGTCGGGGTAAGGGATTTCTGCCAGACTCGTCAGGCAGCTCTCGGAATGTACTCGGGGCTTTTGGGGTGCCTTCAGTGCTAATGAACCTTATTTGGGGTGATTCGGTAGGAACTGAGGTTGGGCATCGCTGAGAGGTTAAATTTACAGCTCAGGTTCTGCGCACGTTACGCAGATCCTCCAGGAGGTTTTCTCGTAGAACTGTGACAGGGCCGCAGGTCAATATACTTGTTATATATGCATTTGTTGATGCAGCTACTAGGGGAACACTGTCTTTCTTCTGTAAGGTCTGACTAAGGGAGACTAGCTACTGGGTGGCATGTGAGCACTGGCAACCAACCATGTAACATACATGGCAATACAGTTACAGCACCAAGCTCAGCAAGACAAGTTGCAGGTACTTTGGCACTAGTGGCCGACGTCTTGTGCGGGACCGCGCGGGAGTATTAGCGCACGTGTTTTGTGACACGAAAGTTGCCGTTATTGCATCTTTTCAGGCCGTGCAGCATTTTGCAGCCTGTGTTCGTAGTCTCTCTCCCCGCTGAGCTCTGCTGTGTGCTGCCGCATCAGCTCTCCTTGCTATATCACAACGTATATTTGCGCGTTATTACTCTTATATTCTAGCCAACTCATTAACATGTCCGACTCGAAAGTATTACACTTGGTTATCCGTCGCATTGCAGACTGGTCTCTCTGGTCGTTCTTCACAGACGTACGTGTAATTGGAGGCGAGCACGTTCCACTGGATGGACCAATCATTGTGTAAGTTTTGTATTTTGTATTACTTGCCTGTCAACCGGGACACTTGAGCCCGCGTTTGGCTTTGCATGGGACCTATCTTTGAGAGCGCTTGGAAGTTGGAGGGGCGAATTAGATGGGCATAGGAGCGTAAAGGAATTCACAGTAGTGACTACCGACTCCTACATATATTGCATCTACACCTGCCGCGCCTGAAGACAGTCTAGAACCGATACTGACCCGCTTTTGCAGCACTGCCACTCACCATAACATGATGATCGATCCCGCTATCCTTTGTTAGTTTTATTGTTCTTCTCGTAATTTAGCGCTGGCTTATCGTGTCTTTCGTAGCGTCCAAATTCCCACATCGTCGTGTTCTACACTACTGGAGTAAAGGTGAACCAAGCCTTATCGACCTAGCGGTTCTCAATCCCGTTAACGCGTTGCGCCTTACTTTAAGCGTCACTTTTTGCGAACCCAGTCCTTTCTTGGGTGCTTCACTCGTCTGGCAACATTCCTGTAGACCGGAAGTCGAAGAACCGTCAGGATCTATTCCGGGGAACTATCGAAGCCCTTGCACGGGGCGATGCAGTTGCGCTTTTCCCGGAGGGCACGTCTTACACAGAGCCGAGGATCATGCAAGTCAAAGATGGCGCCGCCTGGGCTGCACTAGAATACACTAAATGGGCGGCGGAGAACGGAGTGAAGGGGCCTGGGGTCCGGATCATTCCCGCCGCTATCGTGTATACGAATAAGTCCAAGTACCGAAGCAGCGTATGTCCCCTAATCCCTTGAAAGGTGTCTTCACTAAAACCAGCATAGGTCATCATAACGTGAGTTTTAGTCAGCATAGAGATATACTTGTGCTGACTGATGGCGTTAATTTCATTAGGTTTGGTGAACCGGTTTCAATGGACGAGTACAAAGAACAATTTTTTTCGGATTTAGAAGGGGCGCCACGCGCAGCGGCAAAACGCCTCACACGTGCTATCGAGAGGGAGCTGGTTGAGGCAACCATCAATGCTCCTGACTGGTATTTCAATTTTGTTTCATTGCGGTGTGTGCGGACTCTAATTATGTGCTAATTAGGGATACCCTTTATAGTGCTCGAATGGCAAGGGATCTTCTCTGGGAAGATGAGCGCTCAATCGACCTCGAAGAATTTGTCACGATTTCACAGACGTACGCCTCTGTTTATTCACTTCGTATTGGCAGCTCACGTATCGTCAGTCTTGTTGATCTTTTTTCCACAACGGATGCCGCTGCAAACTTCTCGACTGTTCGGCGCCATCTTTTGGGTTATTATTCACTTCTTCAATCTACTAATCTTACGAACTCCGTCTTATCTTCACTTCCACTTCCGCCAATGCTATCTCCCTCTCACCCGACCCCACTTCCGTCACGTTTGTTGACACTCTCTGTCCTTATTCGCGACACGCTTGCTGCCCTCACTCGTCTTCCCTTCTTCCTCATTCCCCTTTTACTTCATACACCGGTATATGTCATGGGTCGAATTGGCGCTCGTTTAGTTGAACACGAAGAGGAAACTCAGGCACAGAACAAAGCCGTCTTTGGCTTGTTATCGTGCATGATGATTTACCCTGCTACGTTCTGGGCGCTCTGGGCAATGCTCTGGTACACAGGCACTGGTGCTCTTGTAGCAGCGTTCACAGTCTGGGCGTTTGCATATTATCACAATAGACTGATCAATGGCACGTATATTTAGAACCTTGGGCATGTGAGCTATACTAACAGAGCAATGGGAACTTCTCTACAGATATCTACATGAAGTAAGTAAATTTCCAATCATTGTGATTTCATATCTTTGTGAGCTTACCTATAAATATCAAGTCTCAAGCGTGTGATTGCAGCATGGCGCGTTCTTGTTGGCGTCTGGGCACCTAGGCGATGGGAGCTTTCTATGTCTGCACTGTCTCAATATACAACCCCGCTAGTTCCTCCTGAGAACCCCTGGATCGACAAGAATCGTGGAAACTCGTCCACTCCGGGTACATCATCGGGGACGCTACGTTCCTTACCAACACAGATTACCGATGAGCCGCCAGTCAAGAACGCACCCCGTCGGAGGCCTTCATCAAGAAGAATCATGAAGCATCTGCTCCGGGCACGCGGAGAGGCTGTGAAGGCTCTTGCTGAGTTCCTGACGACCTTAGAGGCAAGCGGAGATGGGAAGAACGTGATCGCGAGCATCCACTTGGCAAAGAGGTTCGGCTGGGTTGAAGAAAATTCACCCACCTCTTCGACAGACGATGGGAGAGACGGCGATGCATTATCTGACGCCAAAGGATACAGGCGAGCACGCGAGGTGATCGCATTTCTTCGTGCTCGTGGTGCGAAGATCGCAACTTTGGATAGGAAGATCGAAGGAGACTGGGCACTCAGTAGTGATGACGAAGGTACGGCAGGTGACAGTGAGAAAGATGAGGAAGACCTGGTATGGGTGCCAAGTAGCACAGGTCTCAAGCAGGAGGAAGACTAGCGTATGCATGCTAGGATGATCGAGGGATGTGTGTACTTCTGGGATTCATACTTATTCAAGGGTGACTTTGCCTCGCATCGATTTGGCTGCTATAGGTTGCATTCTTGTCAGAAGTTGTTATCCCTCATTACTGGACTCTCCCTGCCATTTCGGGGAAGGTACAGAGGCAGACAACAGCACCCCCGTTTCCACCCGAAGACTTATTCCCAGCCCTGAAGATCTTCCATGTATGGTCAATTTATCCTTTGAGAAATATTCCGGTGCTCGGACGGCAATTAACAAGATATCCCTCAGGGTCACCAGGAAAACGTAGAGCCGCCACTATCTGTCTGTCCCTTCTTTCTAGCCTATGGCCGGTGAGGACACCGAACCCGAACAATGAAAATAAGAATGATGGGCCCTGGGGCAATCTGTAGTGGGGTAGGAAGTTGAAATAAATTAACAGCCTTCTCCGCGCGATGGACATTTAGAAAATGACTGGACATATGGATACTCAATAGTTAGGCTGCTTCAAGATCCGACCAACAATGGGAAGATAAAGCACTGTGAGTCTATGAAATGGAACACCGCCAACATGTCAACTACTATCACCATCTATGAAAGATCCGAATAGCCTTGGAGCTGTTCCACATGTGCTCAGAAATCAGCAATTGTATGTGGAAATGAAGGATACATCGAGCGCGCATGATTTCATGGAAATGCCAAATTGGCACCGGGCGCAGTTATCGCCCCACGATCATATAATGCAGACAAAAAGGAAAAGACAAGCAATATTCGAGCATGGACATCAGATAAGATATTTGGTGACTTACGGCATGCTCAAGACACCCAGCCTGTCAAGCGCTGAGGCTAAGCAGAAATTGATTGTGATACGCACGTTCGATGGGTGTATATCATGACGACGGTGTTGTGATGACCTAGACTGGTGGCGCATCTTCCGAAGCAAACGACTGGGAACTAGAAGGATATCGGAAGACGATAGATGCAGCAGCCCTAGGTAATCACGCAGTCAGATTGCCTCTCGTGAAATGAAATGAGTCCGGAGATAGACCAAACCAAATACGAATGGCAGGCCAGGCAAGACATGCATTTTCGGCAGTACAGCAGCGCCCTCTGGAAGCAGAAATATCTGTGCTTGAGTGGGACTAGATGTCCTGGCGGTATACTGCAGGCGATATGATTGAAGCCATGTTGGAAGCATACCGTACAGTGTTGTTGAGTCCTCCAGCCATCGATCGAGGATGCTGCTCCAATAATGGCAAAGGTATGGACTAGTGTATGGCATGGAACATTTTCATATGACAACATCGCCCGTTATCTATCTTGTAAGCCCGGGCCAATGTAGGAACTTGCTGCCTGCATGTATGCTCGTCATGATCGGAATGAGACCTGAAATTGATTAGATC